TGGGGTTATAAGTCCCCCAATCCCCCAATATGTTTTATAAGTACAGCTAGCCTACCTCTAAGCCCCGGTTACAAACGCCCCCCAAATTCCCCCTGCAATGGCCTCGGGCATGGGTCTTCCAGTAGAACGCAGCTGCCGCCTGAGATAGCCAGGACGTAGCTATGAAGAGCTACTCTGCGGTTTAGGGCTCAGGGTTTAGGGAGTTTCGGGTCCCCGGGCACCCGGCGCCACGCCATGGGGCACAACGCCCTGCACCTTTGCGGACGCACCGGTACTGGCCTCCGCTGCCAATTGGGGGAGTGTTTCAGGTGTGAGGTTGGCAGTCGATTCGGCCTAACTCTGTCTTCAGCTGCGCAACAAAGCTTTCAGAATCTTGTTGGCATGGCTGCCTGCACTGTATTATGGCAGTCCCGACCCGGAAGTGGATTATCAGGCCTGGCTCTGCTGGTTCAGCTCCATCATTTGCATGAGTTGTGCCACCTGACGTCTTTGAAGCTGGGTTTGGGATACCCGGATAAACTACATGATTTTTTTAGTCCCCCTGGGTGCTGAAGGACGCTTGCTGCAGTATGTATCGAACGGCATCTCTGTAGCTACGCGCCTGTGCTTCAGCTGCCTGTGCGCGGGCTTGGCAGCTATCAAGCGCGGCCGCCTGCCGCATTCAGTCGCTTTTTCTGCAGGGCGTTCAGGACCTCATCCATTCGAGGAACTCCTGAAGCCCTAAAGCAGACATTAAAGGCCCTGAGAAGTAGGCCGTTCTCAGAAGGACACTGCAACAGCTCAAGCCACAGGAGGGCGCACCATGCCCACGTGGGACAGAGGCAGGCCCTGGTTTGCCAAATACGGATGAGGCCTCGGTGAGCACAAGAAACCACAAAGCCACCCTGCTACAATGCTCTACAGTTGGGGAGGAGCTTCCAAGAGTGTTGGGATTCAGACTGCTCAACTCTTCTATTCCGAACATCAGATGTGCCCAGAGAAGTGTGGAAGAATCAGCGCGAAGGTGTAACTGTCGCTCTGGAAGTACGGAATTTATAGCAGTTTTGTAGAGTGGTGGGCTCCCAAAACAGATGGTGAGAGATGCGGACAGTCTTCGGGTCTTCGGGACAAAACATGCTGAGGCTTGGCAGCCTAACGACTGACGGGTACAATTTCACTCAAAGGCTTGGGTCCGCTACTCTCGATGACCACCGTCTCAGAGCCTCAACCCCAATCCAAAAGCTCCGCCAGTCAGGGCCCGGGCATCGACAGACTTGAGGCTGGGGATGTGGCGGAGCTGGCAGACGGAGCTTTATGGGATCACTCAACATCTGAGTGAGTGCACGACCAAGCGTCCCAGTAAACATCATCCAAAATAACACTACGACCGCTACCATCATCATGTTCTACTTCCTCTTCTTCATTCACATAGTAACAGCACGAGTTGCAGTTGTTGATGGCAACGATTGGCAACAACAGTAGCAGGTAGCAATCGACCTCGCAAGATTTTATCCTCTGGGGGAATCGGGCATAAGCCCAAATAACCTTGCCTCTATTTTACGTGAAACAGCGCAGCTCCTTATTAGACACTGCTGGACAAAAGCAAGAAGAGTTTTGCTGCTGATATTGAAATTATCACCTACCGTGCTTGCCATGAGTAGGCATCATCACCACCAGCACCGTGCCTCATCTCGCGACCTTGCCTCTTGGCTGAGGAGGCCCGGTTTGCACTGAGCCTCTATCCTATCACATCTGGAGAGATGCAGTATCTCGGCAATGCTCTCCTCATAAACAAACACTTACACTTGTCTTGCTGTCCTCGCTTGTAACACGGACGCTTCTTTGGATCTCCTAGAGCAAAGTGCATGACGAACAATCTTTGCAAGGATACAGGAGGCAGGGGCCTTGGTCTCGTGGAACCATTCAGAAACCTTTCAACCCTTCCCTGGTGCCCTGGAAACCGGCCTCTGTCCCATCAGGGGCGAGGGCATATTGAGCCCCAGCCTCGGGAGTAAGGCTATGATGCCTCTGAAGCCCTAGCTAAGCCGCTAAGCCGTTGCCGGCCAAGGGCTGAACCGTACAGGGTTTAGACGGCTAGGGGCTCTAAGGTTGATGATACAAGACTTTTAGAGTCTAGGTTATGCTTTTGTTGGGGTGCTTCTTCTGAGTGCAGCCGAGCTTGAGATCCTGACATGTTCTGATAGCCATGTCCTGGTAACATTCCCCTCTTCTCCTCGTCTGCAAGGAACAGTTGCAGACTCCTGTCAGGGCCAGGAAGTGACTCAGTTCGCGTCGGGGGCTTGGGCTTAAGTGGCAACTCGCTGAGCCATAACACTGAACAAAGGAAGCCGAAACAACGCGATTGTAACCTGCGGAAGACCACAGGACATCTGTTACATCCTCAACACGTGGTGCTAATCCCCGGCTTCAGGTGGCCGGAATCACTCAGCACCTGAAGAACCAACTCCGAACCGCCACATTGGCAGGACCTATTCCGGCTTCCACAAGATTCTTGTACCTTGCAACGTCTAAGTCAATCTTTGGACGTCACACCCTTCGAGGCCTCGCCTGTCCCAGCCGCCCCCACGGGAAACGAGCAAGCGGGGACGGGCCGGTCGAAGCAAAACGCTGCGGCGGCCAGAATGTTATTCCGAAGTTCTTCCCGCATCCCTGAATTTGGAGGTAACATTGGAGTCTCGGGTCGTTTTGCTGGCCTTCAAGCAACTCTGCAGGTCACAACAGGTCACACCCTGCACGCGAATCACGAATCACTCGGGCTGCATTTTGAAGGCTTCGGCCTTTATGTCTGGGTCCAGAACATAAAAGCGTTTTGATGGCGGGCTTGGGGTTTAAGCCTGCGCCTTCAGGCCATGTGGCTCACAACGCAGGCCTGCTCTTGATCATGCAACTACAGGCTCTGGTACCTGTGAGTGCCTTCAAGAAACGGACCACGACACGCAACAAATGCAATCAGTTTCCCAAGTACTGGCCGGAGCTATCGCTGCTGCTGTTGCTGTATATGTTCATGTTGCTGTTGCTGTTGCTGATGTTAACAGTGATGACCACACAAATCCTGGTGGCGGTTGTGATGGTGATGGTGATGGTAATGGTAATGGTGATGGTAATGGTGATGGTGATGGTCCCTTCGAGATTTTTAACGCTAAGCAGGCAGGCCTGATGGTGTGGACGTGTGGACGCAAACCCAGTGCGTTGAAACCTAGTTTCCATGCCGTGACTCATGGGGGGGACCTGCTCCTGCTCCTTCAGCTAGAATGACTGTGGCAGAGTCAGCTGCTTGTTAGTGCCAACCTGAAGCCTCATGAGCGCACCCCACAGCACAGGCTATCTGTTTCCCAAGCTATGCTCACCATGCTCACCTGACATCTCTGCATGCAAGACATGTTTGCCCGCCGCGCTGGCTCAACTTGTCGAGCTCTTGCCCCGGAGGGTCTTCGAGGGGGTCCGGCTGCGTGCCGTCTAAAGCTGACATTATCCTTGGCAGTGGCGAAAACTCTTCAAATCTGGATGCAGGTGGCCCTGGGGATTGGAGGCACATGCCGCCCTCGGACAAGAGGTATTGAACATGGGTGTGGCATGCGAGGTGTCTGAAGTGCCGTGATTTGGACACTTCTTCAAAATGTTGGCGAGAGCAGGCAACCCCATCATGCTCGTGGCTTCTATACTAACAAGCTGCTGCGCGACTAGATTTCAGGGGCGGGGTCCCCAACGTATCCAAATCAGTCGGCAAACACACCGCCAGCAGATGCTGCTGGGTAAGAAGAGCTCGACTCGAATCGGGCACTCTTCGGGTTCGGACAGTCTCTTTGCGGCAGCATCTTGCATGCGGAGGTTGAGCACAACTGCCGGCCACGGTGGGAAGATAGGATTTGAGAGTCTAATAGATTCTAATGCGACAGGTGAATCTGCTGTCAGCCGTATTAGACACACACATACATACATACATGCACACAGCCAGAACATTCCAAAAGTTCTGATGCGTCATCATGCGACCCCGAACCCTGAATCCAAGCAAAGCCCTAAACCTGAGAGGCAAAGGAAACAGGTGCACTTCAGACCACTCAGCCTCGAACTGCATAAGGGAAAGAACTGATCCCTGAAGATGTAGATGTAAGACTCCTCAAATCCCGGTGAGACGCCGTGGCCTCCTTTCAACCAAAAGGGGTGGGCGCCCTTGGAACCCGGGCCAAAGGCCTCGGCACAGCAATGCGGAAGGGATTCGACCCCTACGCTAAGAACAACCATCAAAAACCAGAGTCAGGATCATACTAGCCCGCGCGAAGACCAACAAAAATACAGCATTAACAGCAAGCCTGGCAATGCCTGGCACTCGGAAGGAATGGAACTTCCATTGTGCAAAGAGAAAGCCACCCGAGACACAACGATTAGCTGGTCGATCCTACTGCTGTGCGTCAGCATGATATCAGCCTGTATCTGAGGCTGAGGCAAGACAGCGCGGTTGCTTTCACAGTAGGCTCCCAGCTACAACAAAGCTCAAGGGCACCCCAAGCGCGAAGAAGCCCTACGACGCCACCTGTGCCGTGCAGGACAGGACAGGAGAGGACAGTGCTGGAGGAGACAAAACTTACCTTTGGTTAGTAGGGAATGGAGGAATGGGGTACAATGATAACTACTATTACTACCATTCTACCATTCCCTACTAATGCCACCGCACCTCGACGAATGTGCCTTTAGAGGACTGCAGCCAGCACTGAAAGACCGTTCCCCAAAGTGACTGACCATAGGTCCTAAGCCGCTTCCGAACAGGCTGCGCAGGTGTGACTCAGGGACGTCACTCACTGCGACAAGTGCCGGTACCAATACAAGAGAGATACCTCCTTGCCCAACGTCTGGCGTGACTCACATCCCGAAAGCAGGTATGAGCAACAACCGGCAAGCGGAACAAATGAAATATGAAATGTGCAAGCTGTCAACCGACCCGAAACCTGCAAAGCTTCGGGGGTGCGAAGCTGGGAACCAGGGTGGGACACGCCTCATGGAGTTCACGCCTCACCTGCGGAGACTGGCACAGGTTGCTGCTCCGAAACAGGGGATCATGCACCAGCAAACTGAAAAAGGTCGAGGCATCGCCCGGGTTCTTGTTCAGGAACTTAATCTAAGTTTCCACACCAGGGATCTATAGCACATACTATGGTTTCCCTATGGTAGTGGCTTACGGCACACTTCTTAATAGGAACCCAGTCGTGCCATGCTGCTCGAAAAGTTACTACCCTCGTCCACACGTCTGCTTCACTTCAGGACGACATCTGGAGTCAAACCCGCCCGGCCGTCTGCTGCGAGGAATCGTGCGTCGAGATCAGTGCCGGGCACCTGCTGCTGCGCGAACTTAGGATGCTGTGGTTGCAATTACATGACCAAAACCTTTCCATGATTTGAATGCGTCACTTCACACGAGCATGTCCATGCTAATACAAACTTTTACGCAAACAACTAACCAAGCATGTATGCATGCGTTCGCTTAAGATGTATACATGTGCTGGTGTGAGCAGCTTTGTGGGCAGGTCCCAAACGGGTAGAAGGGTGTCGGTTGTTTGCTTGTTTGATACTGTTCGTGACATTCCCCCTATCGGCGGGCTCCAGACTCAACTTGAATCATAAACTCAATGCGTTCGCTTCCGCGCCTGCTTGATGGCACGGTAGATGTACATGCCGGCCACAGGCATGCTAAAGCTCACCACGAAGGCCTTGGCTGCAGAGGGGTTCCCTACTGGGGACCCTGCCACTAGGCATGCTCTCCAGTACTCGGCCGGGATAGTCGGTGTCTCATACGTTATCACGAAAGACCACGTTGCCGGGATTGTCCTTCATGCTCCATCAACTACGTTCAGCCCTCCTCTCTGACCTGTAACCAAGGCGTACACCAGCAGCGTTCGGCTAAAGTTGGAGGACTTCTGAGCTGCAGGGACCTGGTGAGGCAGGCAGCTCTGTTGCTATCTCAGGGCATCTTGTTCAGCCAAGTGATGTCTCTGCCTGAGCCTCGTCAGTGCATGGAGATGTCGGACACGAAGAAATTTCTACATGGCCAGTGCTTGCTTAAGCCGGCCTGGAAGTTTCTAAAGCCTACTTGCTTTCCCTCAGAGCAAGGTAGACACTCTTATCGGATCCCAGGCCCACAACCTACCGGGAACGAGTCAGCTCTGCTCTGTACTGCCCTCAACTGGCGATGGCGACGTGGCAAGATGTACATTTTGTCAACCCTAGGTTCATCCCCCAACTCCCCAATGTTCGGCTGAAAAGAACGAGCTTGTTCAGCCATTGCTCACCAGCGTTCAACCATGCTTGGCCTGCCTTCGTCGCCAGCAGCTGCACATCACTGGTCTCAGAACCAGCTCCCAACCGCTTGAAAGCAGCCTGCTTGATGTGCATGCATGCGGTCTTCATCGACAATGAAGCTCATGTTGGCTTGCTCCCCCCTGTGGATGTACAGGCCGCTATTTCGAGCTGCAGTCCAGAGATTGGACGCTGTGTGGAAGTAAGATCGGTCTGCCACGCCAGTGAAACGCAGTCTTGTACACACGTGATGCTTCTTACACTCAATGGTACTACTCTTAATCCCATTGTGGGCACTCCTCTTCCGCATGACAACAAGCTACCCTGCTCAATGGCAAGCCAACTTTGTGATGGCCAGGAAGGACACGTGCGTTCCCCTCGTGCCAAAATCAAAACTTTCCGTTTGCACTTGGCCTCCATCTCGCCGTCCAAGACGGCATTCCATTCGGCCTGCTCCTGAAAAGACGGTCTGAGACATGCCCTGATGGGAAACGGCAGAGCAGAAGAATTCTGCAGCTTCGTAACAAGACCAGCTAAGCAAGGACCTTCTGCTGTGCCCTCGTGTTCTGTTGGAGAAGAACTGTCTTTCGACACAGGAAATTTGGAGTACATGGGGATGCTTCCCACTACAATACGACATGTTACACGCTGACGAAACCATGCTCTGTCATGGGCTCGTGGGTCCTTGGCTGGGAGAGTCTCCACCATGGCTCCCATCTGGCCCCTCCATGCCTCGGAAGACTGCTGTGGTCAAAGCTCAGATAAGTCTCGGGGGCCAGGAGCGCTGTAGAACCTCAGTTCGATCATTGAGCGACCTGCGATGCTGACCAAAAACCCTGGAATATGCCTGAATTTGTACTCTTGGCCAACCAGGAGCCATAGCCACATCATTCCACTGCATCAGCTTCATTCTGCAACCCAATCGGTTCCAAACGTAACGAACTGGGAGCGAGTTCGTGCCGGGTTCGGAGGAGGAGGAGGAGGAGGAGGAGGAGGAGGAGGAGGAGGAGGAGGAGGAGATCGGCCACGACCACACCCAGCAAATATACCCAAGCAACAAGAAGCAGGAGAAGCGACAAGAGCAACAAGACTATCCACAGTGCTATATTGCAAGTAGCCATGATGCCAAGACTTCGTCGTCTCTATCAAAGCTCCCGGCGACGAGCTCCGTCGCGGTCTGCGCGCTGCGGGCGCCGGCGGCGGAGGGTCGCACGGCTCGCGGCTGCGGAGCTGGGGCCTCCTCTTTTGGGGGTCTACTCGGGCTGTTGAGGCTTAGGGGTTTCGGGGTGTAGACGGCTTTTTAGGGTCCAGGTAGGCTGTGGGTTTAGGTACGGCTTTAGGGATTTGGGGTTCTGGTGAACTGGGTCTGTGAGGAACTCGATGTCCCGGCTTTTCGAGATCTCGGGCTGAAGAGCAACAGTCTGCTCAGATACGATGGACTCCGGGCCCTTCTCACCGAGTACTACTTGGAGGATCATGGGACTTAGTAAGTAAGGTTATAAGTCCCCTAATTGGGGTTATAAGTATAGTTACCTCAAACATACCCTAATTGAGGTTATGAGTATAGTTACCATAATAATACCCTAATTGGGGTTATAAGTATAGTTACCTTCATAATAACCCCAGTTACTAAGTCCCATGACCCTTTAAGTACCCTTCTTATAATAGAGCCCCTATAGATCCCTTTTAAGGAGCCCTTTAAGGAACCCTAGTTACTTAGTCCCATGATCCTTTAAGTAAGGGGTCCCTGCCGACTGAGCGCCCGCGGACTCCTAGGCCCTGGTTGTAGTCTCGTTCTCAAAGCTAAGCTAGAGATTTAAAAAAATTAGAGATACAATTGTTTTTTACATTTTTTATCTCTTTTATATATAGGGGTCAACGCTGCCGTCAAGAACGGCCAAGATCTACTAGGTATCCTAGGCTATATATGTGTTTTTTGGACTTATTGCTGCAGTTTTCCGATTCATGATTGACCGTTCACGGCCTGAGTCGGCCCTTCGTAGATCCATGAACCTGTAACCCAAACCCAGAAAACAAATCTAAACCCAATACCTGCGCCCTGCTTCTTCAACATCGGTTGATATTGCTCGACTCCTGCACTAAAGCCCAAAATATACCCTGACCAATATTCCCAACAAGTCCCATGCACACTGACCAGAAAAACTACGCCGTAAATCCCCCATGAAACCCTAAGCCCAAACAGAACCTTAAAACTGCAACCCTTGACCCTCGTTAACGGATTCCTTAGTAAGCCAGAGCCTACTTGGCAGCGGCTCCACATTGCAGCATCAAGGCTCCTTGGAGAGCATGACCGGCTCGGGCTGGGGGGCGGCCGCATCCTGAACCAGATGCGAAACAAATTCATGTACTGGGTTTAGGGTTTAGGGCTTAGGGACTTAAAACATGAAAAACGGTGAGAATAAGACAAAGTAGATGAAGTCTTACATCCTTGGAACTGCACGGCCACGGAAAGAAACGTTTTGCAGCGTTGGGTTTAAGGTTGGGATTCGGGACTTGCAGATTGGTTTTAGGGCCTGGGCATTAAAACGTTTACGGTTTAGTGCTTTGGGGTTCAGTGTTTGGGCTTGGGGTTTAGAGGGCTTCAGGGCTGTGATGGAGACAGAAGGGTTGGAGCCTTTTAGCTGCTGTGGACAGAGGCTCCACTCATGCAATACTACCTGGCCAACCTGGCCCGGCAAAGGTAACGGGTAGAGCACATGCAAGCTGAAGAACCTGGTGGCGAAGCGGATTTTCCTACTCCCTCTTTCGCTGTGGTCGCCTGGGACTCCGGATGCTTGATCCGCTCCAGGTTGTCCTTGTACTCCTCACGAGCACGTGTACATGAGGCTTCGATGCGTGACATGACTTGGGGAGTCCTTTGTTACTGGACCTAAGTCAACACATGATCAGCATCTGCAGCTCCTTGTCGATGCTGGACAGAGTCGGCTCCTGAAAGCAAGCTTAAAATCTTTGCCGCCCTAGTCAAAAGACCGGGAACACACCTCACAAGGCCCGTCCTACCACAATGGGCCAAACTAAGTAAAGCGCAAGGAACAAGAGGTTACCGACCGAAGCTTTAAAAACAAACGAAGCTTTACACAGCAGGGGCTCTCCCCGATACCTCTCGAACTCCAAGTGCCTGGTACATGGAGGGGATCCAAGTCTTGGCAATCTTCGTCTGCTTGTCCTTCCTGCCATTCCGCCCCGAAGCGCGGCACCCCGCCAAAAAAAAACGAGAGATGGAACTGTCACAACGCAGAGAGCAATCCAGGACATGATTTCTTGAGAAAAGGAAGCCTCAACACATGGACTCACCGACGAGCCGCAGACAAGATCCACAAAACGAAACGTGCCGGTCTGCGCCAGGCGTTGAGCTCCGCCTCGGTCTTGCAGTCCTTTGGCGAGTAGGGGACCTGTCATGGGCTGAAAGAAGCGCTGGCCAAAGTTGCGCCGGGAGCGTGGGCTTTTGGTGCAAGAGATCCCCTTGTCGAAAGCCTATCGGATGTGAAGCGAGAATGCTCAACCCCACTTTGTGCAGAGGCTCGTGTCCCGATCGGCAGGGGCCTGGGGCCTGAACATCAAGATGATCGACTCGTCTCGGACGAACAGCGCTGACACGAACCGGAAGTTTCATCATTTGTGCTCTCTACAAGAAGTAGTGGAGGTTGTACTTCCCTGGTGGTTCGGACCTGTTGGTCCTGGCTACCCTCCTGCTGGAACTTCTGCCACTCGCTCATCCAGTCCTGCAGGACATTGGGCCGTTCCATGCGAGCAAATTGGGAGTTTCCGAAAATTCGCCCTACCTTATTTTGGGGTCCTCATAATAAGGATCCTACTGTTTGGGGTACTACATTAGGGTCCCCCAGTTTCGGAAACTCCCAATTATGGCTTCAGCAGCTCTGGCTCAGGACTGACTGGACCAACGATTATGGATACCTTTACAAACCGGAGTATAATACCCCTACGAATCTCCACGACATGTTGTAAACGCTTTAGAAAGGCTTTCGAGCTGCTTCCTCACCCGCAAGAGTTGCGCACTTCTGAATGGCTTCATGCATGAATGCGCGTGCTCATTCAAGCTGTCTGGCATTCATGCGAAGCACTGAGCAATCACGCGCAGGTCTCGCACAGCTTCTGCAGCAGCTGACCGGCTGACTCTGTTGACCACGGCGGAATGACGCACACTGGGCCGGAACAACTTCAAGATTCGGTCCTTCTGGGTGTACTGGTGGGAGATTCCCATGTACTTGGAATAGTCCTGGGCGATTCAAGGGAGACGGCAACTCATCTCCGGCCCTGCTACAGCTACAAGTACTTCTATTCCGTGGCATGGCCCACTTCGACTCATGGGCCAAGCAGCCATGTACTGCCGGAAGTCGTTTGTGACGGCAGGCAGGCCACCTTGGGAATCTGTCGCACTGCTTCTGCAAGGCCCCCCCGCCCCCATGCAGTCTCATCCTGAGGCCCTATTTTAGTGCCTTCTGTCACAGAACCCGGGCTCATAAACCTCCCTCCGCCTGTACGGAGTATCACAGGCACCCTACTAGTCAATGGAGCAGGGCTATTCAACAGCAGAATTGAATTGAGCGCTAGCCTCCCAAATCGAAAACCCAGGCCATCCACCTTTAAGTGACGCTCTAGAGTCTACGATGCTCCCCTAAACGAATCCCGCATAGCACAAATCCCAGCCTTTGGGGCCGCCATCTGTTGTGCCGCTGGGCACCTCGGAAAAAGACGGCAAGCACTTGGAGGGTACAGGATGGTACAGGAAAGAGCGGGAAGCCGAAAGCGAGGGCATCCGAGGCAGGGGCGAAGCCATGACCCATGTTTCCGCCACCGAAGTTGGACAGAACTGGGCAGAGAGCTGCAGGTGGGGTTCCACTGCTCAGTAGGGGATCAAAACCTGTTACCCGCAAGAGGCAAATGTCAGCCACCCGGACCACGACACTGCTTACACATTCGACCCAGCTTGGAGCGAACGTGTGCTTCCAGCAACTGACTGACTGAATATGATGCATGTGGCAGGATCGAAGCCGAATCTCAACAGTCAAACATTCCCCCCGTTTCCCGATCTTGGATTGTAAGCAACTGCGAAATCCCGAACTTTCGCAAGTCTCGCAGAAAGCCTTCACAGGAGTGGTTGTAGCTAACATATGATGCGTGTGCTCAGGAAACACTGGAGTTTAGCAGTAGAAAGCATCAAGGCATTCAAACATCGGCCATGGACACAGACAGCACTGTGCAGATCAAGGGATGCAATGGTATGGTCAGAGGCGAGAGGGCCTGCTCCCAGTCTGCGGGAAATGTGGTGCCCTTATCTTGCGGTCCTGGCGGCTGGACTGAGTGTCGCTGGAGCCCACGTCGTCATCACTGCCTCGGAGATTCTGGTACTGGGCGGAAGTGGAGGGTTTCTCGCATCTCTGAAGCTTGACGAAACTACTGTGCCAATACGACATCAGCGACTGCGACGACAACGACAGCCGCCGCCGCACTTCTCCTACGCTGCCGTTGCTGCTGCTACTGTTGTTAATAATGTTGCTGCCACTACTCCTGATACTACTATTACTGCTGCAACTACCACTAGATCACCATCAGCACCACCACCACCACCACCACCATCAGCACCACCAGCACCACCACCACGACTACTACCACCACCACCACCACTTCTAACTCCTCCTCCTCCTCTCCTGCTGCAGCCTCCTCTTCCCCTATCTGCTCTTACCTCTCCATTCTCATTTCCACCCGGCCTCCGGCTGATGAAGTGGAGGTGATGTCACGACTGTGGAGACCATATATCACAACGACGGTGACGACGACGGCTCCACATATGTAGGTCCTCCTCGATCGATCCGAGCTTGAGACCCTCAGTGGCCTTATCCAAGGCGTCGAACTGGACTCCGCCTCAAGCGTTTGCTTCGAGATTTCTTTGGGTTGGTGCACAGGGAGACAGACTCTATGACCTCATGTCAAAGACGTGATCTCTCTGCAGGATCCTATATGACAATGATGATTTCCTGACAGCCTAAGTTACAAGATATCTATGAATGTCCGGCCGCAAAGGTGTGCGGGCGTCTGGTATAACACCCAAGGGTTTGAAAGCAAACTCAATTCGCAACACTTCAAGGCTGGTCAACTGTAGCAGTATGACCTTCGGTTCATACAGAACTCAGCGAGCTGACCCGGACACTTGAACCCCCCCGGCAAGCCAAGCCCCGGACTAAAGTAGTAGTCTCCGCTGCCACCTGAGGACGGGCTTTTCAATCACATGTTCTCGGGGCATCTGCACACCAAGCTTTCAAAAACAACCGTGCAGTACCATATGCATGATTGTAGAGCCTTGAAGTCCTGCATCGCACGTCCCAGTGGCATATCTACCTATCGGTCTAACGGTCCCTCCCTCCATCTCAGCTCCCTCTTGGCAGCGTGTGGGGCACGAGCGGGACTCGTAGCTCTCTCTGTCTGTCTGTCTGTCTGTCTGGCTGTCTGTCTGACTGTCTGACAGACCGTCAGTCAGACACACAGACAGAGACAGAGACAGAAAGACAGGCCGACATGCAGACAGACAGACAGACAGACAGACAGACAGACAGACAGACAGACAGACACACAGGCATCCGAAACATGCATACATAGCTACCTACCTATCTACCTACATACATACATAAGCGCACAGACATACATACATACATACGTACATAAATACACACATACATACATACATACATACATGCATACATGCGTCTGTAAGTACGTACGCCGGTACATATGTAATTACAAATCGCATGTACATGTATAGGCCTACATGTTACATATGAATGCCTGCACACACGTACATGAACGGACATTGCGCATGCATCTGCGTACGTATGTAAGGATGGTTGGGTTCATGGATAAATGCATCGCAGGCATGCATCTATGCACGTATGTAAGGATTGCTGGGTTCATGGGTAAATGCATGCACGGATGTATTGGTGGTATGGATCGTCATCTGCTTGTTCAATGACATGCTTTTTCAATGGCATGTTGACAAACACATGTAGAGCGATCCTGACGTACGCGGCGACTGCACTTGTAGCTGCAAACAAAATCAGGAAACGCAGCTGGTCCGATCGACGAACTGTTTTCACGAGCTGGGAGTCAAGAGTCTGAGCAACTGGCCTTTGCTGGAGTACTGGAGATACTGCTCGAAGTTCAGAAAATCCTCCGTGCAGGGTTCACCGAGTTCCTGCATTTCGAAGCCCCAAAAGCCTTGCAGTCTGACACCCCATTTCGGTGCAAACAGCATGAGCAGCAGATTTGACATCACTACGCTGTCGAGGACACTGCCCTGCCTGTGGTGGGACCGATGGCAAAGGGTCTGGACATGTTTTGGGAAGACACTGAGGCAATCTAGTCTAGTCTATACTATATACCCCAGCTATGAGCTGTCCTTGAAATTGTGAGCCTGATCTTCCTGGCGGTGGGCGCCCTTGCCAACGTAGCTCTTGAAATCCATGTACTTCTCGTAGTCGGCCAGGAACCTCGAGAAACCGAAGGCATTTAAAGCTCAGCTGGATGGTAGGGAGGGGTGGTGGGTAGCCTGGTGCCTGCAAGCCTGCCAGTGCGTGATGGGAGGCTTCGCAATAACTGCTCCACTGCTCGTGGGCCTTTCGAATCTCCTATTTTGTCTCACTCTTTGGTTGTGCCGTCACAGTACCGATGCCTCCGGAAGCCCGCACAGGGCACCTCGTTAGAACCGGACATGAGGCGCCAAGTGCTTGGCTTGCTCCAGAGACACTCAAACCGAAAGCAGCACAACTGCTCCTACCGGCCCGAATCACAGCGCCAAGTGCGTCAGACAACGTAGCTATGCCTTGAAGCTACATCTGTGCAGAGGTCGCGCCGTCCCTCCGCAGCGGCTCAAGAAGAATAAGCAGACTACATAACTAACAATAGCTGGAGTAGTAATAATATTCATCATAATAATATTCATCAAAATAATGCATAGTAATAACATTCATCATAATAATGAATAGTAATATTATTCATCATAATAATGACTAGTAATGGTATTCATCCTAATAATGATTAGTAACAATATTCATCATAATCATGAAGAGTAATAACATTCATCATAATAATGCATAGTAATGGTATACACCATAATGATGAATAGTAACAATATTCGTCATATAATGAATAGTAATATTGTAACATTCATCATAATACTGAATAGTAATAATATGCATCACAATAATGAATAGTAACAATATTCATTAATGAGAAGAAGGGTTAACACTGGGCAATCCTTCTCAGCCTGGCAGCGTTTATGCAACTACTCAAAGAGCTCCCGAGCCGCTCCTTCTCCGAAAAACAAGCGGCTCTCGTGGTACGAAGGGCTTAAGGGTTCAGGCTGTAGGTTAGGGGTTAAGGTTTCAATTTAAGGGCTTAGGGTTGAGGGGGTCTAGGGTTTAGGGGGTGTGGGTGTCGTACCTGAATATGACGGTGTCGGATGAACCGGCTTGTGAGAGAGCCACCTGCTTGGTCTTTCTCGCACCTGCCACCAACCCATGGCACTTTGGCGGGGCTGGGGGGCTTTGTTCCTCGCTCAACAGTTCTTTGGAAGTCGAGCCCACTCAGAACATGGTATTCTTTCGCTTCGCAATGTACTCCTGGAGCTGTGGCACAGTATCCACGGCAAGCCTCAGTGATACACTTTTGAAATGCCGTCGAAGTCTGTGTGCAAGTTTCTCCGCGTGCGCAGACGGAGGAAAGTCAATTCTGCTGCAGACAACTCCACAAACCACGGTTTCAGATTCCTCATATCAACAAACAACTCGGTCATGGCGGTGATAAACATACGGCATAATACTGAGGTACTGCATAAGCAACAAATGTCCTCCTCATCCTCCTCCTAGATCCTCCTCCCCTCACCCTCCTCATCCTCCGCCTCCTGCTCCTCCTGCTCCTCCTTGTCCTCGTTCCCGTTGTCGTGAGGGTGGTGGGTGCGGCAGCAATCCAGCCGGCACTACTACCAGTCGTCGTCACAGTGAGGAATACAACTCGAAAGCACTGTCGAGAATCGAGCCTGTCGGCAAACGACATGCCGAGATGCATGTCCTACGCCATACAACAAGACAAGAAGGTCGAGGCAGTGAGATTCGAGCTGCTTCATTGAGGACTACTGATGCATTCATTGCACAGACTGAAACGATCATTGCACCGGCTTATCCAAGGCAGCTTGGTCGCATGGCGGCCTTCATCTTGGGGCAGTCCTCACAGCGAGGCTGAGTGCTCGTCCAGGGTGCTGCTGTGTCAGCAGCATACTGCAAGTCCAGGGTCCATCACGCTGTGCAATATGCAACAACTGGTGCAACTACAACTCTGGTGCAACTTGTGGCAATTGTCATCAGCAAACAGTAAACCAGAATGACTAAATGCTTGTGGTACTGCAGGGCTGCAGGGCATGGCTCAGGATATAGACAACTGATACGACGAACTTGATACCAAGGCTCCTGGAAGGAGGCTTTGGCACCCTCCGTGTTGTCAAAGAAGCCGTTCGGAGACAGGAGCAACCTTGGCTGGGTGAGTTTCGGGAATTTTGGGTTTTGGCTTGTGGGTATAGTTTGCTTCTTGGTGGCAACCGCCCAGGCCTGAAGCTTCAGTGGATGCCGAAAGAAAATCCCTCCCTTCCTACGAGCCTCGCCGCTCGTAGCCACCTCCCTTTGTTGCAGTCGGCACTGCCAGCTAGGACCCGTGTGCGGTATACAGGGAGATTTCGTTTTGTACGGTTCGTTTACTTCTGAGTTTCTAGTTCGCTGGGTTTAGGATGGCTTAGAGCCGGAAACTAACAGCCTCCGTCGACCGGCTTAAGTGGCTAGGCCGCCCATCCCAGCAACGGATAAAAGCATCAGAACCAGGCCACTGACTGCAAAACTGTCAAGCCAACCCACATATCCACAGCCCAGAAACATGTACCATTGGAGATCAGCTAGTGAGATCTTGCCTTGCAAGACGTCGGTCAAGGGGGAAGCTTCGGCAACTGGTTACGAGGGCGACCAGAAAAGGCATGGGGCTGGCTTTGTGTGCAGACGGGTGCCTTCAAGACTTCGTGGACGTGCATCGAATGCTTGCAGCTCTTCCACCGATATCTACCAGCTCTGTCGTTTTCTGGGAGCTACACAAGAAGTGTCTTGCTGGTACTGTCATCGGGCAGTTCCGAGGGATCCCTCCGAGGCCTCCGACCAGAAACGGCCCAGACCCAGGAGGAATGGACTTCTCCGCTTTTTTCACCCATTCCTTGCAAGGGGGTGGGAACTCGTGAAATCGCTCTCAGCCCAATTTTCCGAGGCAGAATCCCAACTGGCCAGGGCGCTGGAAGATCCTCTTTGAACCACTTCTCCAGTGCCTCTGCTGCTTCGATTCAATTGAGATTCCGGAAAGCAGATTATCATATACCAGAAACTAATATGACATGATGTATAAGTTGTGGCGGATTTGGAAGCCAGGTCGTATACAATGTCGCAGGAGCTGACCCGCCAAATGCACGCAAAACTTCTGCGATGCCACAAACGAGGCATTTGCAGACCCCCCTGATTCAGCCAGGCGGCTGCTGCCTTTTCCTCTTCCTTGACGCCTTTGGCCTTTTGATAGGCTTCCTCATGGGGATTCTAGGCTACATCGAGCACGGAAGGAAGATTGGATGTTTGGTCCCAAGGCTCCTTGATGTCCCTGATAGTCTCCCCCAGCATGTCGACCTGGGCAGCCTCCACACTGGAGCCTCCCATCATCCCGAAATCAGCAGCAAGATAGCGCTCGATGGCTTTGGACTGGCCAATCTTCTTGCCATCCACCTAATAGGGGTCAGATGTACCTGTTCCCATCAATGCTCCCTTGCAAGTGCTGAGGCTGAGACCTCCAAGAGAGGAACCTTTCCCAGCGAGACGTCCAGATCACCCTTCCTGGGTCGGGTTTGGAGCCCAGATAGAAACTTCACTTCTGGACGGGTTTCTTCACACAGAGGGGAGGTCCGGTTAGATGGCGGCTTGCATATGTGCGCCCAACATACAAGGTGCTGGGGACGTGTCGGGGAGGTGCTGGGGAGGTGTGTTGATGTGTTGGAGACATGCTAGTAACAGTCTCCTTGACTTCACTTGCGAAGCTTTGACAGCAGTTAGACACAGACAGCTAAAGTGAATACAGAAACTCATTCGAGGGCCGCGGTCATGCCAACTCTAGGGACATGCATCTCAACGCCAGGATCACTTTGTTTGCAGACCCCCAATTCTAGTTTTGACAAACGTTTGTCAACACCAGAAACACTGGTTTTTGGCTCGTAGCATTCGAACGAAAATAGTCTGGTGTTAACCCATAAAACTCTAAAATATTCTCCAAACCCGGGCCAGCTTCGCTTTCATCTCATCGAACTCGGGACGGCTGACGGTACTGAAGTCCCCAGGCTTCCCGAAAGTCAGGGACAGTCGCACATCCTCGTAAGGCTGTTTTGCGGCGGCAAAGAGGAGTCGGCACGTCTCGGCCACGCCGCGAGCATCGAAGTAGACCAGCTTGTATGACTTCATCACAGCAGGCGGCGCGCCGCAGAAACAGTCCATGTTGGAAGATGCTGGGACGCCGGTAAGGTCACCAGTCGGAGCAGAAAACAAGCTCGATGCATGAAGGATTCCATCTAAGGAGCCCCTCACCTTCAGTGCACGCCCTCCAATCCGGCTGACCCGAAACAGAGGAGACCTCGAAGCCTGCCTCCTACTTGCACGTATGTATATACATCTGCTAGCACATGACTATATTGTTATCATGATACCACTATAATCTACGACTCCAGACACTGAGAGCACCGGTAAAAGACCCCCCCGAGGTCGATGCTTGTGGAAGTTCACGGGGGAGTGGCTTCCCTCCTGGAGATTTCAGGGCCAGGCCTGCAGATGCTTCCCGGGACATCTCCTTACTCTTCGCTTTCTTTAGGGACATATTAAGGCAGCAGCTTCTCTCGCGAGGAAGCGTTGTCTCTTCAGTCCTTATGGAGGTAGTCCATGAACTGCTGGTACTTCTCGTAAGCCTCCCAAACTGTGGATCAAAGCGGAAGAAGGAAGCTGACAGCGACACAGCACAGCATCCTTGGTGAAGGCCGTATAGTTCATGGCGCCCTTGCCAGCCGACTCCATCTCCTTTGGACAATCGGGCGTTCGCTTCAGAGGTCTTGCAAAGGGAGAGAGGTCCTTGTGCGCAATCCCGTTAGGCCATTCAGCACGCACAGCTGGGACTAGCCAACGCAGTCGCCCTCCCAGGCTCCTTCTTGTAGTCCTCATAGGTCTTGTAGTCCGCCTGAAACTGTGTTGATGCTGGCTGTTAATGGCCTCGAAATAATCGCACTTGAACACTTTAGTTTCGACTCTGCACCGCACCTGGTATCCTGCATACTGGGCGGGTGCGCCCGGAGTGGCGCTGGCCAGGTACACCTCAAGCGGCACGGATATCGCTAGGCTATTTCAAGCCTTATTGATCTTATTATGCTTAGCGTTGGAATTGAGGTTAAGGTAATTGCAAGACAAACACATGTTCCGTCTTGGAGCTGTGAGCTAACATGTAGCGCTTACGGGCACACACACACACACCACCCTGAAGCCTCTGCTGTGAACTGAACTACCATGGTCTGGGCAACGACTGCGCAACCCTAAGCCCATCGTTCTGGCGCATGCAGGCGTTCAAGCAAACTTGTCAGGATCCGGATCCACAACTCCTATTCGAACAAGCGGCACAGCTGGCTAGGAGCAGCTGCACGCGGCACATCATGATCCAAGTGACCTTAGGCGGAGCAAGTGCACTGCTGTGGAGCAAGGCGGATAGTCGATGCAAGTCTGTACTTGTAGGATGGAAACAACGAAACCTGCCTCTCATTATGTCATTATGTAGTACTACAATGGAAGTTCAAATCCGAAGTTCCAATGGCCTTCTTTCTACCCCGAACTCTAACCCCTCCGCTCGGAAGCTGACCCCGGCTGCCGCTCAGTAGTCCCCGGACAGGGCAAGCTTCAGCTCGAGAGGAAATGCCATCAGTCCACGTCTTGTGTGACTTGTGTACGGGTTTGGCAGCCGAGCAGGGATGAGAGAGGTTTCTGTATACACCCTGGCGAATGAAGGCCTCGGATTGTGTCCAATTGGAATCTGGATCCAGCCATGACTTCAATGAGCTGATGCAGGCCCTCGAATCTGCTTGCTTCGGCAGGCTCGTGCCCAGCACCCCAGATTATGCCGTACATTCTGAACTCTGCACAACTAGCTTTCCTGAACACTTACGCCAGGAAATCTTCAGGATGCAAGTAATTGGTAACAGGACCTAACACTGCGCTTTCGTATCACCATTATGTGTTTCCCAGACCCTAAGGAGAAGATGGCAGTCGACAACCTGAACACACGGCCAAACGAAGAGAGACACATGAGGGTCCGTGTTGTACTGCCCCGCAAGCATCCCATCCTGCAGAGATCCAATGGGGAGCAGGCCGAGTTACCATGCCGCGTTTCAAGGATCAGCATGCAGTCGACATTGAGTGGAGCACTTTTCGCATCGTGTCTGTTGTCCTACATGAGGGATTGCACATGCGCTCAGGGCACTACCGCGTGGCGGTGCCATTGCTGGGGAGTGAGGGGGCTTGTGAACAGTGTCTGCTCTATGACGACAACAAATCTGCAGAGCGCATCTCTTTGGCAGCGCACAGATGGTTGCACGCACAAGCATATATGTTTATGTTGACCAGTGAAGCTGCGGACTGATATCATGGCTCGATGCAGTTGTCTGCACTTCTATCGTGCAGCGTAGTTTTCAGGTGTATGGCATATGATGAGGATATCCTCGATTTGGTTGCCAATGCGCGTGGAGCCGTTGGTGGGCTCATAAGGCGCACGCCGCAGGCTGATGGAAGCGACGGCAAAGCTGGTCTCATAAGGCGCGCGCAGCACCGAGTGCACATGTGGGGAGAATGCTTTTACATTCTTGAGCGGTGCTTTTCCTCAGGGTCCTCTCAGGGGACTTCGAAGGCATCCAGCGCAATTTCCTTGGACTAGTCTGTTGATTTGCAGATACATCAGAAGCTGTACGGATATGCCTTTTATGAGCTTTATGCTGCAACGGAATACGGCAATGTCACTTCATCGTGGCACCAACAACTGCGCTGCTAGCTTGAATACAGTTATTCCGTGTTCCAGTTTTCATGGTGGTGGTGTATGGGTGGAAGATGACAGTGGAGAGTACTATTCCAGTGACAGCAATCGCATCGGCCACATGTTCAATCTTACTATGAGTGGGATATGCTTTTCGCCACACAGGTGGCACGAAACGTGCCCATGGGAAGGCACCAGGATCACAATCGCGGCTTTTACCATAAAAGATGCGGCACTACTTTCGGATGAGGATCGCTGCTACTTACAAGGTTTGCTTTTCCGATTCTGATCGATATGCTGAGCGGGGTACGGTCATGTTGTACAGTTTTCGGGCCGCTTCGATTTTGAGGTGAGTTCGCTCGGCATTGCCTTATACAACACGCGCCAAGTCACACTTACTCCACTCCTCTTCTCTCGCTCCCCCCGTCGTCCTGGTCGTTGTCTTCTCGCTCCTCCCTCCCTTTCTTTCCTTTCCTCTCCCCCTTTCCGTCTCTTCTCTCTCTCTCTTTCTCTCTCTCGCTCTCTCCTTCTCTGGTTGTCGTCTTCTGTCGTCTCTCTTTCTTCTCCTTCTTCTCTCTCTCTCTCTCTCTCTCTCTCTCTCTCTCTCTCTTTTCTTTCTTTCTGCTGGGCTTAGGGGTCCCGCAAGACCCTCAGGCCTTAGGCCCGCCCAACCCTCCCACTGTTTTAGTGAGTGGTTGGCATTGGGGTCCTTCCAGAGCACGGCATAGAACTACCGAATATGCCCCAGGTTTACAAGTAGAGAGCCCCCCCGAACACTAAACGCAGAAACAACCCCCGCCTCGTCTCCGCGCCCCTATGGCAACAATCCTTAGCCCTTAGTAGGTTCGAGGGGGCATGAAAAAGCCGGTTAATTGTTTCTCCCCCTGCTCTCTCTCTCTCTCTCTCTCTCCCTCTCTCTCTCTCTCTCTCTCTCTCTCTCTCTCTCGCTCTCTCTCTCTCTCCACTCTCTCTACTTTGACTTTTCTTTTGTCAACACGGCCCTACAATAGGGTGCCGTCTCGACGGCCGCATCTGAATGATGTGCAGTGTCACGCTTAGATGGTTACCGACTGTCTGCGTCTCAAAGTACAAAGTACAAAGCATCCCATCCTGGTTTCTCCAATCCAGGTCACTGAACCGATGTGCGAGTGCTCCCGAGTTGCATCTCCTCGTGCTTGGTTTTGTGCGTTCCGGGCAAGCGATTGTGAAAAACTTGCTGTTGGGTCTCGGCATACCCCCGACGATGCAATACGTGCGTTCAGCAAGCAGTTAATGCAATGTACAACAGTCCGGTTTACCAAACAGCATGACACGGATACTGCCCTAATTGAAAGTTAACAACGCCCAACAAGCTTCGCTTCGAAAGCTTGGTCAATGGGGTGGATTCCTGGCCGCATTTGTAGGCAACTGATGTCACAACCTTCTACAGGATCTGGGGCCGGCATAGGAAGGAAAAATGCCAGCCAATTCCACGCAAAGGTGATCATGAATTCAGTGCCGGCTGCACAATGCCTACTCTGCTAAGCAGATGTAGGCAAGACTGACTTGATCTACTTCAAGCAAAAGTTCACGCAGACTCCGATAACTCTACTGAGACGTGTCCCCCCGGATTTCCGCTGTCAGATCTGTGGAAGGGCTGCAAGGCTTGTGGAAGCATTTCAGCCATTTGACAAAGCTTACGTGGTTTGTCTATTTGTCAAATCGGCATTGACCGTGCCGATCGCTCCGACCCCGGCCGGGAGCTCCGGATTTGACTGTCAAATCTGTCAAATGAAGACTGTTACGCGACTAAGCTGCCTGTCAAAAAGCCTTGTCAAATCTGTCAAATCTGTCAACTCCGCCTCAGAGCTTGCCTGAAAGAGTAGCTTCGATGAATTGGACGGATTTGACAGCTTTGACAAGTTTGACAAGGCTTTTTGACAGGCAGCTTAGTCGCGTTACAGTCTTCATTTGACAGATTTGACAGATTTGACAGTCAAATCCGGAGCTCGGTTCTGGCGGCGTCGGGCGGGGCGCGCGCGAGGGTTCCGGCGGCGTCGGGGCTGTTTCGGGCAGGCGCGCGCGAGTTTCGGGCGGTCTCGGGCTGTTCGGGGCGGGCGGGAGCAGCCCGCCTTTGGGTGGTGTTGCAAAAATTCGCAACACGCTTTGCGCTTGATTTTAGCGGCGGGCGGGCGCTGCCTGAGTTTTCTACCGGCGGAATGACGGCTTGTCATTTTTGTCATTCTTGTCATTCTCATCGCTAGCGTAGCACTCACAGACACTCAAAGCTCCTGGCGGCCAGAAGCGAAGCATTGGCAGGAACCTGGACGAAGCGGAAAAACATCAAAAGACAAAAAGCTTCTCAGTAGCAAGCAGCACTGCACTGTCCGTCGTCGCCGTCTGCACATCAGCCAGCTGAAAAGGATTTGGAAATGCCTGCAACTGATCGTTTCTTGCTGATCGTGTATATAAGTACATGTGCGCAAGCGTTTCCATCATGCAACAGCAAACCGCAAGCAAGCACCGCTGGCAGAGCTTTCATTCACTCTTTTCAGCACCACAAACGCACAGGGTCGTTCATGGCATCATCTCTTGCGGCAGCCGGTGCAATGCATCTGGCAATGTTTGCAATGATGCCCACAGTCATGAGCTTTACAATTATGTTTCTGTCCATGGTCTTGACAATAGGATGGCTGCAAACACCCAGCGCAGGAACACAGACCGCAAAAGAAGTTCTGTGGGCTGCTCCAGCTCCACCCGACCTGGACACTCGGAGACTGGCTTTTCACAAAGCTGTCAAAGAGATCACGTGTGTAAGGACGGATCAGCAGCTCTTGGTCTTCACTGCCGGAGGTCTCGACAGTGCCATGGCCTGCACCACTCAGATGTGGTCGGTGCATCACTTGGAACGCAATAACGTCCTCGACACCGTGCTGAATCAGAACCTCCGACAGTGCTTTCAGGAATCCTTCACAGCCTATCACCAGCTGCAAACCCGCAGAAGCAGACTCACAGCTGGCTTGAACGAACTCATACGGCACCCACTGGCCCCCGAACCAAGTAAAGGCAAAGGGAATCTTAGGCTCTGATGCCGGCGCTGGGCGCATGACAGACTCCTTTGCCTGGATGTCCTGTGTCTCCAACAACACTTGCCCTGCAGGCATTTCAAAATGTCGGTGTTTGATGGCCACGCTTACGACATTCTGCAGTTCATACCGGACAATGACTTCTTCCAGCTGCGACAAAATTGTCTGCTGCTGGTTTGCAGACAAGCCGTAAAATCTCCCGGTGGCATCTTCGAAGGTGGGGAGTTGCTCATACACGCAAGCCGGCATCTCCAGAGAAATTTGTGGACCAGGAAACGTCACATCCGGTACATCTGTTACACGATATCTCCTTGATGACCTCGTCTTCCGAGTTGGCAGCAATGGTCTTCCCAGTCCCAGCACCAAGGACACACCAACGCCAAGACCCAGCAAGCCCACACCTGGCAGAAGTGACTGGGGCTTGGCAGGAGTGCAAGCAGCAGCTGGAGGAGCAGCTGCTGTGCTTGGCAGGATTCGATGGTTCCAGACAAATGCTTCGGAACCGGGTACATGCGCCTTGAAGATACGCTGTGTGACGTTCCTTTTCCCACCACTCTTTGAGCTGAATGCCTCAGAAGCAGAGTAAGAGCTTCCTTGAAGTTGCAGCTCCGGTGGCTTTGAGGTCTCTGGGTTCTTCCTGTGAAACGCCTTGGCATCCAAAAAATCTTGAAGACTCACTGGACGACCGCTCGGAAGATGCCCAATCACTCTCTGGAGGTCTGCGTCCATGAGCTCACGGTCATCTGATTCATTCCGTGGACGCCATGGGCCAACTTTGCCATCTCTCACATCATACCCGGTGTTCTTGCGCAAACCCAATGTCTTCACTGGGTCCGGGTTGTTCAAAGGGTCCGCACGATGCGCTTGCTTGGCCCGAACGAACTGCTCCGTAGTCATGCTTTGTCCACTCGGCCCCCGAATGGGCGCATTTGCCGCAGAGACTATCCCGATGTGAGCAGCAAAGGCTAAGTTGAAGATCAGGGTGTGGCACAGCATCATCCGCAGTCGACTATTTGTTGAGTGTTCTCGCGTTCTACGACCCTTCCGGTTGAGCCATGAACTGCACAGATCACAAATGCTCATGATGGCAAGCTTGCTTTAACTCACGCTTGCGAAAATGCTGTGGCAAGTGCTCCTGCCTGCGAAGCCTCGAAATGGCTGTCGCACAACACCCCTGAGACATTGCCCAAGGGTGGGCGGTTGGGTAGGACGAGGAGGGCCGGGGTCGGGACAACCATCCATAGTAGGAGAGAAAGATAAAGAAAGAGAGAGAGAGAGAGAGAGAGAGAGAGAGAGAGAGAGAGAGAGAGAGAGAGAGAGAGAGAGAGAGAGAGAGAGAGAGAGAGGGAGACTAAGAGATTCGGGGGGGTTAGTTCTCTGATTCCAACATCATGCTGCTGCCTGTAGTGAGCTCCTCCAACTCTCTGCAGCGCTGCAAGTGCGCCCACAGCTTTATGTCCGACATCATGTTGTTGCACCCCCTTCTGCTGGTGCTGGCTGCTGTTGGTTCACTCTGCCGCTCTCATTGCAAATGGAGAGCGAGAAGTGGCGCGGAAGCAACCTGGGGGGGAGGGGGGGAGCGAGGTCGACGAGGCCAGGTTGCGGCGGCACACTCGCTTGGTGAGGCACTCAAACGCAAACGGAGGCCTACCTCTTGGATCCTGCGAGACGTAGCCGCGCCGTGCTCATCATGACTGCCAGAAAAGCGCCGTCCTTTCAAGCCGCTGCCTGGCACCCCCTCCAACACTGCTTGCCATCCTCACGTTGCCCCAAGACGAGGGTACTAGTAATCTTTTAATCCCTGAACGGCGGTCACTTGCATTACATGCGTGCTTCTTTTTTGCTAGGTGTGCGCAGGGTGGGCAAATCGCGTTTCCACCCATACTACCCGTACCAGCGCTACCTCCCCAAGATCCAAAACCCACCTTGATTCCGACACTGTCCCTTGGTAGCTGGGAAGTATGGGTAGTAAGTTAAGGCAGGATTCATACTCTGGGCCAGGTAATATGGGAGTCCAGAAACCTGTGCACACAAGACAGGCACTTCAAACCCCCGGCTCCCACTTAGAGCATGCTCTGAAACGCACTCTTAGGCTGGAGCTCACCAAAGTAAACCAGACCTGAGCGCGTTCATCGAGATCAGGGGTCGTGGTGGTTACCCTCTACAGGAGCGGAGGGTACGGACCTATAAGTTTTTGAACTACACACCGACCCGACAGAACTCCGGCTGCAGGCAGACCTGCAGGCATGCCTTGCGGGCCCTACTGCTCGGCGCTAGCGTGGCACTCACAAACACTCAAAACTCAAAGCTGCTGGCGGCCAGAAGCGAAGCATTGGCAGGAACCTGGACAAAGCGGAAAAAAAACATCAAAAGAAAAAAAGCTTCTCAGTAGCAAGCAGCACTGCACTGTCCTTCGTCGCCGTCTGAACATCAGCCAGCTGAAAAGGATCTGGAAATGCCTGCAACTGATCGTCTCTTGCTGAGCGTGTAAGTACATGTGCAAAAGCGTTTCCATCATGCAACTGCAAACCGCAAGCAAGCACCGCTGGCAAAGCTTTCATTCAATCCTGTCAGCACCGCAGACGCACAGGGTCGTTCATGGTATCATCTACTTACCTTCCTTGTCTTTGTTGCATCCCGTGCAATGGGCAGTGCAGTGTTTGCAATGATGGCCGCAGTCATGACGCATGCAATTATGCGTCCGACACCCACCGCAAAAGAAGTTCTGTGGGCTGCTCCAGCTCCACCCGACCTGGACACTCGGAGACTGGCTTTTCACAAAGCTGTCAAAGAGATCACGTGTGTAAGGACGGATCAGCAGCTCTTGGTCTTCACTGCCGGAGGTCTCGACAGTGCCATGGCCTGCACCACTCAGATGTGGTCGGTGCATCACTTGGAACGCAATAACGTCCTCGACACCGTGCTGAATCAGAACCTCCGACAGTGCTTTCAGGAATCCTTCACAGCCTATCACCAGCTGCAAACCCACAGAAGCAGACTCACAGCTGGCTTGAACGAACTCATACGGCACCCACTGGCCCCCGAACCAAGTAAAGGCAAAGGGAATCTTAGGCTCTGATGCCGGCGCTGGGCGCATGACAGACTCCTTTGCCTGGATGTCCTGTGTCTCCAACAACACTTGCCCTGCAGGCATTTCAAAATGTCGGTGTTTGATGGCCACGCTTACGACATTCTGCAGTTCATACCGGACAATGACTTCTTCCAGCTGCGCCAAAATTGTCTGCTGCTGGTTTGCAGACAAGCCGTAAAATCTCCCGGTGGCATCTTCGAAGGTGGGGAGTTGCTCATACACGCAAGCCGGCATCTCCAGAGAAATTTGTGGACCAGGAAACGTCACATCCGGTACATCTGTTACACGATATCTCCTTGATGACCTCGTCTTCCGAGTTGGCAGCAATGGTCTTCCCAGTCCCAGCACCAAGGACACACCAACGCCAAGACCCAGCAAGCCCACACCTGGCAGAAGTGACTGGGGCTTGGCAGGAGTGCAAGCAGCAGCTGGAGGAGCAGCTGCTGTGCTTGGCAGGATTCGATGGTTCCAGACAAATGCTTCGGAACCGGGTACATGCGCCTTGAAGATACGCTGTGTGACGTTCCTTTTCCCACCACTCTTTGAGCTGAATGCCTCAGAAGCAGAGTAAGAGCTTCCTTGAAGTTGCAGCTCCGGTGGCTTTGAGGCCTCTGGGTTCTTCCTGTGAAACGTCTTGGCATCCAAAAAATCTTGAAGGCTCACTGGACGACCGCTCGGAAGATGCCCAATCACTCTCTGGAGGTCTGCGTCCATGAGCGCACGGTCATCTGATTCATTCCGTGGACGCCATGGGCCAACTTTGCCATCTCTCACATCATACCCTGTGTTTTTGCGCAAACCCAATGTCTTCACTGGGTCCGGGTTGTTCAAAGGGTCCGCACGATGCGCTTGCTTGGCCCGAACGAACTGCTCCGTAGTCATGCTTTGTCCACTCGGCCCCCGAATGGGCGCATTTGCCGCAGAGACTATCCCGATGTGAGCAGCAAAGGCTAAGTTGAAGCAGGGTGTGGCACAGCATCATCCGCAGTCGACTATTTGTTGAGTGTTCTCCCGTTCTACGACCCTTCCGGTTGAGCCATGAACTGCACAAATCACAAATGCTCATGATGGCAAGCTTGCTTTAACTCACGCTTGCGAAAATGCTGTGGCAAGTGCTCCTGCCTGCGAAGCCTCGAAATGGCTGTCGCACAACACCCCTGAGACATTGCCCAGGGTTCCAATCGTAAAACTGACAGTTGGGAGGCCTCGTCAAGTCGAACCCTGTAGCACGTCGCAGGGTGCAGTGCATCCTAAGGGATGCCGAAAGTAAATCTCGGACTTACAACACGCTCCAAGGGTACGGCGCGAGGATGCTGATCGTGAAGCGTGAAGCACAGGGGATCTGGGCACAGGCTGCACTGCATCCCAAAAACTTCAAGCTGGAAAAACCTTTGCGGGGCCGGGGCAAAGCTCTCTCCGCACACCTGCAGCTATGAGGCCCAGACGGGGTCGCCGAAACCGACCAACTACCGCCCTCTCAGAATTGTTGCCTGTTGCGCGCCGCTTGTGCTGCATGTACTTGCTGCCAATACTAATACATGGATACAAGGATACAAGTTACAAGTTACAAGCACTGGTGCCTGCTGGTGTCAGCTGTTGGAACCTACAGAAGTGAGGGGGTTAGAGTGCATGGGAAGTTTGGGAGGACCCCTGCAAAAGCACTCTAGCACGCTTGTTTTGCAAAAATCCAAAACAGCTAGAATACCACTACAAAACGAAAACAAAACGGCATCAACGAGCACAACGCGCAAGAATGACAGAGAACCCTTAACCTGCATCTTGGTGCTGCGCCCATCCTAAATCCCCTCCCACCCCCGTCTTTGCACCTATTCCGCACGGCGGGGCCGACCAGTCCAATAACAACTCAAACGCAGAAACCATGCGTTATTCTAATTTGGGTCGCACCACGCGGTGGGCCAACGTGTCAGCCGGCTGCGGAGGCCTGGCCACCAACTTGGATCCAGTCACGGCCCAGCCGTGAGAGGCCGATCGGGCTCAATGCAGGATCGAGCGCCGACCAAATCAGACAACATGCGCGGGCACCAGGCTTTGTCATGAACCCATTTGCGGCATTTGGGGGGCGGCATTGGGGCTCGACCACGGCGGACCTGACGGCGAGCGAGACCTCTGCTGGTCCCTGACGCTTGAGTCAAGTTGGAACAACCGTTCCACGTGTCAAAACTTGCCCGAATTGTTTCAAATTATTCCGCACCAGAAAGGAAATCTCGCAACATGTCAGACTGTAACTTGCAAAAATGCACAGCAATGCAACACCAGCGCAAGGCACTTTTGGCGAAAGGATTGGACTGCGAAAGCCGAGCTCGCACAGCGGCCAGTCTTTTCCCCTTCAGCCTTGAGCCAAACGGGCCAAACGTACGTGTCCTTGCTCAGATGGCAAGCTCGTCTTGGGAACTGCTCCCGAATTCTCCACTCAACATTGCTAAACAATGGAGTCGGCTCGGAGTCGGCTCAAAAGCATGCAAAATCCAGTTCCATGGTGCTTCTCAACTGTTCCAAGCAACAAAATGCCAAGCAGTCACTTGTCTTCTACTGGCATGCTCACGGAGTGAGCTGTAAACAAACTGTCAGAAAACAATCTTCGGCATCATATTGCCTGTGAAATCTCCCGTAGAGACATGCGCACGTCGCTTATAGTCTATCATCATGTCCAAAAATGCGACAACACATGCAAAACAACTTGACATATCCATGACATGCACCAAGCATCCATGAACACATAAAGAACACCATCAAATCACTTTAAGGCAAATCAAGTACACAACTACTGCGCAAACACAGAGACAAAACTTTCATATGTACGGGCTTCCAAGGTTCAAACTTCCCCCTGCATACAATCTGGATTGTGTCATCTCCAAGCTCTGGCAGCGAAGCTCTCTTATGCAGGGTGCCTGCTCTTGCCCTGACAGCTACACAGAGCCTCAAAAAAAGTGGATTCCTATCACATTTTCAGTGTGAGCTTGCTCGGAGCAATGCAGCTTTGTAGCCGCAGGGCGTCGTTTTCCTTTTTTGTTTTTCCCTTTCCTGTTTTATGGCGGGCGGCGTACGGGGGCCGCGGGCCCACGGAAGGCGGCCACTGGCTGCCGGAAAGCTGGCGTGGCGGCGCGCGAGAGCCGGCGCGGGCCGCGGCCTTGCCGAGGACGTTACCATCGGAGATTTCTGGCGGCAGAATGACAGCTTGTGATTTTTTCATTTTTGTCATTTTCTGAATGACAGGCCCACCCGCTACTTCTGCTACTTTTGCTACCTCCCACAAAACCCCGCTACTTTTGCTACATTTGCTACTTGGGGCTTCCTGGGGCCTCTTCGGGGCCTCGCGCCCTCCTGCCGCCGCACGAGCCCGCGCCAGGTAGCAAAAATAGCAAAAGTAGCTAGCAAGTCCGCGCGGGAGGTAGCAAAAGTAGTAAAAGTAGCAGGCCCCCGTGAAAGGTAGCAAAAGTAGCAAAAGTAGCAAGCCTGCGCGGGAGGTAGCAAAAGTAGCAAACGTAGCAAGCCCGCGTGGGAGGTAGCAAAAGTAGCAAAAGCAGCAAGGGGTCTGGGGGGCGTTTCGACCGGAGCAGTTGGCGAAAGTCTCCAAACGTGAGCACTTTTGCAATCTGCGGCAGGTAGCAAGCGAGTAGCAAGTGCGAGCAGAAATTGTCGAAAAAAACGATCATTTTCGAACTTTGAAAGATGTTCCGGACTGCTTGCGCTTTGCACCATTGCAACCGTCTTGCATGCATTTGATACGTTCTATTCATATAGCGTGGCAGCTGCAGCCTGGATTCCGAGACTACTCCCAGAATTCGATGCTTCCGCCGCGCAGATTCGCAGCCGCTCGGGCCTACGAGGGGCTCCAAAGTGCTTACATTTTGGCTCCACGCAGGCCGCAAGCGCGTGTATTCCATTGCGCGCGCGGCCCTGCCGCAGATTGCCGGGAGTCCGCACGCTCGTCGATTCCATCGGCCTCTGCACTCGAGTCCACTCGCGGCGGCCCCTGCACTCGAGTCCGCAGAGTCCGCTCCCGGGCGGCCCCGAAACTCGAGTCCACTCTTTTTTTTGGCGGATGCGGGCCTCTGATTGGCTGCGGCTGCAGCACTCGGTCCCTAGCGAATCAAGACGAAACAACCAAACCGAAAAACAGCGGTGAAACAAGTCTAATTAATAAGGGTGAAACGAATGAGGTCGATAAGCTCCTAGGAGCGCCGCCAGTTCCTTGGACTAACCAAGTACCAGGTTCAGCCTAACCGCCTCTCAGCGACATACCGGTACACAGGGAGCCGTCGCTCACCAGTGTCCGAGGTCAGCAGTGGAAAGTCCCGAGTCCAGAGACTTTCCGGTCGCCGTTCTCGTCTCGTCAGACAACGGACAACCCCGCTTCCCCCGTTCCGGGAATGTCGTGCACACAAAGTCCACACTGCCACCGAAATCCACCGGTAGTGGCATTGAGACGGACTGCTTCGGTGACTCCAGTATATCTGGATCACTGGCATGGATGGGAGGTGAGGTCGCACGTTCTGGCAGAGGGCGATAACATGCGCGATACCGAACACCAGCTTGGCTGTGAAATTGAGAGGACAGGGCACGTCGCGTGCTAAAAGTGTCGAGCAGCCCTATGCGGCGGCTCTTCCGCATCGGGCGTCGGCACATATCGGTCAAGGTAGCGGGCCCATGCCTGGTTGGGGTCCTCCATATGCTCATCATTAAGCATGAGCATTGTGCTCACATTGTAGCCGGGATACAGCCGCCTGAGCTGGCGATCAGTGTAAAAAGGTGTGTTCTTGCGCTCAAACAGGTCCGGGCAAATGTCTTTAGACAGGAAATGAACATTCGCATCTAAACCAGGATGCAGCCCACCCTCCTCTAGGAATCGTCGATGGAGCTCTTGCCAAGAGCCCGGGGCAAGAGTGGCGCCCAGGCGAATAGCGTCAGCTTCATGGTGATCATTCGGTAGACTGCGCAAGTTGTTGGCCACTAGCGCAGCCATGCGGCCTGTGAGCGTGTAACCTCCCAATCGATGGAACCGCATAGGATAATACAAACCTTGCGGTCTTGGCGCACGGAGGCACATGGCACAAATCCGCGGGACGTCGAAACCAGCACCCGCCGTGGTCCTGGCTCGAAGGCGCGCCAACGCGCTAGCCAGCAGGCCCGAAGGCTGGATCGGGACCAGAGAGGTAGGTTCCAAACCCAGAGCACGTGGTTCCACTGGCAGGAAGACCCGCAGCCTGCCCGAATAGTTGGCTGGGTGGGTAAAAATCGAAGGATTAAAGGGAGGGGACTGCATGAGTACCCGTCCCTGCTCGAATGCCTCAACGATGCGCCTCCCTACCTCTGATTGTAATGGGCAAAGCTGGGAGCTCAGGAAGCTTGTATCAAGGCGAACCTCCAAGAAAAAGCCCTGGGGCAGCTCAACGCGATTAATGGATGCCACACTGATATTGGGGAACTGCAGGCGAACTCAGAAGCTTTCGCAGGGAGAGAAAGAGTAATTGCATGGGCAGAAGGATCCCTAAGTGAAGAAGGGGGTTGCCATGGTGAGAGTGACGGCGGCTCTGGGTCGCTGCCTGGGTCCCAGACAAAGCCGTGACTATGAGGCTACCATCCCTGACTTCGGAGCGTGTGGCAGTGTTAAGTGTAGCTGCCGTTGGCTCAAGAGCTGCGAACTCATCCAATAAGAGCCAGAGCCAAATCCGAGGGTTGGCAAGGGCGTACCAGGAGAGGTCAACTGCCTGGCGCTCACTCAATGATTGTACTGGCGAGCAGAACTGTGCTAGCGCGCACGCCATGGCAACCACTGGCATAATCGTGAGCCTCCAAGCTTCCTCCTGAGTACAAGCCCGTATACGGAGGGCCCTGTCCGCGAAGTCGATAATTTGTGCCCCAAAATTGCTTTTGTTGAGGCGAACTTCGCCAGACTGCAGGTATTGTGGGAGACTAAGCAGCGTGATGCAGTCCCTCTCGGATGGGAGGAATTCATCAAGGGCTGCGCTGGCCGCCGGTGCGGTGATTTCACTCTGGCACCTACTCGAACTCTCCAACCAGTTCTGGAGGAGCATTCGCTGCTCGGCGTACTCATCCACATTGTCCGGTGGAGCCTGACGTGCCGCGAGTCCTGGTAGCGAAGGGTATATAGGCGCGAGCGGGTGTCGGAGCTCGTTTAGAAGAGTGGTAATTTCCTCTTCCCAGTTCACCTGTGGAGGAGCGGTGTCAGTAGTGCATCCAATGGTGCGTATTTCGGCCACCAGGTCCGGCTCGCGTGGCGCGTGCAGCCGGTGGGGTATAGCGCGCCCCAATTTCGGGTCATAGGTCGCCGATGATGCCATAGTCAATTTGTCAGTGTGGACGACGGCAATATTCTCGCCTGCAAAAAGAGCAGACTCATGATAAGCCCTCTGTTGCAGCCCCTGACGCAGTTGGAAGGCGGCATGCTCTGACGCAATAGTGCATAGGTAGAACAGGCCCGGCAAGGGTGCAACAAAGGCGGGATTCTCTCCCGTCCGCGAGGTAGCGGATGTGGCGTCAGTAGTTGTGCTCGCGACTCCAATTAGGGTGCGATTGTGGTGCCGAAGCAAAGCGCCGTACGCTCGCTTAGGCGGTGAGTGCTCCCCAACATGCGGCCAAGGGCGGTAAATGCGCCACTCCCAATTGCCGTTTTTGCGTTCCAATGTTGCCATAATAGGATCCTCCGTTTGAAGGACGGGCAAAAAAGGTCGTCGTTTGACCTGTCTGCCTTAATGGTCTGCGACCCATTGATCCGGCTGGCGCAATAGCAGCTGAGCGGGCAGGGTATCTGACGTGCGTGCCCAGACAAGGACCGCACATGCGTCCGCGTGGTTCGGTGGTATATTCACCGACCATTTTTGATAGAACTCAACCTCGATGGTTTGGTCTTCGCAGGGTACGCTCGGGCCGTTCAATCGTGGAGCGCCATAAGCATCATAGAAGGCTGGGTAAGTCAGCAGGGTGTCGTACAGAGTGGAGTGTAGCTCCAGCGCCGCCAAGATTCCCCAGCAATGGGTGGGAGAGGCGACCAGTAACGGCCCCGTGGGACGAGTCGTGCCAGCCGTTAGGCGTTGGAGTGCGTCTTCCCCGACCTCCGTAAAGGTGCCAGCGTGATCCACAATCAAAATGTCAACTGAGCCCGTGGAGCCCGCACAGACCGTGGTCGTGTGCAGATCAACGAAAGAGCCTAATTCATAGTGGTGGGCCTGAAAGAAATCGAATAGGGTGCGGGCGTCAGCCTGTTGAAGATGGCCTGGGCCAGGGAGATCAGGCAGAGCTGACTCAATGAAGACTCGAAACGGGGTGCCTTCCTGTACTTTAGTGCGCGCGTCGCTCCCGTGAAGCGACGTGGTGGTGGAGTTGCTGAGGCCCAAAAGCGCCTTAAAATGAGAGTGCACACGAATGGTGGGGGTGACTAGTACAACTTTTGAGCCACTTTGAGCAGCAATTAAATGGCCCGCAAGCTGATACGTAGTCACCAGCAGCAACAGAAGCAATTCCGTAAGTTCATCATGTGCCATCAACTCCTTGGAAGCTAACCTCACAAACCGAACGCCTCGTTGCTGACCACCATTTGCAGCAAGGCGTGCATGGCGTCTAGCCTCAGAGCCTGCAGCGAGGGATCCAATGGCAATAGCCGGAAGCACGCTAATGGGGTCGACAGACCAAGCGAGGGACTTAGGGTACCGAATCCCTGTAATCAGGAGGTACAGTTCCGCCAGCAGTCGAGTGGATGCAACCAAGGATAGGTTGAGACACACTCCATTGATCGGCTCCAGTCCTTCCGCCTGCAGCGCATTTTCGGCCAGCCCCAACCTAGGCCCCAGCGCTGCGAGGCGCGATGCATAGCGGAGAAGACCGGAACCATCGCTGTCTGCCCACGGTAGTATATCACCGCGAGGTCCGCAGCGGAGAGTCTAGGGAAGTGTGTGCAGGGAGTGGTGCCGACTTTAGTGATGCCGGCATACGGAACAAGGTGAGCAACCTGTTCGAACTCCACCAAGCACGACTGCTCCGAGCACCGATCTTGGATAAGGGTGCCTGTCACCCCGACATCTCTCCCCAGCAGGGCCTGTGCGACTGCGCTGCAGACCTCAACCAAGGAGCCCAGTTGCGGAGAGGGGTGATGTGATCCGATGCGCTGCCCCAGGTGTGCCCACCTCATGCTGTGTCGTGGGCCGCAATGATGTGTAGAGTGCACTAGCGCAGAAAGCGCGGCAGGTAATTGACCGGGCCGTATAGCCTCGTGTGGAGACCGGGAGACACCCCTAATGCCAACTGGCTTTTGAAGGAGTCGGGCGAGCGTCGAAAGCTGGACATCATTATGTCATTATGGCCCCCACCAGTCGGCTGCTGGGGATCGCCGGTGCGGACTATGAGCATGGTGTGGGCCTCGGCGAGGACAACGACGGCTTCAGGGTGCCCCTCCTGCTGACCTTCATCAATCACCATAGTTTGGGCAGCGTCGACAAACTTCTTGACCTCACTGGGCCAGTAGCGCATTAACTGTGGTGCGCATGATGCTTGTGTAAGCAAGAGCATGCGAGCGCTGCTGATTTTGGGGGGCGAGGCTCTGGCCGGGTGGTCAGCTGGTAAAGTACGACAAGTGAGGCGTCCGTGGCTGGGCTCATCACCAGCCTCCTCCGCGGCTGGCCCGACGAAAGCTGCATGGTCATGGATTCTGGACGTGATCGCACCCTCGCCCGAGACCCGTCGAACAAAAAGTATGCGTCGTAGCCATTCCGGTGCATCCGCAAGATTGTTTTCCGCAATACCAATGACAGCCATCAATGCCGAGTGTTGCTGCGATGTCCAGAGCACTCTGTGGTCCAATACCGCGTCAATGCAGACGAGGGCTCACGACAAGGCAAAGGTTTTGGATGCGCCTGGACATCCCAGCAGCACACAGAGTGAGCTACGTCGCGACGCCCGCGCAGCCAAGATCGAGAGGATGTGGCCAACGAGGAGCCCGTCTGGGTCGGTCAACATGCTAGATATCTGCGCACAGAATGTCTCCCCCAATAAGCCGGCCATATGCAGAACCTCAGAGGGTAAATTTACGGTGTCGAGGCGCCAGTCATGCGCGAAGGCAGATCGGGGGCAAGTACATTGAGCGTTAGCGTGATGTTCGGCCAGGCGAGCGCGTAGAGCCCAGTATGCAGACGCATTTAGATGATCCACCCCCATCCGGAAGTGTCCGAGCGCCACTGCCTGACATGCCTGTTGGAAGGAGAGTACCATGTGGAGCTCCGCACCTAGGTGGGAAGGGCTCCGGGCAATTGAAGGCAGGGAGGGATCCACCGGGATGCCCAATGCCAGTGGCGCTCTGGCCAGGGGCAGGCAGAGAACCTTTTGAAATATATCTAGGCACCCGCCCTTCTTAAGGCATTCAACCTGTGTCAATTTCAATGTCCTGATGTTGTCCGAGGCCGGGATAGGTGGGCTTCCAAGGCATTCTGGCCACGCCGGGAGCAGGAAGTCCATGGAGCCGGGGTTAACTTTTTTGTGCCGCCTGTTCTCGGGACCAGACCTAGCAAGGCCCCCCAGACCAGGCCAGACCTAGGAAAAAAAAACAGTGGACCCGCTGAGCATAAGGCCGGGCATAAAGCGCAGAGAGCAGCGTAGGAGTTCGGGTACAAAGGGCTCAAGGCGCCACAGCTCCGACTCCATCCATGCGATGCCTCGACAGATTGCCTGACGAACACCTGGCGGCTGCCACGGTGCTCAGGCAGAGATCACACCGTTGGCCAACAGCAGAGCTCAGAATGTCGGCTGCTCCCATGCTCGTATCCCCGGCACGGCTCCAAATCTGTACCCTAAACGACTGCATAGCTTTTGTGCAGGCGCAAGAGTGCTGTCATTACAAGCCAAATTGGGCCACAGCTGGGGAGTGGAACTCGAACTTGGAAAACAGAACTGGCAAGCACAAATGGCAGCTAGGCCGCAACGCGCAGAACATGCGAAGTGTGTTCGTGGTTCAGGAGTGGCAAACCGTACGCACAGGTTGTGACGGCGCGAAGCACATTGCACCGGGGCCTATTGCCCGCAGACTGTCCTTTGTCCGATTTGGACCTCCTTTCCCTGATAACCGGCAGAAACATCGACTAGCTGCATAGGTGACGATGCATGAAGCCTGAATGTACTTATGGGAAGTTTTGTGCAGGGAAGGTGCAAGAGCGCTGTCACTACAAGCTGAATTGGCAATGCACGTAGCCCGAGGTCCGTGCAAGTGGGCAACGCAACAAAGACCAGAATTGCTGGGCACATAGACTACGCAAGACGCTACACCGCCATACACCGCCTAGGAAGTGCTTGGCTCACGGACGGTTCCTCGTCCGATTTGCACCTTGCCCTGACAATCGGCAGGCGAATCAACTGTGTAGGCGGTAATGTATGAAGCGCGAGGTGCGTACAAGTGGGCAGCACATCACAGCTCCGACTCCATCCATGCGATGCTTCGAGGTGCCTGACGAACACCCTGCGGCTGCCACGGTGCTCAGGCAGAGATCACACCGTTGGCCAACAGCAGAGCTCAGAATGTCGGCTGCTCCCATGCTCGTATCCCCGGCACGGCTCCAAATCTGTACCCTAAACGACTGCATAGCTTTTGTGCAGGCGCAAGAGTGCTGTCATTACAAGCCAAATTGGGCCACAGCTGGGGAGTGGAACTCGAACTTGGAAAACAGAACTGGCAAGCACAAATGGCAGCTAGGCCGCAACGCGCAGAACATGCGAAGTGTGTTCGTGGTTCAGGAGTGGTAAACCGTACGCACAGATTGCGACGGCGCGAAGGGCATTGCAGATTTGCACCTCCTTTCCCTGATGACCTGGCAGAAACATCGACTAGCTGCATAGGTGACGATGCATGAAGCCTGAATGTACTTATGGGAAGTGTTGTGCAGGGAAGGTGCAAGAGCGCTGTCACTACAAGCTGAATTGGCGATGCACGCAGCCTGAGGTCCGTGCAAGTGGGCAACGCAACAAAGACCAGAATTGTTGGGCACTGCGCCTAGACTACGCAAGACGCTACACCGCCCAGGAAGCGCTTGGCTCACGGACGGCTCCTCCTCCGATTTGCACCTTGCCCTGACAATCGGCAGGCGAATCAACTGTGTAGGCGGTAATGTATGAAGCGCGAGGTGCGTACAAGTGGGCAGCACATCACAGCTCCGACTCCATCCATGCGATGCCTCGAGGTGCCTGACGAACACCCTGCGGCTGCCACGTTGTTCAGACAGAAATCACACCGTTGGCCAACAGCAGAGCTCAGACTGTCGGCTGCTCCTAATCAACAGCATGTCAAGAAACTGCGCTTGGGCGAGATGGGGCGAGAAAGGAACAGCAAGTTGCGATTTGGCAAGCCAAAAATCATGTAGGTGTGCTCCAGTCAGCACGGTTGGGCGCAAGCTCAAAGCATGAGCCAGAATCTGATAGGCTATGGGGCTTAAACATTCATCCACCGGTGTCGTTCAGGATGCCGGCTTGAAGAACACATGGCTTCGCAGGTCTGCACAAGTCTACCGGGGATTACCGGGTCACACTTGGCTGGAAAATGCTGCAGAAAAAACAATCTTGACCGAAGCAGTTCATACGACAGCAAAGCGTGCATACATAACACGCGGAGACTGGGAACAGCTGCACATCCTGATGCTTCTAAGTAATCAGATTCTGAAATTCCGGTGCGACTGGGACCCACGACGGACAAACACCTCCAAAACCCAGAACCCCATACAGTACCCTAAATCCACGAAGATAGGACATGGTCACGATGTCATCTGCATAGAGGGTAAAACTGTGCAACATCAACTGGGTGAGCTTCTGTCACGTGCTTCGACGCCACAGCAGCAGTAAATTCATGAAGCAAGATGGAGAAGATATCTCTTGGCACCACGTCCATGTCGACTATTTACACATGCTTGTTCAACAGTTGTGAGGTCAAACAGCTGCCGCACGCAATCAACTCCACATACGCTCTCCGGACACGTGTCTTCCCTGGGTCTTTTTCATCGTGCGCTGAGGTGGCGTCCAACTGCTGGCTGCTTCCCCAGGGTCAAGAGTGCTTGAAAGCTTAATTTGATAGACCTTCCGCTGTGATCTGCCGGCTTTCGGGTTTGGGATGGCTTGCTGAAGCTCCAAAGCCTGCACATCACGGGAAGGCTAGCACACGTTATCAAAAGGTATCATCGTCGCGTCAGTCTTTTAAACACCAATCTCCTCTGCTAAACCTTTCCCGCATCCGCATAAGGAAGAACTCTTGTCATACGTCTGAACTCAGCATTATAGGCACAGAAGCAGAGAAGCAGGGCGTTTTCTGACGGAGGATGCGAGCCTGCCAAGAGCAAAGCCTCCAATGCTCCACATGCAGAGACTCCACATGCATCACAGCACGGCGAGGGCGCGAGTTCGCATTCACATGTCGAACTCATCCAAGGGATGTTCAAGGTCGCTGAGAAGGCAAACAAATCTTCTCTCTGAGATTATTCCACTCATACAACATCCAAAGAGCTGCACTGCTCAAAGAATTTCTGATGAGTGGGCAGCAATCTAGCTCCGATGGTTCAAAGTTCACCAGACAACTGCTGTGGGTCCAAACCCGAGCCCTTCCAGTGTTTTGCGGCACAGCCGTCATGTTCGCAACTGATGCACTAAGAAGCTGAGGCCCATAAACCGGGGATGGTTTCGCTCCGACTCGGGCCTTGGCGACCTTGAAAATCCGGGCCGAGTTACAAAAGGAGCGCAGCCCAAAAGGCTTTCGACAACTCGGCTAGCGCGGGAAGATCGCAAAACGCGGATCGACAAAGTCCCAGCTGCTCCAAAGCCGCATTGACCTGTCAGCCCCCACTCTCTTCTTGCCGAAACCGAACCTGCTCGGACTTTGCGAGGGGCCTACAGACGCCCAAGTGGGCTCAGTGGGGCGAAAGAGCACGAAGAGTTTGGCTCCTTGCACAAAGCGAGGAAGCCGAGGACAAAAGGATGATCATCTCGATGATCGTTGATGTCAATGCAAACACGTGTACGGACTGCTGGCAGCACTGCAGAACTGCCGTGGGTTATCTTTCGCCGTCAGATCGGACTTGTCGTTGTTATGATTGCTGCCATACATGCATGCATACATACCGCATGCATGCATGCACACACACACACACACTCGCATACAGGCATGCGCACGTGCACATGCACACACATACACACACACGCGCGCACACGCACACACACACACACACACACACGCACACACACACACACACACACACACACACACACACACACACACACACGCACGCACACGCACACGCACACGCACACGCACACGCACACGCACACGCACACGCACACGCACACGCACACGCACACGCACACGCACACGCACACGCACACGCACACGCACACGCACACACGCACACGCGCACAAGCAAACATACATGAGGATACGTACATGTGCACACGCACACATACACGTCCACACACACAGATGTATGTATGCATGCGTGCATGGAGGTAGGCAGGCAGGCAGCCACGTCTGTATGTATGTGTGCATGCGTGCATGCAGGCATGCTTGTAGGCATGAATGCATGTCTACCTACACATCGTTGCTATGTGTGTTAGTAGCCGGATACAGGTACAAAGAGTCTGAGGCGGGCACCGTGTTGGAGTCCTCAGACCTCCAAGTCCGAACAGACAAGCCGCCGCGGCCATTCGCAAAGGAAAGCTTTGAGTTGAGGAGTTTGTGGCAGGGGCATCGACATGTTACATGTTTGGACACATCCTAAAGGATTGATGCTTTAGAACGGAGGGCAGCAAAGATGCTTCCCTCTCAGCATGGTCAGCTCTCAGATTCAAATCTTTTCACAAATCCTTGCCATGGGTGTACAGCTGCAGACTGCAGACACACTGTTGAGGCTTGCATTGACCCACTTGTCTCTGAAACCAGAATTCATTTCATTACCTTTCCACACCGGAAGCCTTCACGAAAGAACCCCCCCTGCCTCGTCACCGGCATCTAGCTCAATGTAGCGCTCGATGGTGATGGAATCCTCAGAGTTCCGGCGGCTGACCTGCCGCCAGGGCTTTCGAGGAGCTTCGGCTTGGGGCTTCAATGGGCCTCAATGGGCTTTAATGGGCTTTGATAGGCTGATAGGCTCTGATAGGCTTTAATGGGCTTTGTGGAATTTATGGGGCTTGAGGTTTATGGTTTAGGTGGCTTGTGGTTCAAACGGCTTGGAACTTCGAAGCCTGAAAGCCAGAAAGTCCTGGAACCTGGGCGCCGGGCGCAGGGGCTCAGAGGCCGCGACCCGAGCCCAAAGAGGGCAAGCGCGGCGGGCCTGGCTAGGGTTTTGGTGGTTCGGGGCTTGAGGTCCACAGGTTCTGGTCCAAGATGTCGGTTTCCGTAAAGAGGCAGGCGGCTGCACGCGGTCATGAAACAGGCACAACTCCAAGACGGAATAGCGACGTCCATAGGCTCTACAAGTATCTGGAGGCATCGATGTGCTCAAGGCACCTCTGTCTCAAGGAGACACGATTGGTCTACGGCCGAGATCGGGATGCTATGGGCATGTTAAAAATTAGGAGCAGCGGCATCCAACCAGCTCTCCTTCTCCCCGCCCCTGTATCCTGGAGCACCAGGCCATCTTACTTCTGAACACGAAGACCCCAAGCCTCAAAACTCCCGCCATAATAACAATTACGAATAATCATATGAAAAACTACTAGTACTACTAGTAGTACCACTACTAACGGCAACAGTAACAAGAGTGACTAGAATAGCAATGATAACTAGTCATGATAGCAATAGAGATCGTAACGCTAGCAATGGGACGCAATCTTCGGACAGCTCGGTCCCCCGACAAGGCGAGGCCCAGGAGCACCACCTGCTAGCCAAAGTTGGAAGATGTGGCCCGGCTCGGGTCGGGCTCCGGGGCTCAAGCCCAACAGTAAAGATGCGAATGATACTTATATAACATGATACTCATACTCATACTTGTACTCAAGATAATAATACGAAGAGCAATGGTCATAATTATACGAATACTAATGGTAATGATCCTAGTATTAATAATGACAATATTGTCAGTGTCAGCGCTTTGGATTTCGTAATTACACTGCAATCAGCCTTTGTGGGGGCTTTGTGGAATCACAGCGCGAGTACAAATCGGGATGGTGGGGGCATCGTCACAACCCGAGGATCCACGCAGGTCATGATATGACATATGAAGACTCACGGAAGTGCTGATGATGCTACTGTAGAAATAATGCCTGCTCTGTTCAAAGGTGGTTTTTCATAGGGGCACACGTGGCGCAGATTCTGGTATCGGTAAGAACTACACAATGCGATATTAGATAAGACCAGAGGATTTAGCATATCAATGCACGTGTTTGCGGGACGCATGCGTGCATACAGATGCACAAAAACATACCTGATACTTGCAAGAACACATACAGACAGAAACACAGAGACAGGCATGAAGATCCGCGAAAAAAACATACTCACACTTTCGAACACCCTTTACCAAAAGCCTGATACCGATACTTGTCATGATGTCCAACTGCCGCCATGGTGCTCCCAGCGCCCGGTAGGGGTGCCAGGTGGGCTCCTGCGGAACTTCACCGGGCAGGGACTTAGGGTTTCGGATTTCAGGATTTAATATTCCCCAAGAACGCGGGCGAGAGCAAACACCGTCCATGCAGGCGACCCGCTCTGGGCTTAATCCCAGCTTACAAGCTCCAGCCATGGACTTCCAATGAACCTGGGCCTGGCATGGGGCTACTTAAAGGGTCATGGGACTTAGCAACTGGGGTTACGATTAAGGTAACTAAACTTATAACCCCAATGAGGTACTTAAGACCTTACTTACTAAGTCCCATGATCCTCCAAGTAAGAGTGTGCCCGGTAAGAGAGAAAAGCTATCGGGGCCGGTGAAAACGTTCAGACCTGGAGGGGGCTGGAAGGAAATAACATTCGCACCCAGGGCGGATAATAACTGTAATAAAAAAGCTATAGGATAGTAGAAATGGTAAACCTACAGAAGTATAATCATCGTACTAGCACTATGAAGAATCAGGGTCGCACGCCAGACCACCGAGCTGTGAGAGGGATGGTCTAATTCCGCACCGATTCGATGCGGAAAAAATGTTCCTGGAGCAAGTAACACTGATGGCGACAACGTGTACATATACATATGTGCATTTGTATGTGTGTGTGTGTATGTGTATATATATATATATACGTACATACATGTGTGTATGTATATACATATATGTATATATTAGTTATAAATATATATATATGTATATAACATGTATGTCCGCAAGGGATAGCTCCAGCAGTCCCCCGGTGCTAGTGTCTGCAGATCGCACTAGCCACTCCGGAATACCAGAATTCGACCAATCGGGCCAATTACACCAATGAACCCCATAACCCAAACTCTAAAGCCCAAAAACCTACATCCCTGAAACCTTTCTAAACCCTAACCCCGAAACCTATCGGGGTTTTTTTTATCCTCCAGAGGTGCAGCGGCTGCCAGCTCCTGGGTTGCAGGGTGCTGAGGATTCAAGCTTCCGATGATCATTTTGACACTCTTGTTATTGCTATGGTATCCTTGTTATTTCGACTTCTACTACGCACTCTTCTTATGATTGTCTCTTGTACTTGCTATTTTTATGGTCAGGGGTTTAGGGCTCAGCTTTAGGGGTCCAGGGCTATTTGGGTTTCGGACTCAGGGGCTGTAGGGGTCTAGGTTTATCAGGGGCCCTTCATGCCCTTCTCGCCCCCACGGACGGTTGAGAGCTATTGATAGGGATTCTAACTATTCGACAACTCCGAAACTGAAACTTGGCCCATGCGCACATCGTGGCTGAGGCCCGTGCAGTGGCCAAAGGCGGCTGCAGAATCTTGGTCTTCTGGTCATCCTAGCTGCAGCTCGCAGGCCCAGCATGCGGCATCAGCAGGCATCTGCACTCATGAAGCGACGCTACTTAGCCGCCCTTAGAACCAGAATTAAAGATAATTCTTATTATTCTTCGTAAGCCTTTTAAGTTGCAGTATAATAAAGTACAACATAATTCCTAAGAGCAGTAAAGGCTAGCTTACCAGGATGCACGCTCTGTTACATACCACGACGGTTCGGACATTATCTGCCCTGCATCATAGCGGACTTGACCTGCTGTAGTTTGAGATAGACAGCACGCATGACTGTCCTGCATCGGGAGGGTCGTGCCTCATTTCTAGGCCGTATACCCTGTCCGGCGGAGAAGATGATCCATTTAAATGCCCCAGGCAGGCGGCCTTCGAGTCTTGCTTGAGGTCCGTCTCTAAGAGCGCCTCGAGGTTCATCACACTCCAGGGTTTAGGGAAGTTTAGTGTTTAGGGCAATACTTGGGCAGAAGACTGACTTGCGGAAGAAGCGAGGCTTCACTGAACTCTAGATCCTAAACTTAAGCCCTGAACCTAAGCAGCCTAAGCAGCAAACCCTCAACCCACACCCCCAAACAACAATGTTCGCACCTGCGACTACCGATTTTCCCTACCCGACACGGCGGCCTTGGGCGACTCCACGGACGAGGACTGAGCCTTGTGCACGTGGACAATTAGGAGACGATTCTGGGTGATCGGCTGCCAGTACAAAGGGACTCCAAAGACAACTGTAGGGCATCATCAGGTGTCGGTAGGGTGAACATAAGACTTCAGATCTCTCGCTCTATGCTGCCCGAATCTGCCCGATATACTACACGAGTCCCTCCCTCATCGCCGCAGCAGCGGCAGATACACCGTCCGCCTTTAGGATCATCGGCTTGGTGAAAGCTTCAGGTTTGCAAAAGGGCTGATGCCCTGAAAACAGCGGGAAACCCACATCCTCATCCCTACATCCCGAAAGACCCAAACCTGAATCCTAAACCGAATCTCTCCACTTGTTCGATCGGACCGAGCATTGGGGCGCCCGCCAGGGCGGCGCGTGCCTTGGCGAGCGCCTTCTCTACGTCCTGGGCGGTTCGCCCGCGCAGGGTTTGATTTTGCTTGGGGCGCGTTTGCGCTCGCATGCTGGGGCTTCCTCTACGGGGCTTCTGGGTTTAGACGGAACCCAAAGCCAAAGAAGAAAGGCAGAATCGGCATCCACTCTGGCTGAAGCTGGAAGTTGTAGCAGGGCTGCGCACGTGTCAGACATGGTCCACACCATCGACCCCAAACCTGAAAAACCACAGACTACCGGGCTCCCCGCTGGGTCGGCCTCGACCTGCTGCATAGAGACACTGGCACTGGCCTTTCTTCGTCGGGCGAGGACAAAGGCTGGGTCAGGGACCCCCGGACTTCGAAGGGCGCTTCTGAGTGTCGGGGTTTTGGAGCCTGAGGGAAAGAAACTGCCTCGGTCATGCTGTCTCCAGGACGTGCTTGATGATTTTGTTGGGAGCACGGAAGCCGTCCCGTCCAGCGCATGTTCGCGTGCAATGCCCTCCACATCACACTACCCAGACCCAATCCTAAACCGTGAAATCCCCAAAACCCTCAACCCCAAAGGCCTAAACCCAGATGAAATCCACGAAATCCGCCTTGGAGCCGGAGGCGGAGGCGACTCCGCTCGTGGAGTCCGCGGAGGCAGAGTCCGAGGGAGGCGCCATGCCCTAGGGTTCAGGGTTTAAAGGGAACTCCAGAAAGTTGGAATTTGGTTTCATGGTAGGATACCCTATAATTTACCATAAAGGGTTCAGGATAATCATATTCCAACTTTCTGGCTATTACCTTAGGTGGGCTCAGAGGGCTCGGAGGGCTAAACCCTAAACCCTCAGGGCTGTCGGTTTGGGGCCTTTGGGCCTTAGGGTGTAAGGGCCCTCGACCCCTAAATCCTGGAGTTCAGGGTTTCAGGGCCCCTGAATCCTAAAGCATTGACGTCACGAGTACAGTGTACAGGGGTTGTGTGGGGCGGAGGATCTGGTGTCACTCTGCTGTCTATCTTTCCGTTCATCACCTTTGCTCCAGAATCTGGACGTGTAGACTCGGTGAGTTCTAAAGGCCCGGGCCAACCGCTCGCTGTTTTTCTTGTACTCCTGGCTCCGAGAGTAACGAGTCATGAGTTCTTGGGGCTGAAGAATCCGTGAGGCAGAAGTTACGTCTCGTGGAACACACTCGGTCTGGACTTCCGCGCCTGATCCACGTTGTCCAGCACCTGAGCCGTTTCAACACAGATACTACGGAAACTCAGGGACACCAGATTCATGACATTTCATGCTCTCGTACTTAGTTCTTGTTCGGCTTGGCTACGTACAATGAAGAACGTACACAACGTGCAATCTCTGCCATGAACTGCAAGTAGCACATTGAATTCCCCGGACTTCTTTCGCCTGCCTCATGATTACATTCCCTGCGTGCCAACTCCCTGCAGAGGATCTCTCCGAGCCCCCTGGCATTCTTTTGGTAGGCCGCTGGAACCCAGGAATTCACAACGTCCAGCTGACCTTGGTCAACTGGCATGGTGATGATAATGATAATGACCAGAGTAGTGGTAGTGGTGGTAGTAGTAGTAGTAGTAGCAGCAGCAGCAGTAGCAGCAGTAGTAGTGGTAGTGGTGGTAGTAGTAGTAGTAGTAGCAGCAGCAGCAGTAGCAGCAGCAGTAGTAGTAGTAGTAGTAGTAGCAGCAGTAATAGCAGCAGTAGCAGGAGCAGCAGCAGCAGCAGCAGCGGTAGCGGTAGCAGTAGCGGTAGCGGTAGCGGTAGCGGTAGCGGTAGCGGTAGCAGTAGAAGTAGCAGTAGCAGTAGCAGTAGCAGTAGCAGTAGCAGTAGCAGTAGCAGTAGGAGTAGGAGTAGGAGTAGGAGTAGGAGTAGTAGTAGTAGTAGTAGTAGTAGTAGTAGTAGTAGTAGTAGTAGTAGTAGTAGGAGCAGTAGCAGTAGCAGTAGCAGTAGCAGTAGCAGGAGCAGTAGCAGTAGCAGTAGCAGTAGCAGTAGCAGTAGCAGTAGCAGTAGTAGTAGTTGTAGTAGTAGTTGTTGTTGCTGTCGTAGCAATAGTAGCAGCCGTGGCAGTAGTAGAAGCAGCAGCAGCAATAATTGCAATGGCAGCTTCCTGACTTCTTGCTTGTTTGGCACACTCCGACACTTTAACACCTGCCCAGGAAAACACTGTGGTCACAACCTGAAGAGAAGCGACGGGAAGACATGTGCAAAATGCACATGCAAGGTTTAAACAACTACTCGGAGTCTTCCGCTTTCCCCATTCCACCGGTCAGAACATTACCATTACGCACAAGCAGCAAAAGGCAGGGCAGTCTGTGAACCCAGAACATTTTGGTCGAAACGGTCGCCAAATACATACGACATGCAACTACCAAGGACGGCTGCGCAAGACGCGAAACAAGGAGACAGGCAGACAAGGAGCTGGCTCTCAGAAAAGCACGCTCTTATCTAAGTTGTGAAGACCTGCTCTTATTTTATCAGCGATAAGATGGTAGGCGTCCCGAGAAGACTGCAGGCAAGACAACCTCCTTGGACACTATTGGTGAACGGGTAATACAACGACTACATACAATTAGCAGACGGGTAGGCTTCTTTTTCACAATGTACTTCATCTGTAGGGTTGATTTAGTTAGCAGCCAGCTGCAAGGATCCGGAACTAAACAGATATTGAAACAACAAATCGGAGACTGTCACCGAATGCATCGAATACCTGGTAGCCGCGGCAACCAGAAGCTAAAACTTGTTCATAAACCTACTCCTTTGCCATGCATAAGGATACAGCAAACCCCACTACATGCAGACACCCCAACACCGCGTTGTGGGCACCGTGCGCTGTTTCCATGCCTCCAGCTCCTCCGGCGTCTTACAGTCGGAGGCAGAGTATGGCACCTGCCAAGCGGATCACTTGCGATCCACGCTGGAGTCGGGCAGCCAATGGAAAGACCCGTGTGTTGCTGCGAGATGTACACTACAACGAGAAGAGAATTTGGGGAATAATAAATTACGGGAGAGGATACATTATGGGAGAAGGACTTCCGGAACGGCTGCTCTAACTAGGGCTAAGTAGTTGGAATTCTGTGCACAGAATGGCCAGGCCAATGTCAAGGAGATCGCTACAATTGAAGCCTGAAGCTCTTGTGACTGACGTAACAGAAAAGACATCCTAGAGGCTCGTCTTCGTGATTCCGTTTTTGCAGCAAGCTGCCGAGGCGCCAACCAAGAGCTGAGCCCGAGTGCAAACTCACACACAGCAATGCGCCTGCTGCTGCGCCTGGTTCTGCTGCTGCTGGAACTGTCAGAGCAAAGCTTACTGTGCAAATACAAGGGCGGGACACTGACAAGGCGATCAAGTAGAGCCTACCGCATCGAGGAAATGGCGTGCTGCAAGCCATCCACAACAAGCGTGAGATGAGCCAAAGGCCTTCATCCAGTCATTGCGGGTGTATTTTCCCATGTACTGCTGGACATCCATGTACCTGCAACTGCCACAATCCCTGGTGGATATGAGTTCGGCAGTACTGTATAGACGACAGTACGGCATTCACAACTTGCCTGTCTCTCGTATCCGAAAGATTCCACATCCTTGCGTCAGTGTGTCTCGCTGCAACCTACTGTCAAGCATTCACCCAGCCGACCCCAACGGGCTTGCTGAAAAGCCGTCCCCGCTTGGCTTCTTTTTGCACGCTCCCACACGGACAATGAGTGCTCCAAAGTCACACGAGGAAGCGGTACTGCCGCAATGGTGCACTGCGACCCGATGCACGCTGCAGCTGGGGATGTCAACAAAAGCTTTCGCGTAGGTAAACGTGTCTGTGCACGAGTCCTGCCGACACAGAAAACTGAAGGCCACCTGTCTACTTCCTGGGCAGTGGTACTGTGCCTCGCAGTTGGTCGGCGCAGCATAAGAAGCTTCAGACCGAGACATGCAGCCCGCCTTGCCAGAAGACAGCTATCAAACGGCCGCATGCATGGCGTTGGAGAGGAGCTGCGTCTCCAAGTTCAACAATCAAAACAATCATGCCCCGTTTCACTTGCACTTGGGACCCCTGCATACCTGTTGATGCTCTGAGCATCTCTGCGGTGGCAAGGTATCGCGGCAACAAGTGCCGTCCAAGAAGCTGACAGAATGGGCACTGCTCGAATTGGTCGGAAGGTTACAAGGTCCCGTACTGGACGCATTTCTGATGCATGACAGCGCTACCTCATGCACTATCACATGGAGTTTGGGGCTCTGCAAACCACATGATGAAGATACATGAAGATACCAAACACGACACTGCACGGCATTAAAAAGTCGAATGGACAATACAAAATAAAGAATAAAGCGACCATACAAAACAGACATACGCACATAATATGGTGCCTGGGAACATGGACATATACATAGACATAGGCTCAGGCATAGGCAGGGACATAGACGGTGACATGGACATAGACAGGCACGTTGAGTTACAGTATGCTAAAAGTAAACCATTACATACATGAGCCCGAGCGCCTACACACATGGAATACGGTACATATATGCGTACGTATACATACAGATATGAAAATACCTTATACATACGTATGTACAGACAATCGCGATTGTGCACTTGTCCTTGGCTCATTCGACCCTCATATTGTTTCAACTCAAACGAACTACAGAAAGACATTGAAACTGAGAGATGGATACATTAGCGTGCAAGTTTGCAGTAACAGGTCTTGGGAGGGCAGAACAGGAAACCTGGCACAGCGAATCACCGCCGGGACCGACCCATCAGTATGCTGTCCAGGGTGAATCAAAGTATGGGGCAAAGAAGACTGAAACAAGGTGCACTAGCTATAATTAATCTTGCAGAAGGCAGATTGCAACTTCGGAAAAGTATAGCAACACAAGAAAACTAATCATCATCATCCTCATCATCACCCCCCTCACCATCCTTCTAATACGCGAAATGCATATCGACTAGAAGGGAACCGATTCTTTTCCGGACCTACTTTGGTCTGTGAGACCAGGTTCGGGCTTAACTCGTGGTAAATCTTTGGGCACACTCGACTCCAAAGAGCATGCTGCTGCCACATGCCATGTGAGCGAATATGTATGCATAGGGGACAGGTCATGGTTAGTGGCTCAAAGAAAAGACAGAAAGACTGAAAGTTTGATGGATTGAACAAACGTGAAAACTCATACTGCACCACATCCCATCCCGATGCATTTAAAACATGTCCCACCCAGAGAGGACTAGTCTATTCTCGCTGCCTCCTTTGGCGCCCTGACCTTCCAACCGCGAACGCCAGAAGACTGACCCATTGCTGGTGCCGTGCGCCAGTGCGGCAGTGGTCTGTTGCTACGAGCTTGGCGCCGTAGCGCTTGCCGCGGGGGGACGTCCAAACTGGCACAGACTGTCGACTGTTGACGAGGTGCAGGAACCACCATAATAGTAATTGACAATGTTCAGCTTTAGTACTACTGGTACTAATCATCGTCAGTATCAGACTCTCATACGAAGAACGGCAACAATAAGAATAACCACTCATAATCACAACAATAGTAACAATAACACCGGAAGACACATCTGTGCAGCGTTTGCCACGACGGGACTGCATGAGGATCGTCCCCCTGCAAAAAAAACTTCGGCGGATTGCCAGGCTTCCATGGGAGCAGACAGATAATTCCAACTGGGCTAGCCGTGGTTGCAACAACTTCTAAACTCTGGCAACAAGCACGTGAGACAGTTAAAATTGCTGTCGGAACTACTGCACTTCACAGCCATTCCAGCACAGCTTCATGGGTTTTGGTTCGCGGGTATTTGCCGAAACACTTTCAACAATTATAGTTCTTCACAAGACATGCTGCACATCGCTGAGGTCTTCCTCCGGAATTTCATTGAGCGCATTGAGGAAAAGCCGGGCATGAATCACAAGCTCGGCAGATATCTCTGCATGCCCTGAGGTGATGGACAGAAGTGATGCAGGGCTCAGGCAGAGAAGGCTTGCACAAGAGCCTGCAACTGCATGACCGTGGTAGTGCCAGTCAGTCCATAGGCACGGCTCACACAACCAATGGCATCGCTTGACGCGCAGGGCCGGATCTGCTTCCAGAACTGTTTTCTTCGGAGCTGGCACTGGCGTTTGCATGATGGAGCCCCAAGAAGACCCACGAGGAAGTGTGTACGTCTTGGCCGTCAAAGGATTGCTACGCTCAGCTGCTGTCACCGCACCACGCCTCCTGTAGAGAACAAAGTCGAAGGCAACGAAGAGCATGCTGTGACAAGACAGCCCCGGTGAAAACAAAGCCTCATTTGGAGCCGCCGTCCAGTCTTCCAGACCTTTCGGGGGGAAGACTGCGCGAGGCAAGACTGCAAAAAAGGCGTCTTAGTACGACCTGTACCCCTTCTTGGATCCTTTTGGCTGCCAACCTTTGACACAAAGATCTCGCTGGAAGCTAGGATACTTTGACATGAGAACTGCGAGCATCTGGTGGCGGCTGATGATGGCACCCAGGGCTTCAGAACAGAGCTGCCCATGCAGCAGGTCGGGTAGAAGCACAGCCATGTCTCGCTTGCTCGGTAGGGAAACTTTCTGGACGGTCTGCCTCAGGTAGGCTTTCAATTGTCGCTCCAGTGCCCAGGAGACGGGAAAGGTTTCCAAGAAGTCAGAGAGCTGACTGTCAGCCTCGCCCTGCTGACGCTGCGCGCGGCGGATGTCGGACAAATCGTTAGTCACAATCGACGTGAAGATGGAAGCCTGAAAGGTCCGTGGGGGGGGGCGGGGCCTGCGAAGACTTTATTGAGCCTGAGCCTGACATCACAAACTATCACCCAGCCCAAGAAAGACTCGCAAGCAGGCTGCCGCCAGCAGAGCCATGGCTGTCGCTGACAAGGCGATGCCTCGACGGCATTTACTACTGCAACAAAAAACCCGAGCTACTAGGGTGCAAACCAGTGCAGGGTTTAGGGATCTGTGCCTGGAGCTTCGGGCCTAGGGGACGGTCAAAGGGCAGTGTAGGCTTTAGGGATCGGTGGCTGGAGTTTAGGGGGGAAAGGGTCAGAGTCTTCGGTTGCAACCTGCCTCGATCTGCCTGTGAAGTGAGGAGGACATTGTCCGTAGTCTTCGAAGGAGGGATCCGTGAAACTGCCCACTCCAGTGCAATCCTGTACCGATCCACTACGGGCAAGTCGAGCAGGTCCGCCTCAACTTCGGTGAAGACCCATCCATCCGGGGCCATACCAGAGACGAACCAAACACAGGTCAGCCAGTGGAGGCCGATCAAGGAAGCGACCACCGCATAGAAGATGTTTCCGGCCGCCCGAGCCTCCAGCCTCCAGAGTTCACCTCTGTCGGTTCTTCGCACAAGACTCCCTAAGCCAAAGCAGACGGGCCTTTTTGGCCTTTGAAGAGAACCTGAGCATACCTAAAATACCTAAACCCTCCGAATCCTCGGCTCCACTTGATGAAGCGCCGCGGGATTCCAGAGAAGCTGTCGAGCTTGGCAACGAAGCGCAGGCGGAGAAGCTCGGATCCTTAAACCCATTCGGCTGCAGGCTTTGAGCTATGTATCATGGTACGCATATTATGGTACCTCACTAAGGTATATTGTAGTCTTATTATGGTATGGTATAGTATAGTATAGTATAGTATAGTATAGTATAACCTCTGCACCTAGAATCTAGAACAAACGCCATAACTCGAAAGAACTGAGCCCTGCCGTCCCTACGCAAGAAAGGACCATTGGATTTGGGCAACCTCGAAGAATGAACAGCACGTCGGTAGAAAGGCTGGCTCCAAAAACAACGACACAGAGAAGCATGATGAGAAGGACAACCTCCACAGCTATGTTCGCAATGGAGGTCACGTACCTCCCATGCATGCGCCAAATCCTCGGCAAGCTTACCATCCAGAAGACGAGACGAATCGCATCATACCACCATGGCTCCCGAACGGAGAAAGCGTGTAGCGGCACAGATATGCAGTCGGAGAGAAGCAAAGCCGCAGCGGTACAGGACCACAGCTGCTTAGCAAAGGATATCCAGCGACTCTCTCGTACCTCGTGCTCGAAATAGAACAGAGTCGTGGACTGGGTCTGCAAAGCACTCTTGTTACGTCGATAGGCAGTCAGCTCCTGGTGTCGCTTTGACCACAACAGGTCGAGACGGAAGCCAGTTGTCTCCTCAACCGGATCAGAGCCATCGCCATCGTCACTAGGAGACACCTGACGGCTGGGCAGCGAGGACTCGATCTGGATCTTCTTGTGATTCGTCTGTGGCGCCGCCACGTTTCCAGGGCTCTGCGCCTCACGGACGGAGACGAGCGAACTCAGAGACTGCTTTCGAGATACAGTCTTGCAGAGCCCGGGCCCGAAGATCAGGGAGCCGCTGTTATCGCGGTCATGTGCAGAGAGCAAGCCATGTATGAGCTGCTCGATCTGCTGCATGACAATCTTCACATCCTGGTCCGCCATGGCACATCGATCCCTAAGGGATTACCTTGACGAGTAGCTTGTTGGATGCTTGGAATTGAACCATGAAATTCGGAGAGTCTGGATGCCCGTGCTGCACGGCCCGAAATCACACGCAAGGACATCGGCTTCCGAAGGTCACTTCTGGAAGTCGCTTCCTCCTCCCTGGCCAGAGCCTCCCATGTACCTCGCAGGAGGCAGTTGTGAGCTTTGGGCAGTCTGAGCTGGCCAAGAGTCTGGTAGGGAGTATTATTATTATTATTACTATCATTATTATTATTGTTACTACTATTATTATTGTTGTTATAAGTCGACTACCACAGTGCAACCTTTGCCGGCCCAAGGGCTTGGAGAAATCCGCAGCGCCACCCTGCTTGCCTGCTCCTGCACACAAAGAGCTTAGTCCAGGGGAGGCCCGGCTTCTGCCAACGATGACACAATCAGCACACGCATGACCTATCGCAGACCTCGCTATGACCTGTAAGTCTTGTTGCAACCTCACCTGTGCACAACACCCTCCTGGAAATGGGAACTTCTGCACAACCGAATCGAAAAGTGCAATACGAAGAGTTACCGCCCGCCAAAGCTGCATTCTGTGCTTGCAGGCCTCCACCCATGTACTTGGAGAAATCCATGTACTGCCTCCCAAGCATTGCGCAAGCCGCTGCAAGCAACCCATCTCAAGTCTTGGTCTTGCTTCCCTAAACCGTAAACCTTTGACGCTAAACTTGCCCTAAAGCCGGGCCTAACAAACGAAAAGCTAAAAACCCTAAACCCTAAGGACCCTAAAGACTCTACAGTAAACTCCATAAAGTTGGAAACCGGATTAAGGCCAAATAGTGCTGGGATTCCCTATACATTACTCTTATGGATTCAGGCTATTGGGTTTCCAACTTTGAGGCTTCTACTGTAAACAGGGCCCGAGCTGGAAGTCGCTGCCGCCGCCGGAGCCACCGGAGCCTGCACCACCACTCCAAGCCGGGTTCTAAATTGCTGGTCTTCTTGGATTATTCAAGTGGCCATTATGATCAGAGTTTAGGAGCTCTTCTTGGATTAAAGTGGCCATTATGATCAGAGTTTAGGATAGATGTTGCTTAGATATCTGCGGAACCAGCGTGCCTTGCAAGCATCTCCCTTGGGCCTGGAATGTACTGCTTGTAGCCCGCCGGGATGTATTGCTGGTAGTTGCCCTGTCCACCCTGGCTTCGCCGAGCGGTACAACACATGAAGTTCCGCATCGCAAAAGAGGAGGCAACAGAACAGGAGGACATTGATCATCTATAGCATCACCGTCATCATAGTCCAGGGCCGCCACCACCACCATCATCATACTAGCCATGAAGATCCTTGAAGCAGGCTCCATGAGGGCATGTTGGAAACCTGAAGAAGTACATTGGCACAGGACGCGAAGGGAGTCAGACCGGGCCCGTCCTGGACTGGCCCCAAATCCACCACTCACTCTTCCCAACCAACCGTCAAAGACTTCGCAGGAATCACCAGCGGAAGATCATTCGGCTCGCAATCAGACATCACCACCATCGCAGATCGCGGGCATCATCTCCGGCTCCAGATCAATGGCTGCTTTCTTGCTGACTAGGGCTCCCCTCTTAGCATCGTCGCCCGGGGCCGGTTATTCTTCTTACAGTCACAAACCTTCACGGATCTACCAACAAAAGCAGCCAAAGGACCTGCTTGGAGTCAGCCTGGGTAGCATCTGCATCCGCCCTGAGGTACCGCAGCTGAGTCAGAAACGTGTTTGTGTGTGAGCGTGCGTGCATGTAGGGACGCGTGTGTGTGTGTGTGTGTGTGTGTGTGTGTGTGTGTGTGTGTGTGTGTGTGTGTGTGTGTGTGTGTGTGTGTGTGTGTGTGTGTGTGTGTGTGTGTGTGTGTGTGTGTGTGTGTGTGTGTGTGTGTGTGTGGGGTGTGTGTGTGTGTGTGTGTGTGTGTGTGTGTGTGTGTGTGTGTGTGTGTGTGTGTGTGTGTGTGTGTGTGTGTGTGTGTGTGTGTGTGTGTGTGTGTGTGTGTGTGTGTGTGTGTGTGTGTGTGTGTGTGTGTGTTTGTGTGTGTGTATATATATATATATATGTATATATGTGCACAACACCAGCAGCTGGCGCAGGGCTTAGCTGGCAACACGTGCGCACATAAAGACACAGATGAAACATAGTTCGCTTATTGCGTCAATATATCTGCTTGTATTCGGTCTATTTGCTAGCCTTTGTAGTACAGCTATAAACAAACAAACATGGCATGCACATACACAAACACACATAAACATACAAACACATAGACATGTAGATGCACATGCATACATATATAAATATATATATATATATATATATATATATATATATATATATATATATATATATATATATATATATATATATATATATATATATATATTCATGTATATATATATATATATTCATATATACATATATATATATATATACATATATATATATATATACATATATATATATATATATATATATGTGCATCTGCATACACGAGCATACACGTACATACATATACATACATGCATAAACGCACATACACACCTAGCTACATACCTACTTACTCACTTGGGTCCTGACACACGAACATGGCGATGTGCCCACCTACCTGCCTGCTTACTTGTCTACCTACCTGCCTACGGACATACGTACATACATACATACGCTCGGAAAACCTACATTCCTGCATAACTGCCTACTTACACTGTTACATAACTACTTGATGACTCGCCTACTTACTTACGCACGCACATACGTACATACATATATACATACATAAACATAAACATAAACATAACATAAACATGCATAAACATATATAAACAGACATGTATACACGTACATAGATACATACATACATACATACGTACTTACATACCTACATACTCAAAACATATGTACCGGTGCCTTCACATGCGTGAAGTTTGATATGAAAAGTTGGATGAAGATACACGCCTGCCAAAACATAATATGCTCCCGTACTATTCGAGAATCGTCTCGGTGCTCAATTCGTGCCTTTGCAAACCCTCTCCGACATCAAGACTTGGTGAACCACATCCGCATTCCCATTCAGGCAACTCGAAGTCTACTGAACAACTGAAACTTGGCGCGTGTGTACCGCAAACCCTGGTCGAAACCATTGCAGACCTTAATCGAATAAACTGTTTCGACTCTCGAGGCATTGCTACGAAGACAGACTGGGCTTGTCGCCGGTCATAACCTGATACTCGACCTATGCTCCCTCTTGGACGATGCAACAGCAAGAATATCGTGAATTATCAGACATGACATTCTAATCACTCGTCATCGCAATGTGATGTAGTTCATGCCGTTTACTAGTATAAACGACTTCTTACGTTGTTGGCTTTGTCAACCGCATCGCCGTAGTACTCAACGATATCGTTATTCTGTTGCTGGGGTGGGGCGGTGGGAGTGGGGCTGGGGGCAGAGGCGTTGGCAGTGCTGGTGATGCTGACGGTTGTGGTGGTGTGGGTGCCGCAGTTCTGTCGGTGATGCTGGCAGTGCGTGCTTGATGTCTAGTCATTTCGAACACTATCGCATGCGAAGTCCGACTACGAAGGGTTGCATTGCTTGTTGTTGCAATTAGCTGCGCACCCCGACGCGTCACTCGACTGCCACTCCACTGGGATCGCAGACGCAGCAAAGCTCACAGCACCAGCCTTGCAAAGCTCCAAGAGGCGCTGGATGTTATGATAAACGAATGGAGTAGAACAGGATAAAGTATCGTATCTGGAAAAACTGTAGGACAAAAGTATAAACATGTCAGAGGTTATCATCTGATAGCATATGATACAGTATGACGGAACATGAAATAGAAATGCATTGTACTGCTTTGTAAACACAATGCAACACAACACAACACAACACAATATCAAATCATGTAATGCGACCAGATATGGTAAAAATACAGTATAAAGGAGTATTCCACGACACAATCTCACTTCGACGAGATTTACTACTCAGTATTACAATATGTCATAACATAATATTTTGTTCTGTTACCGTGTATGACAAAGTTAATGCTGCACTATACTATACTATACTATACTATACTCTACTATACTATAAAAACGCAATTATAACACCATATTCGAATATAATAGATAGTGTAGAAGCATATACAACATGATATCGTATAATTCAACAGTAAAGCATAACATAATGCAATATAATACCCGAGTCGTTGACAATATAGCATAACCAAATGTAACTATTACAGAAACATAACAAAAATACAATGCAACATAACATACTACGATATGATGCAAACATAATGTAACGTAGTACAGTCAGATATTAGGCCAGATCGTGCTATAGAGCAATAGTGCAAAGTAAGCTACAATACCATAGCAAAGCACATCGTATGACATCATAGCATGATAAAGCATGTGAATAGAACCTACTATTGCAAAACATCTTTTGTAATTCTATGTCATACAATACTGTACCATACCATGCAATACACTTCAGCATAGCAGAGCACGCTATAATATTGTGTAGTGTGGAGTTTGCATAGGGGTGACTAACTATATTACAGGATGATTCAAAACTCTACAGGAAGATACAACACTGTATGATATAGTATCATATACAACAATGTGACAATGATGCTGGAAACATCGTTCTGAATGATATAATTCGGCAAAATGTAGTGGAGGCTGTAGTAATGTATGGTGTAGTGCAGGGATTTTTGGATCTCACAGATCTTTTAACCGTCTGTCCGATTCTTGAGGCCGTGGTGGCTTGGTGTTGGCAGCAGAAAGTCCAAACGGATCAGGCCTTGTCCTTCGCCGAATCTGCGGAGGGAGTGTACTTCCTCAGCCACTGACTCTCCCATCGGCTGGCTTGAGCAACTTTAAAGAACTCGAGGATGGGCTGCATCACGGTAGGCACTTCACAAGTTCAACCGGTGGGCAAGATGAAGAAGCATCGAGCTAAACTTCTGCATCCCGGACTTGAGACTTCCTCGAACCAGGTCACTGATAGTCCGCACCCGAGCCCTGGCCGTTTCCTTCCAGAAAGATGCGGGTGCAACTAGACTTATCTGGCTCAATGCATACTAGTACCACGACACGGACATCACTCTTCCCTGCGGCTCTCACTTTTGCAGCGGATGGGTCGTCGTCCAGCAGCACTAGCAGCTGCAGCAGGAGTAGTAGTTGTGCTTGTAGTGGGAGTAGTCGTCGCAGTAGCAGTAGCAGCAGCAGTAGCAGCAGTAGTAGTAGTAGTAGTAGTAGTAGTAGTAGTAGTGGTAGTGGTAGTAGTGGCAGTATTGGAAGAAGCAGCAGCAGCAGCAGCAGTAGTAGTAGCAGTAAGTACGAACCCACATACGTGACGGTAGTGGTAGCGGTCGCCGTAGCCGTAGCAGCAGCAGCAGCAGCAGCAGCAGCAGCAGCAGCAGCAGCAGCAGCGGTAGTGGCGTTGATGTTGCTGTTGTTGTTGTTGTTGAAGTTGTTGCAGTTGTTGTGGTTGCTCGTGGTGGTGGTGATGGTAGTACTAGTAGCAGCAGTGGTAGTAGTGGTAGTAGTAGTAGTAGCAGCAGCAGTAGTAGTAGTAGTAGTAGTAGTAGTAGCAGTAGCAGTAGCAGTAGCAGTAGCAGTAGCAGTAGCAGTAGTAGTAGTAGTAGTAGTAGTAGTAGTAGTAGTAGTAGTAGTAGTAGTAGTAGTAGCTTGTAGTAGGAGGAGGAGTGGTGATCGTTGTGGTGAGCATGGTGGTGCTGGCCGTGGCAGGGTGAAGCAGTAGCCGGAATAGCAGAGGCGTGATGCTGACTACAAGCCGCCGCCGCGGCGGCGACCGTGCCCGTCCTCAAGCCCTTTCGAAGAGCTGTACGACAAGCAGGCGCCTGACATGAACTGCTGATAGTTCATGTACTGCTGCCAGTCCATGTCCTTCTTGAAGTCCATGTACCGCCTGGTGTTTGCAGGAAGCCGCGAGTTGGAAACTGAATGGACGCTAGGTCTGGGGATGCTTCCGGTTGCAGGTTCCGTGCATCTTCAATGCACACTGCAACGAGAAGTGAAGAGGTGATCGGCGCCGCCATACTACTACCAAGCGCGATTCCGGGTCTGGCACTTGATCCACAAGCCCGACATGCAACCTGGCGCTGCCAAGACGCTGATAATCTGCAGCACCACCTGCAGGAGAAACATGCCGCAGGAGTTTCAGCTGGTGGGAAACCAACATGCGCAAGCCCTCTCACATAAGCAATGGGACTCTGCTGCAAGAGCTGTGACTGGTGAGCCCCGATCCTCAGCTCCGAAACGAGATGAGTGCAGGCCCCGCCCCTGCGGGCCCAAAGCCCTTCTCTCCGGGCCCTTTGCCTGTGTACTGGGAGTAATCCATGAAGCTCACAGGCCCAGCCTGGCGCAGGGGCGAGCGCTCGCGGATAAGCAGGTCAGGAAGCAGAGATTTGGCAAAACCAATCCGAGGGTGTCAGGAGATGCTGGGAAGCAATGGCGCCGATGCGTAGAGTGCATCCTACTCCTCCTGGAGTGGCCCTGCTCTCCATTTGGCCTGGCTGTTTCCGCTCTGCTTCATATACTTCTGAAAGTCCATGTACTGCTTGAAGTCCATGGCCTTTTCGGGGAGCTGAGAGCAGAACTGGGGGGGTTCTGTAAGGGGTTTAGTCTACAAGGTGGTCTAAGATGAAAGGGTTCCGTTCTACAGAGAGGTTCCTGTGACTTTAGTGGTTCAGCACAATCCTCTGCCTTCGGCCTCGCATCAGCACGTTTTGGATCAGTGTCCCAAGCGAACCCTTCGGCCATCCGGCAACCTGCATCCGACTGACATTTTGTGTGGGCACTGCCAAACCTGCATGTTGTCTGCAGAAGTTGGCGAACACAGTAGAAACCAGGGGCGCAGCCGTGACGCTTTCTGTTTGGGCGACCCAGGAACCCTTTGCCCAAAGTGTCCAACATCCTGAAGAGTCTTCCACCACCAAAGGCTGCCGGCATCCGCCTTGTGGCCCTGACCGTGAACGTACTTGGAGTAATCCATGTACCTTGGCAGAATTCGCACACCGGGATGGGCAGTGCATTTCTCAGGGCTGCAGCCGATGCATTACTCAAGAAGAACATGCAAGAACACAAAGGTAGTCGAAGCAGCCTGACGGCAGAGTAACGCTGGAATCAATAGCATACGACTTCTCCCCCACATTAACTTCTGATTCTTTAGAGGTCTCCAAAGCCAGGCACGCACTTCTCATTGCAGTCCTCTACAGGCAGTGTGGCTGCAGAACTTCTGCATGCTGCAGGCAGCCAAGCCACTGCTGCTGGTAGGAGCCTCCAGAGGAGGCATGTCCCTGCATGTACTTCCTCAGTCACAATAACATAGGTGGCTAGTCTGACCCGGCCAAGAAGAGCACAGCAGATGTGGGGCATGCAGAGGTTTCCGACACCAACTACTCGCACTGCTTCGGACATGCAACAACCCTTCCTTCAAGCGCCGTCAGAGGTCACGAAGCCGAAGCCTGGCATTCCCAAAGGAAAGTCCAATTGCCCAGCCGAGCAGCTGATAGTCCATGTACTGCTGGAAATCCATGCCGCCCATGCCACTTCCGCCACTTCCGCCCATGTACTTGGACCAGTCCTTCTGTTGCCAAAGGGCCGCAGCATCCCAGGAACGCTGTTTGTGATGAATGCCCGATTCTGCGGCCCTGCAGCTTACCGGCTTACCGTTCCTCACTGGACTCCCTGCACCTTCGCCAGTGCACACCCCCAAGGTTTGGAATGCATACGCAACGCAGACCCATCCATCTTCGTTTGAGCAATCCTCGCCCCCGAGCTCAGCGAGTCAAGGACTTAAATCGGCGAAACTAAATGCTTTTCCAAGCTGTATGAAAGCCCTGATACCCAGCGCATCCTCTACATCTTCTCGATCGGATCATGAAACCTTTTGGCCTCGTGGTTGAGGCTTGCGCACGGGTTCTCCCAGGTTCAGACGAGGCACCCCGCTCATGTACTTCTGGTAGTCCATGTACCCCCTTAGATTTCAAATTGGTGGAGTGCCCCCCCTCTTTTTTGGAGGAGACGAGTTATTGGAGTCTAGGATTCACTGTTCCGTCGGCTCCATGCACTACCCAGCCGGCTCTCAAGAGAGCTGACTGCAAAAGCCAAGGCAGGGAGATCCGCAGCTCTGTGCTTCTTGCTACAAATACACCAGGAACTCAGGTTGCAAGAAAAGCTACAATCGCCCACTAGCCCCATACCCTGGTCTCAGAGAACAAACCGACCTGCTGCGGAGCTGCGAGCTCTGCGCAGGCTCCTGCGCTTTCGGCTTCGGAGCCTCCTGCGGCTGCGGAGCTCGGATTTTGGATCTACTTACGACCCTGCCTAGCCATTTCAAGAGGGCCGACACTGTTGCAGATGGGCTCAAGCTTCGGCAGCGCTCCAAACGCTACCGGCACTTTGTTTCTGCAGCTACTGATCCTATTGCCCTTGCTGTTGCGATGACTTCGTTGATGGTGCTGATGATGCTGATGATGATGATGATGACGACTATGGTGACTGGTACTGGTGAAGATGCTGACGATGATGATGATGCTTATGATAATAATAAGGAGGAGGAGGAGGAGGAGGAGGAGGAGGAGGAGGGGGCTGACTGGTGATGACGAAGATGATGGTGATGATGATGATGACGATGATGATGATGATGATGATGTCGATGACTGTGATGATTACAACGACGATGACTGGTCATGGTGAAGATGCTGACGATGTCGATGATGATGCTGCTGCTGGCAGTGGCAGGAATTCGGATAGTTGTGGGGCGAGGACGATGGCCGTGTTCATGGTGACAATGATGGACATTACCCCGTGCTTACTTCGCTACTTCGCTGTGTTCGTTGCTAATGCATTTACGGTCTTCCCTGAAAGAGTGGCCTCTGCCGCCTTCTCGTGGTGTGAATGCGAGGATTTCGACGACTCGTTTGCCTGGCCATGAGAACAGGTCAGGAAGTCAGACGGGGCCCTTGCTTGGAGACTCTGGGTGCCTTTGAACGTGAGGCTCGGGTTTGGTTTTCGTAGACTTTTGCGGCTCCAAGAGACCAAGAGACTGCCCATGGCCTTCCCTGAAACCTGCAGCTCAAGAGGGCCCTTCGTCCTCTTGCGAGGCCTCCTCTGCAGCGAAGGAGACCGGGGTCTGGCCTCGCTTGGAAAGAATCTGAAGGGCCCTGTCGAAGGGTTGGGGTTTGGCGGATTTTTCGGGGCTCCGGCTCGACGTAGTTTGACGGGATTTGGCTTACTGCTGTGTCAGACAGGTGTGCTGCGTCTGAGGATGTGGGCCTGAACTGCCCCCGCAACAATCCCCGATGTCCCTGTTTAGGGTCCCAGGTCATTCAGGTCATGCACCAACTTGGCTAAACAAAGGACAAAATGGGCACCATCACGTACAGCATCCTCTGAAGCTCCGTGAAACCTGACATGAGTCCCTGTCTTGAAGATGTTGGGCCCTTCCGGGGCCAAACATGCCACGCGACCCTCATTCCTTTCGTCCCGTGCCCCGTATGTTGCAGTACGTTCCGAGATCTCGGCCACCATGGCTCTTCAGATAGTGCTGAAACCTCACGGGCCAGATTTCACGCAAGCACCGAAGTTAGTTGTGCGGACTTGCCTATGACCTGGGAAACCTTATGACTTATGCAAAGTACACCGGCATAAGCACACCAAAGTCTCTGGCTCTGCCATGTGCTGGAAATCCTGCGGCACGTCCTGCAGTGCCGTTCAGGGCATGGGCAAGCGGGGCGATTCGGTACGTGTATTGTGCGTCCTTTCCGCCGCTCGTGAACTTTGGCACGTTCAGGTAGTGCTCGTAGTCCGGCGCCGCAGGAGCTTGCTGGCCTGTCCCGTCTTTCTCACCCAGGTCCGAACAAAATTCAAATCATCCCTCAGCTTGGGTAGATGCTGCCTGCAGTGTACTGCTGGAACTTCAAATACTCGTCGAAGGACGGAGTGGATCCGCCCTAGCGGCAGAAAAAGTCGGGTGTTCGAAGGCATTGGGTTTCACCGCAGGATGAAAGCAGCAGTGGAGAAGCCCAGAAGCCTGCATCGTCATGTATTTCGAGAAGTCCTGCACAGAATCACAGACTGCCGCAGGAGGTCCTCGAACCCGGGGCCCGCTGAATACCCAGCGTTCGTCTATTGTCCTCGTATTGTGCGTGGTTGGACATGTACTTGTCATAGTCCATGTACTCCTGCAGCGGCTCTCAGTCGTCGCCCTTTGGAAGGACCCAAAGCATCCAATGCACCGCCACATGGAACGGTCTGATTTGATCGAAGCTCCCACTGAACCCACAGGCTCAGGCTCAGCGGGCCAGGTCCTGGAAGTCCACGGGACCACCTCCGTGCCCACTCAGGTACTTGGAGTAGTCCTGGAGACGCTTTTCCATGCTCGCGAAAACTGCTCTGCTTGCACTGGTTGGGCTTTGTCCGACAAAGCTTCAATGGCCCATCTGGAAAGAGCCGCAAAACCTCTCAAGTGCGCAACAAGGCGTAGCACGGAAACTCCCTGTCCTGGTAGCCCTGCGCCTGATCGGGCGTTTGCTCCTGTATGCTCGAGACCAAGTTCGAAGGTGTAGGCACGCCTATAAACTAGCTGTCATCAGGGTAGCAGTAGCACCGGCCTTACTGCAAAGCGCAGGTTGCTGCACCATGCCAAAACTATTTCTGAAAGAGCCTTGGAAGTCTGTTTGTACTCCATGAACTCCAGGTACTTCCTTGGCACGCGACTCTTCAAGTCGCTCGCCGACATTGCAATGAGTCATCATTACAGTCTGCTTAGCGTCAGGGCTGGCAGTCTGCGAAGTGTGCTGAGCACTCCACGACCAGCTGGATCACGTGCGGTCATGCACTCCATTGAACGATATGCTGATGTCCGGAGACGAAGGCTAGCTGCTAAGCTGCAAACATGCAGCTTCCTATGACTAGGACCGACAAACTGCTTTAATAGCAGCCCGTCTCGACGAGCACAACGACGACAGAGTGATGACTGATAGCTTCAACCGGGATGCTGAAAGCTGGAGACGTCGTCATCATGCCTGCCAGTGAACGTGCACGCCTCTCACAGCATCGAGCGCTGCTGCTACGGTACATGTGCTCTAGCAGTCAGCAGTCGTAGTGCAAGCGGCTTGTACTTACACTGCCAAGACTCCCTCTAAGGTCGAGGCCCAGAGTGGCCATACCTGCGAGCACGGCGTCCAGCTCTGAGCTACAAACTGACACTCAGAGCACCTTCCTTTCAATTTCTCAGAAATCTGGGAGCCTCTGCATCCATTGCTTGAAGTCGTTGTAGTTGGCTGCCTGCTGACGTTCTTGCAACGTCAGGTTCGGAGCTTCATGTTACTTGTTACGGAGAACCCACATGCATGCGTCCGCAAAGCCTACACTTCCTAAGGTCCCGGCAACGCCTTGCTCCTGCGAGGTGGTGCAGCAGAGGCTCCCATGAAGGACAGGCACAGGTAAACATTCAACGGAAGGGAGTTGAAGATGAATACCACAACTGCTACATGCAGAAGAACTTGGACGCCGGTGGCTCTAGATCAAGCTACTGCTGCACCACTGGTTTTCCTCGCGATCACGCGAGTCGGCATCCGACGCGTCCTATGACAGTTCTCGGCCGAAGCTATGGAAGAGCAGCTTCTGACCACTCTTCGCATTTCTCAGAGACCTGTACGGTCGAGAAATCAGCCAAGTATTACACTCCACCCTGAACTCACAAAACCCTAAAACTCCCGGCCCCAACACCCTAAACCCAAAGCAGTATGATGACCTGTACTTGAGAAAAAAGAGGCGCAGCTAAGCTCTGCTCAGCCCGTGAACTGCTCAACGGGCCCCTTGCCTGGGTGGTCGTTAGGACTGAAAGAAAAAGGGCTCCTTTCCGGGCTCTCTTTAAGGAATGTCAGCCAACAAAGACATGAGAAGTAACGGGCCGCTTAGCCTCTACACTAAAGGCCGAAACCCTCATAAACCCCATGAGCGTCTTGTAAACCTGATGAGGCAGAGCACTTACAAAAAAACGAAAAGGACCCCAAACCCTGAAAACCTCAAACTCCTTATGAACACCTTAAAATACAACCTAACAAGGATCTCTAAACCCGAAGCCTTAACAGCCATCAGACCCTTAAGGAACCCTCTAAAGCCTTGCAAAACCCTTACAAGAAATGTGAAGAACCCTTACCAAGAAGTGCAAATGGGTAGTTGTCAAAATTATGGTCCCTTTTTGGGCACCTTAAATAATACTGTAATAATGACCCAAAAAGGGGCCCTAATTTTGACAACCAACCAAATGGATCCCTAACGCCAAGCTACCAGTCTGGAGCTCGGCAGCGATCTGTCCGATGATGGCGAACATGGCGATGCGCCCGTTGTTCAGCTCCTGGCGCGGTTTAGGGTTTAGGGGGGTTGCTTTACCGGTTCTTTTTCGGTGCTCTGCAACGGCTACCTTACAGGGCTGGCACCACAAGGACTACTCTGAGGATTACAATAGCGGTTCAGAGTCTAGGGTTCGTACGGCTTTAGGGTCTTAAACTTTTGGCTCTTAGCGTGTAAGGCCTCTAGAGTGCGAGGGTGTGGAGTTCAGGGCTTTTTTGAGGCCCCTTCGCAACTTGAAGAAGTACCGCTCGTAGAGCGTTTACTGCTTCAGGATTTAGGGCTTGGGGTTAGCTCCTTGGTGCGCATCTCCGAAGTGAACTGGTTCCACTTGAAGGGGTCGCCGAAGGATCCCGGCTCCTTCACCGGCTTCCATGTCACTGCCTCGTGGCCTGCGATCAGGAAGAAGAGGAGCGAGAAGCCTTCCAAACCCTTGGGGTTGCTGAGAGCTGCCAATCCGGTGGGCACATCCTCGAAGCCCGGAAACTTGACGAAGCTCGCGAACAAGGACCCAGTTGCAGCCATCATGGCAAATCGCCCGTGCCTTAGGAAGCGCTAAACAAACTGCGAGGGTCAGAAGGGCCTGTTGTGACTGAGCTTCGAACTTGATCTCTGCAGCTCGGAGGTGCTTGAAGCCCGTGGAATCACCCGGGAAGGTCATGAGGCCACTGGTGCTGAAGCCCAGCGGATCAAAGAAACCCAAGGGAGCGACGGCACCAGGCTGCTCCTGGGGCACCAAAGGCACCTCCGGCGCCTCGAAGCGGAAGCGCCCCTGGTCGTCCTTGGTCAGCACAGCCGCGCGGGCCACCTTCGCCCTGGAGGCACCAACGGCACCCAGTGCCAGCAGGCCCGTCAAGGAAGCGACGGAGACGGAGCTGGCCGAGGCTCCGGCACCTCCGACGGAAGCGCCCTGGGCCTGGGCCTGGCCGTAGCTGCGCGGCGCCGAGGCCAAGCTCTCGCTCGCGGCAGGGCTGCTGGTGAAGGCCGGCGCGCCCAAAAGCACCACGGCCGCGGAGCCAGCGGCCAGGGCTGCACACTTTCGGGACTGAGCCATGGCGATGGGGCTGGACAGGAAAAGAGCGACCGACAGAGACCTACCTTGGAGCCACAGTGAGGATGGTGACGGTGAGGCCCTCCTGATGTTGCTTCCACTCCCCTGTGCCCGTGCAGTACACGGCAGCCACCCTTTTTCAATGCCAGGATGCGCGTCAACCGAAGACGAGGTTCCAAGCACCCTCGCCCGTCCAAGAAGAGACTTGACCATGGACGGCTTCCTCACGGAACAGATATTGAGGTGCTGCGGTGCTGCCGTTTCGGATTCGCTGATGCTCTCCGTCTCCTAGTTTTCATGCGCGGCTACTTTAGGGGCGGTGCTGAAGACGCTGCTGCAGAATTTGCGGAACGCAGGCTTGTCACCCCCATCTGTATCTCCCACACATTCAAGGCCTGCAGCTGCAAGCGCTTTGGCTGACGCAACAGTGACCCCAGCAGACAGATCGCTGCGACCTTGCAGGCAGTGCAACTGCGCTTTCCGAACGGCTTCATTAAAAGGGATACTGCATCTGCTTCTTCTACTTGTGCTGTCTGCGGATGTCAAGGATCTCTTGCAATTGCGAAGCACCTCCCCATACTCTCGACTAAATGGCAAGAGGGCAATAGAAAGCCTGCACGTCAGTTGTCGCGTACTTCCAGGTCCCATTATGAAACTCGTCGGCATGTCTATGCGCGTGTGTATGTATTCTACCTATCTGCTATGTAAATACCTGGACCTGCATCTAAGCTCAAACTTAAGATGTTGTAGATGTACATCAACAGTAAGCATAGAAGGCACTCCGCTTTGTTTGGGAAACCATTTGTGTTCAAGGAACTTGGAGGCTCACGGGTAATCAAAAGTCGGGGCTTGTTATAAATCCCCTCCTTTGGCTTGTTTTTTAGGGATATGCTATTCATATCCCCACAATTAAACTATCCAACAATCTCCAAGTACCCCTACATTCGGAAACTCCACCCTCAGTCCAGGGTGCTAGGACGAAGGCGGTGTAAAGTGGACCAATGGCCACTCGCCGAGCCCCTGCAAAAATCAGCTTGAACTCCACATGGGGACCCCAAGCACTGGCACTCCATGTCCCCATCAGCTCATGGCTCACTCACTTCTCGAAAATTTGGTAGTCTTATCGTGCCATGGACCCTGTTAAATGTGCTCTGGTAAACATTGTTCTACTGTAGCGAACTTTGCAGTCCAACCGATTTACGACAACAACTATAACAATATTTGTATACTGTAATAGACCCTTGTTTGAAAGTCCCTGGGTCGGGAGACCCTGACCAGGCCTGGCGCCCCTTTTCGCACGGCGGTGAACCGCGTCCATCCTTTCAGGGAGTCGTGAGGGTTTCACTACGGTGTTTTTTCGGTCAATACGGTTTAGGGACTTTAGTTCAGGGCCTAGTAGCAAAGCTGTAAGTTTGTGGACTTAACTTCATATAGGTCCTAAGTACGAACACCAAGATCTTGGGTCAAGGAAGCTATCGAATCCTGGTAGAACCCTTTCAGGCTCGCTATCTCTCTGTGCCTCCATCTCTCTATCTCTCCATCTACCCATCTATCTATCTGGTCATGTTTTACATACGGATATGTGTACCTGTATATAACTGTATATACAGGCGTACATACATACATATATATACGTATATAATATATGTATGCACACACAATGTCACATTGTTGCTTTACTCGCCTATCAGCAGCGTGGCCAGCCCCGAGCAGGACAGGACCAAGGTCACGAAAACGTCCACAACGAGCTCTCCTGACGTAGGCTGGTTCAGAAGCCATGGTCCGAGCGGGCTTTCACAAGATCCCGGGACCCTCATAAAGCGCAGTTACCATAGTATCCTCATGCCTGACGATTGAAAACCATCACATGGGATGAAATTGCACATGACATAGAATGAAATTGCACAGAACACTAGGAACGCAGAATGACAAGTGAATCGATTGTGCATTATCGCAGCAAGAAAGAAAACAATGCCCTTGGGAACGTCTCCATGCACGGGCAGCTGACCCGGAAAAGCCGAATTGAGTGATACATCTTGTCTGCGAAAAAATGAAATCTTCTTCTTCTTCAGCCTGCAAGGTCGTTGAAAGCTGGAGGTGCAAAAGTGGCTTAAGGGTTCCGTGTTAGGGATTTAGAGTTTCGGGTTTAGGGTTTAAGTTAAAGTTTAGGGCTATAACAGTGAGGACCTCCATGCGCTGAGAATAGTATTGTGCTTTGAGCCCGCTTAGGCGGCCTCCTTCGATTGCAAGACGAGCAAAACCAAGAGGAGCGGTGCAGCACTCACCGGGTAGGGATATCTAAAATAGGGACGCCGAAATCCTTCCAAAGCAAAGCCCCAGTTCGCAGATATGACTCCTCACTACTATGCCTTCTACAAACTATACTGTACACAACTCTCTGTTGAGCTACTCTGTGTACAAACATAGAATTAAGTACATAATACACTTCATACACAGATACTTAGTTAAATTTGAAGAGAAGTCGCCTTTCGTGAGGCCCGAGAGCGTAGCGAAGGAGAAGACGGTCCTTGGAGGGCTTCAGGGTTTAGGATGCCTGATTTTGAAAGTTTTAGGGTTTAGCGCTTTAGGATGTGGTGTTTTAGGATTTAGGACTTCGGGTTTAGGATGTTAGGATATGGGGTTTTAGGGCTTAGGGCCGGGGTTTAAGCTTCAGGCTGCGCACCCATGCTCTTGTGCTCGGATGCTGGGTGCACAGAAGCATCAGGCTACCAAAAATAGTGAAACCCTGCCGAACCCTAAACCCGACGGATTTGGGCCTATGGACGACGGGAGAACCCTCGGCCCTGACGATCGGGACGATACACAGAGCGGCTAATGCCCATCCAAGTAGCCGAATGGCGGCTAAGCCTCCAAGGGCTGAGGAATGCTGCACTGTAACATACTACAGTAACCGTATCACAGGACCGTCTTAGAGACTTGCTTGCTGGTCGACGAGGCTCCTGTCTTGTTGCGGTCTGAAGTTCGGAGACTGAGCGAAGGACTGAACGCATGAATGTATCCGAACATTGGTAGGCATATTCACTGATGGATGAAACCATGGCTGAATCTAAGAATATATTCGTAGCGGAGTCTGCCAGGCAACCCTCAGTGCGCATGGCACAAACCGGAGATTTCATTCGCAGGTGCAGTGCCTGTGGTCACAGTATTGCATTGCCAATGTTTCTGAAGCGCTGCCTCACAGCATTCGCTGCCCCCAGCCCTGCTCACGGCCTGTGCGCACCCAAGCCAGCAACGTCCGCTCGTTGGCCAAGTCCTTGAGACGGAGAGGAGCCGTCCAAAGCCTTACCTTTGGTTAGTGGGGAATGGAGGAATGGGGCACAATTATTATTGCTATTACTACCATTCTTACATTCCCTACTAACCAAAGGTAAGAAGCCAGCGAGCATGTGCAACACCGCAAGTTGAACCGGGCCAATCTTAAGCAAGGAGCCTGACTTGACAATAGCGCTCAAATTAGTAGTGGTCAAGGGGCACAATGGCAGCGAGGACGACCAGGGGCAATTCTTACATGATGCACAGGATGAGCATGATGAACATGGTCAAGGCGCCGACTGCGGACTCTAAATTGACACCGATATTGTTGCGGCAACTTGAAGCTGGTTGTTCGTTTCGCACAACGATGAACAACGAGTACCGCCAACATCACCACCACCTCTGGGAGAGACAAGCTTACCGACCCGCATGGCGACGAGCGCACCTCGTCAACGCCGAAAGCTTAAAGACCCACCAATGGTGATGTCCCAGGCACGAGGCTCAGCTGCTTGGTGTCGATGGGCTCGGACACCAAGCTGCCTGTCGAGACCACTTCGAGAGCCCCTGAACGTCCACATCCACAAAGGCCTAAGCTGCCAAGGCACAGCAGCGGCTTTCGGAGCGCTGTGCAGCCTCCACAGGTGCCGGTGGCGGCACGACAGGCGCCTGCGCTGGCGCTTCTGCAGCCGGCCTCAGTGCATCTGGGGTGGCCCAGGAGAAGAAAGCGGCGGAGAACTACAAACTCTCGCCTCTGCGGAAACTCTCCAGGAACGCGCCGGCCCACTGGAAGCACGACGCGCAACCGGCTGCCGTCCTCACAAGCTTTCGGGTCTTGGATGTTTTGCAGCTTACACTGCAGGATTTGACGGTGTCGGCAGTGTTGATTGGTGGGTGTTCGGGTGAAAGGATGGTGAGATGGACGGAAGGACAGACGGAGACACGCATGCATTTCCGGTACGACCCAGCATGCCAGCCAGGTCTGCATGAAGTGAACGACAAGGCAAGCACTTACGGCACAAGTGACGTGCGAACCCCGACTTTCTTTGCTGCTTCGGATCCGGCAGCAAAGGTGAAAGGGGCAGCGCCGCGTCGCTGGGCGGCTGCCCGGCCTTGCGTGGCACTCTGCAACCAATAGGGACACGGACTCACGAGCGCATGCGCGCACATACCTTGTTCATCCATTCTGTCATCCAGGCTTTCATACATACATACATACATACATGGGCAGAACGGAAAAACAGGCTTTGCGTCCTTCCAAGTCCCGAAAAAGTGCAAATATCTCTGCATACAAATGCGCATGTCTGTAGATTGTATATTTAGTTATCTATCTGTTTAAAGACATGTACATATACATATACACATACATATACATATATGCATACACGTACACGTACATATACACATACGTATACAGATACGTACACCTATGTGAATATACATATATATATATATACATATATATATATATATATATTCACCTGTACAAAAAATACATCTATCAAGCTATCCATCTATCTACCTAAATGTACATGTTTATTGTTGGTTCTGAGTTATTTGTATTGGCATTTAAGCCGTGGTTTATATGCAATACAGTGTATGTATCTGCATCTACACACATGGAGACTTTCGCAGAAAAAACATAGCATCACATCGATTTGCCTTCCAATTGCCTTTTCGACACGATACTATGATACTATGCTTACATGCCTGATACCATCGTGAAACTGTTGCAGTATTCACCATAACTGTGAACATGCTTTTCTGTATACACACACATAAGCATGTGCACATCTACGTACACATACACATACACGATTTGCCTTCCAATTGCTTTATCGACACGATACTATGATACTATGCTTACATGCCTGATACCATTGCAAAACTGTTGCAGTATTCACCATAACTGTGAACATGCTTTTCTGTATACACACACATAAGCATGTGCACATCTACGTACACATACACATACAACACATATACACATACAGACACAACACATGCACATTGACACGGACATAGATATAGAAATAAACGTAGACGCACAGTAGACATTGACATAGAAACTGACATGAACATGGTGCACATACACATAATTACACATATACACGTGCGAAAACCAGCATCATCTTGACACAGTACCATGTTCGTATGTACTGGCACATTGAAGTAAAGCTGGACTGGCATGGTGGCGAATGCAAACATGTATGTTACTGATAAAGATTGGTACAGGCAAGTGTACTTCAATATACGTCAATACAAACTATCCTGGGCTCAAACCGGTGAGAGTTGCAGTTTATGGAAGCTAGCACAGGTTGACTTAGACTAATATTTTCCTCACTTGCTCTGAATACATTGGCAAACAATGATTGAATACACTATCATGCAATTTCTCAAAGCTTTACCTATAAACCAGTCATGGGAGCTTCAGAAGACTAGTGGCAGCTTGTTTAGGGGCTCTGATTGCAAGGATCCTCCTATGTTGGATCTATACTACGGCCGCTAATTTGCTGAAAAACTCCCTTTTCAGCTTGATATTCTGGAGCGCCTCTGGCTCCTGCGTCACGAAGAAGGGTACCCCAGGCAGCAGACCCAGCCGGTCCCTGCGAGAGCTGAGCCCCCCGGACATTTCGGTTTCAGGTGGGGCTAAGCTTTTGTTGTTTTTGCTTTTCGTGCGCCGATGTGAGTGTAGGAAAGTTCGAGGACAGGGCCCCGGGCTGGGGGTACGTTGGCTCGAGGATGTAACTGAGAACCAAACGCAACTTGTCATCGGCAGCACATGTGCGAGGAGTGCAAGTGCAGCGTAAACCTGTCCGGATCACACTGCCTAGGACCAAGATTGTAAGCTGCTTCGCGTTCAAGGCAGGCTGTACTGCGTACCCGCGTGCTTCGGCTGCTCACAGAAGCCGAACACATGTACACAGCACTGAGCTCAGAGGTCAAGATGCATCTTTGACTAGACTCGAGTCTTCCAAATTTGCTGGTTTGCGCTTCCACTAGGTGAGTTAAGGCTTCTAGAGACAGACCTATCTGCGAATGCACTGAACTGTTTGTTGGACCCTGCACTGCGGATGGGGGCGACGACCTGACCCGTAGAAATCTCGAGAGCTTTAACGGCTGTTGCGGACCTCACGCAAGCACTCAAGTCTGCCGCAGGCACATCCAGGGAAGGAATGCACCTGAGCTGCAAGGTCTTTTCTCAACTGGGGCTCATTTCAGGTTCGACAAGGATGGCCATCCGACTGCTGGAGGATCTTCAATGCTCCCGACGTCCCCTCTGGGAGCCTGGCAGTTGAAAGGAAGAAGGCTGACCATCCTCGAAGCTGCAAACTATACGGTTTGCGGGAAGGAAGAGGTGAAACAACTACTAGTATCATGGTTCCACTCACCACCAAGTAGCCATTGCCTCCTATACAAAGCATACTAGACTTAATCACTTTCAGAGAGACAGACAGTAGAGAGAGAGAGAGAGTCTCATTCATTGAGTGTTGTTGTCTAGTTCTATATTCGTTTACTTGACCCTCACATTTTGCATTTATGCGTTACTCCGCACGTGTCTTTTTACCCCTCCAAGCTCGGCCTCGACGCAGGTGATCCAGAACTGCCGTGCCATGGCACTTTCGGACTGCTTTCGATCTGAAAAATGTCTTTCGGTCTAGGAAACTGATCGTACCTTACGGATCTTACCTTACTTCGGGAATCTGATATGCTCCAGGGTCTATGTCGGGGTCCCTGATTTTCTCAAGCTCCCCATCATGAGAAAGGCTCACAGGTACGTACGAAGTGACTGACTTCTGCGTAGTTCGTCTCCGGCTACACTGTGCATAACGCTCAGAGCTCTCTGACTGGGAACCGTCTGCAGGCTGCAGTCCCAGGGCTTCAGCGTAGAACCGAAATGGCAACGTGACGTGGTTTCATATGATACTCACACTTAACTGCAAGCTTTGCCGAAGCGCTTGACTCCTCCGCGATCACTCCTTTGACCAGGAGCACCGCCACAGCATTACGAAGCGACCTGACGCGGCACATATACCGCCAAAGCGATCTAACCACCGAGAGCCCATACCCAACCTCATCGGAGTGAACCCGGGCTGCTCCTCACACGGGTTGTCGTGCTTTGGACATGAAACTTCTTACATCTTTCCGCACCTCAGGCTCTCTCCAAACTTTGAAACTGTTCCGGATACCAGCTCCCCAAACCCCAAAACCCCGAAGCCCTATGCCCTACATCCGAAGTCCGAGACCTCACTATAGTATCTTGTAGTATAATATGTTACAGTATCATAGATCATATTTATATATATATATACATATATACATATATATATATATATATAAACCCTGAACCCCGACTTTGTCGCCCAGCCCTGCGGCCGAGGCTCGGATTTCCGGCGCGGATGCGAGGTCTCTACAAACGACTGGACCGAGAGATCGAGGAAAGGCACAAGTCTCCGCCACCCAGAAAGAAACTATCTATCATGTACTGCACCATACTATACCGTAACATGTATGTATGCATATATATATATATATGCATGTACAGCTCTATATATATATATATATATATATATGTATATGATCTATGATACTGTAACATATTATACTACAATATACTATAATGTGATATAGACTGCACTATGCTATACTTCAATATACTATGCCATCATCGTCAGAGGAAGCAGCATGCAGATATGAAATGCAGCGATGGAGGCAGGAGTTGGTGCCGGCATCGTCCTTTTACCGCTGTTTGCCAAGCAATCAGGTCTCACGCAGCTAACTCGTCCCGGGTTGATCACATATTGTGATGTGGAAAACTAACATCCTTTGCGCTCCTCTGGCTGACAGCGAACGCATGCACTGTGCTGTGCAGCACAACACAGGCTATCCTGCTTCCTTTTATCGACGTCACTTCGCGATAGCCAGGGGAGAGCTAGCTGTCAGTGGCTGCAATAAGCTCTAGAATCTAGAATCTAGAGTCTAGAGTCTAGAACGCTCCACGCCATGCGAAACCGTTGAGGTGCATTGATGGTTCCACAAGTCCACATCATTTGCGAAAAGTTGTGTTGATATCTTGTCTACAATGCTTTGTGGGTGCCAAGCTTTCTGCTCTGCTTACGCGAGGAAGGGCGCCAGCGACGTGCGCAACACAGTCTGCAAGCAGCAGGCCGGAGGGCACACACACACACACACACACCACACACACCACAGACTGGTCACCGGCTCTGAGCTGTGCCTAAGACGCTCGAAAGTGTCTGCATCTCGGGCCTGGAACTGGTCAACAGCCGTGGGGCCAGCGTTATCTACCTTCCAGAAGCAATGCTCTGTGGAGGCATTAAGACAAGACCTCCAACACACCTGTTTTGTGCCTTGAGCGTCACTTGACAGGAGCTCGCCGCTAATGCCTGAGAGGCAAGTAGGCCATCAAAAGGGAAGAATGATGCGGATGTTGAATACAAGCACAGGGCACCTATGAAAAACCCATCTTTCCAGCTAAGCTCCTTAACCCGAAGAAATCGGATAGACATGATACAAAACCTTTGCTCACCAAAACTGATCTTGGAAGAAGATCCGCACCGGGCTCCCGAGCCATGATCACCTCAAGCAAAAACCAGACTCCGTTGGGAGCCTCCGTTTGCCCAGCCTCCGGTAGTAAGGGCTCAGCTCAGCCGCAGATTCCCCGATGACTGATGCATCCCTAAAGTAAAGCCTAAACCATGTTCTGACAGTTGGGGCAGTCGGGAGCCTGCCGTGCATAGAAGTAGAACTTCATGCTCTGGCCGACCGTGCCACTCGCTATGACCTCAGTGACGCGTGCGTTCCGCGGAAGCCTGGGACGGGAGACTCTAAGTCTCTAAGCTCAGGGTATGTCCTTCATGTGGGTGGTTGTCAAATTGTCAAAATTATGGTCCCTTTTTGGGTCCCTATTATAGTACGGCACCTATCATTTAGGGTACCCAACAAGGGACCGTGATTTTGTCAACCACCCATGTAGACATAGGATGACCTCACAGCTCTCAGTGTCCCGGGCGAAGATGCCGTGTGGCCTCAGGGCCTCGGCTACGACCCGGCCGTGGAGTGCTGAGGCTGGAAATTTGGGGTTTAGGGTTTAGGGGTTTAGGGGTTTAGGGGTTTAGGGTTTAGGGTTTAGGGTTTAGGGTTTGAGGAAGCTTGCAACTGATACATCTTGGTCAATCGAATCTGCACTTGCCCAGTGCAGCTCTGTCTTTCACTATCCCGTTTCACGAAGCCCAGCATCACACAGCAACGAGCCACGCAGGGTGTGGCCAAATCTCCACTGTACTAGCATGTCCGGCCGTTAAGGTGCACCCCTCACTTTAGCTGATCTTGGGCCTAGGTACAGCCTCGACGGCGCCTGTGTTCGACGCGCTGCCGGGCCTCTCCCGATTCCCACTGCTCGGAGAGTTTAAAAGGCACTGGGACCGCAGAAGCCAGCACTGCGACTGAAGCACAAAAAACACGAACCGCTGATATCATGCTCAGTTCCAGTGCTTCAAAACAAGTGCGGTCAGGGTTCACTGCATAAACCAACACCACTCCAAATTGTGATGGGGCCACGAGACATCACAACACACATGAAGATTACACAGGAACGTGCGAGAGCCGCCGTCATGCCCACACTGTTTTTTTTGGTGGGGCTCGTGTCTATGAATTGGCAGCTCCTCGAGTGTTGGCGATGGCTTTGGTCGAAGGATTTCTGCGGACCATTGAGTACAGTATGGCGAGAAACATGACGTCATCAGGCATGTCCTGGTTCACGAATTCTAGTGGGTCCACCTCAGTTGGTTTCTAGGTCTTGCGATGATGCATTTTTTCCTTCGTGCCTCAGTGGCCAATTCAAGACCGGAAGCTGCGGCAGCTGTGACCACCGCGCCTGGCGGAGAGAAAACGAAAACACGTCCACTCAGGCGAGTGAGGACCAAGGAGGAGGGGGGCCTGAAAGCCGTTGCCATCCATGGAGGCATCCAAAGCCAAGCTGAACTCGGGGGGCGCTGCAGGCACCGCCACCGGCGCCGGTACCTAAGAGTTGGGGTTGGGATGAAAGAGGCGAAGAAAGGAGCATGGAAAGGGCCTCGGATGCGAGGCCACCGAGCAGATCCTGCAAAGCCGGAAGAGGGGGGACTGGGGATGGGGAAGCATGGCACCGTGAAGCAACACTGGAAACAATGGTCACTAGCAGCGAAACATTACCCGTATCCATCATGACTCACAACGAGAACCAAAGAAAAACCAGCAGCAGCGCAGCAGCATCGACAGAACCCGTAACAGCATCGTGATAGATGCATTGTTCGAATAATCTGCGACAAAATCTGTCCACGATGGATGTTCCATCAGTTCAAGCATGCGATGTCAATGACCTGGAGGGATAGGAGGCAATGAAATGAACATCAACAGTGTACAGGCAGAGTCAGCAACGGTCCCACGATGGCAATGAGTCACGAGTCAGCCCGGCCGTCGGTGCTGCCGTAAAAGGTGCACCTTGATCCTACCTAGAGCGGCGTGATCAAAGCATCGGTACCACTTGCGCCCCACAAAGCATTAGGAAAGTTACATCTGCGCACAGTCTTCCCGAGCCGCCTTGGCAAAGACTGTTGTTTACAAGCGCGCGAAGATGGCAGAATCCGTAAAGAATGCAGACCAGAAACAGCAACACTTCATCGAGGAGCAAGAAGTCATGGAAGTTCGATAAAAATAGTAGGAAAAGACCTAGCCGCTGCTTTCCGGCTCAAGGCTTCGGCTGGACGGGTGAGGAGAGTGTTTCTTTGAAGCGACGGAGCCGATAAGTTTTGACAGCCAACTCAGGTCACACCGAAAAGTTCTCCTCCATGCCGAGCAAGTCCCCTCCGCTGCTTGGCGACGTACTGGGTGCGGCCTCTTCCGAAAACCCGAAACCCGGAATCATGGCGCGGGACCAAGGGCAGTGGGCAGGGTGCCGGCCTGCGCGGGCGCTGCAGGAACATCGTCCAGAAGTCCTGGCATCGGAGATTTCAAGGTCAAGCCGAGCCCTGGAAAGGCGCCCCTCGTCCCGGGTCCTCCGCCCAGGAGGTCTGCAGACTCGGCGGGTGCCGGCGAGTCGAAGCCAGGGAGCATCGGCTGCGGGGCAGGGACAGCTGTCAAACGAGTCTCAGCCTAAGCCTCACTACCAGGAAGCCCTCGGACTGCCTCGGAAGGGGCGCTCGTTGGCCCTTTTACCTCGCTTCTCACGAGCATGGGCCGGGGATGCAGTGGCACTAGGGACTTGGAAATGCATGGCTGTTGTCTTGCTTCGTCAGTACTTCCTGCTGACGTGAGACTATGTTTATGTGCACAGCAGGACCGTATGAACAGCAGCAACCACCGTCACCACGTCCTCTTCCGCTGAAGGAGGCACTGGCAGAAATCCCATGGAAAACCCGGAACCCGACATTCTAAACCTCAAAACCCTGACCCTTAAACCCGAAACCCTAAACCCCTCCACCCAAAGCCCGAAGCCCTAAACCCCCGAACCCCTCCCCTGAACCCTAAAGCCCCACACCCCAAACCCAAACCCTCCATTCTAGTCTACACCCTTCACAGGGGCTCCAGCTCTGGAGGGCTGCGTCGGCGTTGAAGGCATCTCCATGCCCTGAAGTTCTCTGAAGCTTTCATCCCGCTTTAGCCCCGTCGCGTCAAAGGAATAGGAATGAGAATAACAATAACAAGAATAACAGTACTACCCAGAATAAGGATACGAAGAATAGTAGTAACAAGGTTCATAACCATGACCATAATCATACGAATACAAAAACTAATACGAATACCAATGCCAAAGCTAATACAAACACTAATACTAGGACGAGTAATGCTGATAAGGTCACCCTATTCAGAACAACAGTAACCATTGTAACCATTACACTAACTGCAAAACTCAGAAGAAGAAGAAGCGGAGCCCCACACGAAGGCCCTGGAAGACCCCCAGCCTCCGGCAGCGCCGGCGGCTGCATCTTCATGGCTACGAAGGGGCTGCCGCTCACCTGCGAGAGATTTAAGGCTTAGGGGTTTGAAGGGTTCAAGGGTAACTCTTTTTGAAAAGACCTAGTCTTTCCTGGCTGTCGGGGATTTAGGGCTTTGGGTTTGGCAGTCCCACAGGCGGTTCTCCAGAACACCGTACGAACACGCCGGGAGCTCACAGCGCTGCAACGTACGAAAGCATGCCGAAGAGCCCTTTGTGCCCCCAGAGTCTCCAAGATTCATGGGTTTTGGGCTTTCCGAAAATGCCGAACTCAAAGCTACAGTCCTGAACATAGTCTGCCAACAACAACAGCCCGCATTTCAGAAGCCTACAGTTCATCACCGACACCATTCCCTGCGGGTTTATGATCGGCACCAGGTTCCGGCCTGGATGAACTTGGCAGCCGGCTGCTTGTAGACCGTGCTGAGCCTGTTGCATTCTGTAAGAGCGCCTACTTTGGAGGGCTTCATCCTGTTTCCTAAGCCCTAGTGATGGCGCCCCACAGCCCTTCGCAGTCTTAATCCCAAACCCTAGAAGGATAACCCCAAACCCTACAGCCCTACATAACCCTACATAACCCTGCAGAACCCTAAACCGTAAACCCTAACTGGTCATGTGGAACCCCTGAGCATTTCTTGGGGATCCGGGCGAGTTGAACTCGTCGAATACCCGATCCCGCAGGTCGACGTCCATCTGATCAGAGCGCCGGAGATACATCCGAGACCTACTGCTAAGATCGCTGTCGCTACTATAGCTAGGATTATCTTTAATACTATCATTCCGACTATTCGCTTGGCTTCTGTGTCGTAGTAGCCAGTAGTCGTAGTAGTCGTCGTCGCCGTCGTCGTCATCCTCGTGTGCGGTCGTGGTTCTGACCGTGGCCGTCGTTGTAGTCGTTTTAGTCGTCTGTCGTCGTAGTCGTCTTAGTCGTCCTGGTCGTCGTCGTCGACGTAGCAGTAGTAGCCGTAGTAGCAGTAGCAGCAGCAGCAGCAGCAGCTGCAGCAGCACTCGCATCATCTGCTGAAGTCGGTGATGCTTCAAATGACTTCTTCATTCGTATGACCACGAAGAGAAAGTGCAATTACCGAAACGCAACTGTAACAGCAGCAGCAGCAACAGCAACGGCAACGACAATCAAAACTACAACCAAGCAACGACAAGCAAACTGCAGACAAAACAACATCAACCCCAGCAGCTCCGCAAGTCATGCTCAACCCTCATTGCCTTAATAAACCACACACACACACACACCCATGCTCAGCCCTAAAGCCCAAAATAAAGACCCAAAGTCATGCTCAACCCTAGGACCCGTAGAGCCTTCGAACTCCAAACGCCCCAACACCGACCGCGACCGGGCCCGGACTTTAGGGTTGGTTTAAGATTTAGGGTTTAAGGTTTAGGATTTAGGGCTTAAGATTCAGGGTTCAGGGTTTAATGTTTAGGGGTTAGGGTCTAGGGCCTGTAGGGCTTAGGACCTTTAGCACCTTTGAGACCTTTGGGACCTTTGGGACCCTTGGCGCCTCCTCCTGGAACTCCTCCACCACCTCCTTGGGCGCGCAGATCACGCGCCGGGCCTCTTCGGGAGAGACCTGGAGCAGCCTGGCCGGGAGGAGGAGGAGAACATCCATACATTGAGAGAGAGAGAGAGAGAGAAGGAGGGAGGGAGGGAGGGAGGTAGATATCTCGAGATATAGATATATATGTATATATATATATATATATATATATACATACATATATATATATACATATACATATATACATATACACATATATACATATATACAAATAAAAATATATACATATCTATACAAATAAGTACATAAGAAGTTGCATACATATGTATATATATATATATATATATATATATATATATACATATATATATATATATATATGTATGGATATATGTGCATAGGCGGAGCTCAAAAGCCGTGGCTCTCTTAGGGGTCATTGCGAGCTTGGAGTCTCGATTTTGGTGATAACTCCGGAGCGGTTTCAGAGTTTTAGACTTTCGTAGGGCGACTGCCGGTTTGGACAGTTTGAAGTTTGTTGCGAAGGTTGCTTTCGGTGGCGGCTGGCTTCAATAAAGTTTCCAAAGAGTCGGATTGAAGGTGCACTGTTACCGAATTGTGAAACAGAGCTTCGGCTGCACTGGCCTGTAGTACAACAGAGCTCTATCTCGAACATCCGGATGCGTGCATTCCTGGATCGCCTGGCGAGGCAGGGGGTGGAAAAAGCACAAGCAGATATGCTTTGAGGTTAGAATTTTCTGGCTGCAAATTTCTGAGTCTTCAGCGCGCCTTCTGCATTAAGCAACCCAGCATCCTCTGCACTTCCGGTGGACGGCAGAAGAACAACTTCACCTAGCAACACAAGCAAGTCAAGACATTCCAGCGCAGCAGCTGCGAGTACGTTGTTGCAGTGATTTCATGGCTTCTCGGAACATGTCAGCATGGTTCCACTCACCAGAAGCTCAACGCGTTCCGTACCCTCAGATCATGACGGCTGCGGTCAGCATCTCCAGCTGAACGGCACCAGACTCCTAATGTCATCCAGAAAGCCGGAACGAAGACATGCTGCCGGCTGTTACAACTTCCCTGCATCGATTGCACTGCTCTCCTCCATGAAGCTGTCGATCATGGGCTCTAGCAGGTACGGCGCATCCTCAAGACGATGTTTCAGGCAGGAGGACCGAGACTTCTTAGCATAAGTGTGCATGTACATATATATATATATATGTATATATACATATACATATATACATATATACATATATATATATATATATACATATATACATATATATATATATATATATATATATATGTGTGTGTGTGTGTGTGTTCGTGCGTAAACAAATTCTTCAGTACAGCGTCAAAACCTTAGAGGTACACATACATTTGCATGTTGTGTATGTGTATGTATGTATATGTATAGATATGAAAAAATATGTGTATGCATGAGCACTGACATGTTAGCATTTGTATGTCATGTGTGTGTGCGCGCGCACTCATGACTCTATGCAGTATATTATTCCTTCAAATCTGGGTGCAAGTGTACCCTTGTCAACACGCCCTAAACCCTGGACCCTAAACCCTCTAATCCGGCTGGTGTCAACATGTACACCCACACTCCTCTTCGCCCGTTCAAGCAAGAAAATGTCCTCGATGAGCAGGCCATACTCGCCCAGGATCCAAAGCAAGGCCTCAATGTATGTACGGGTAGCCTACAGACAGATGTACACACAGATAAATAGATCTGTCAGATGGGTATATCATGGAAGGAGTCAGAGAGAGGAGAGACAAAGAGAGAGAGCGAGACAAAGAGTCAGACAGAACGGACAGACAGACAGAAAGAACGTAGAGCACTGGTACTACATTGTTGGCATAAGAGACAGAGACTGGAAGACCACAAAGAGAACTCCAAGCCCTCGAAGCCCTGCCGCTGTTGCAACGTGCAGCCGGCCGCATGCGAGCGCGAAAAACTCTGCAGCCAACAGGCACAAAGCCAACGAAAGCTCCCAAAGGCGCTCTGCACGGGTAGCGGTGCGGAACCCTTACAAGACTGCATCGAGATTTCTACCGCACATGCACGAGATGCCCGCCGCGTGGAAACGTTAAGTCGGGAGTGCAACATGAAAAGCTGAGACGTTTGAAAGTGTGCCGTATGCCTGCTCCCCAGCTCAAGCTGAGCTGAAGACACTCTTGCCGTCCGGCTCCGTGACTATTCTCAGGCACTTCCTCAGGATCCAGCGAGCAAACTCTGTGGGCCTCGCTAGGGTCGTGGGCTTGCTCACAAAACTCTTTCCGGAGAGTCCATAACGGAAGGATGGGAGAGTGTCTTGTGTGTGCGTTCACGTATGTATGTATATATAAATGTGTGTACCTATAAAAAATGAATGCGGAGGGTTGAATGGTCACACATGATTTTTCCAAAACAGCTGCATCATGAACCTTGATATGTGTGTTTACATGCGTACGTACATGTTTGTGTGCGTACATATATATATATATATAGATATATAGATATATAGTTCGGAAGTTTGTGTGATTCTGCGAGTGAATACGACAACAAAGTTCAAGAAAATCTGTCTCTCGATAGAAAGAAACCTACACTTGATCGAGGTATCTTAATGTTGACACTTTCAGTTTCAAATAAACAGACATGAGACAGCAAGGTCCGGAGTGGTGTAACAATGACATACTTTCCTTCCATCATCCAGTGATTTCATGGAAGCCTGCGGCATTACACCGCGTCCGCTCACTTGGGCCCGAACTGCACAGCACCAGAGGCTTGTTGGAATTGCTCAGGATACCTCCCGCAACGTCTTATATAAGCGGGAAGACAGAAGTTGCTGCCTGTAGCTTCAGCTCAACTCGACACGGGGATGGTATGCAAACTGCACTGGAGAAGCGCACTTCCTGACCAGATCCTTCATGACCACTGCTGCTTCAGTGCAGACCTCTGGCATCAAACATGGGGTCAAACAGGCATCAAACACGGGATCAAACACTGCTCCCAGTCTGTACACATGTGCAACACGAAGAGGGTTAGGTCACCGGACATAGTCAATGTCCAACTCTAAAAGGCTCGTCAAAGAAGTGACGATCATCTCAGAAGTTGAAGGAACGTGCACCTGCAGTCACACAAGAACCCTGGGGATATGATGTGGGAGCTAATGTACTGCGGCCTAAACTTGAAGCAAAATCTCTGAGGCCCGGCACCGCGATTTTGCCTATTGCCTGAATCGCTCTGCGCGCAATCTCTGCATCCACGTCTGTGACATACCTGAGTTAGCAAGGGTGACAGGTCTCTCCTAAAGGTTCTGTAGAACTCATCTCTACACTTGTACTTGGCATGGCACTCGCTGAGCTCGGTCACAACATGCTCCGCACCTTCAGCCGCGAGTGTCTGGCATTGAGCAGCTCGGGAGCAAAGGCTGGGACTGCGATGTTGGTTCAGTTCCCAGGACCGTTAGGTCCCACGCTGTTGAAGTCTGCAAGCATGGTGAGGATGTCGATCTTCACCTGCTTGATGTACCTGGACTGACTCAGTCAGTGCAACCTCTTCCGGTTCGACCAAAGCTGCAACAGCAGGCTCCTACTACTTGTATCACCGATATTGCCACAGGCAGATTCATGGATTGATACAGATTAAATCCATCTTTCTGAGTTTGGCTGCCCGCTATGTTGGACAACTTGCACATTCCCCATTCTGCTGTGGTTTTGCCATTCATCAGCCCACACAAAGCCGCGCACGACGGCTCGTTATATCGGCAGAAGAACTGCTTGAAGTCTCCCGCGAAAACCTTCACGGCATGACTGCTGCGATCCTCTTGGCACTCGTAGGAACCATCATGGCACAAAACTCGCATTACATGAAGCAGGACTCACCTGCCCATGAGCCTCTGCCCTCATGCGCGCTCTCGTTGCTCTCGTTTCTGGCCCCCAGGCACCAGGCACTTCATTCAAACAGTTGGGAACCGACGAGCTCTTCACAAGGCTCATCTAAAGGCAAAATGATCGTCAGTGCGCATGTGGCACTAGATCGGGCTGCACACTGCTCTTGCCACCGCTTCTCAGACTTGCGGTGCATAGGCTAATCCAGCCCCCCGACCTGGAGCGGGATAGGGCAGCCAGGGTAGGCACAGGCACTCGAAGATCTCCCTTGAACTTGACCAAGGCCAGGGCTACCACCCCCCAAGGCCAACAAGGCTGGGAAGAGCTTGGCGAGTGGGACTCAAAACCGTCCTGAGTCATCAGCATCTAAGACCGATCAGACCGCAAAGCCATCGCAAGGGTTTTGCAAAAGCTTCAGTGGCTTCGAGAAACAATCGCGACTCCAAAGCAGAAAAAGAGAGCTTGCAATCCAAATACCGTACGCCTCAGCAGTATCCTTTCGCATCCAAGGAGTGACCCTGCAAAGGCATCGACAAGTCTCTACAGCCGAGCGGTCTTCGGGTACGCCTGCCATGGTTGCAGCTCGTCGGATTGATGGAAGACGACACCATGTTGTGAATGCGAGATCATGCAGCTGCTACTTGGATGGCTATGGCACCACACGATGCTCTTCGATGCAGAGCCCTGAATATGTAGCACCGCAAGCGGAATGCCACCAACACCCAAAGACATTGCACTTGGGCATTTGCCAGAAATTTGCTCTATATCTATATATATCTATATATATATATAGATATAGATATAGATATAGATATATATATATGTATATATATATGTATATATATATTCGTTAGACGGCACAGAGGCCTTGATGGCAGTCCGAACCGCCAGGTCAGCCATGATCTCCTCGCTGCCGCCGTAGACCTTATGGTACTTGGAGGATCATGGGACTTAGTAAGGGTTCTTAAAAGGGATCTGTAGGGTTCCTTAAAGGATCTAGAGGGTTCAGGGTTTAGGGTACTACTTGGGGGATCATGGGACTTGGTAAGTAAGGTTATAAGTACCCTAATTGGGGTTGTAAGTATGGTTACCCTAACAATAATCCTAGTTACTAAGTCCCATGATCCTTTAAGTAGGGGACTCGGGGTTTTGACATTCTGTGTGGGGTGTTCGGTTTCACTGCGAGGGTAGCAAGTGGCGCAAGAGCAGATGCTGGATCTGCGAAGTGCCTTTACTTCCAGCCGAGCCGCGGCAGGGATTTTGTACATCCTCCCAAGTGAACAGAACTCAAGAACAGTATGAGGCTTCTTACCTCGATCTTCCGTGTGCTAAGCTTCGAGTGCAGCCTCCCGCTGCAAAGCAGCACCTAGCGATGAATCCGGATGCCCGGGCCCCACAGCAAAATCTGCTCTGAGTCAGTAAACGCGGTCTCAGAACTGAGGAATGGGTTCGAGCGAACTGCCATCCTCGCCAACCTAATACTACTGTCTGACGCTGTGGTACTGACGGAAGGTCGACTAATCTAAACGAGTTTCGGAGAACTTTCTCGTAGCAGCTGCGGTTTCAGCAATCCACGAAGCTTCTATGGCATGTGTCCTCGAGAAGATCTCCACAGCACGGCCCATGGCACCTTGTGTCACGCCACGTCCTCCGAAGACCTCCCAGGAAAGGCGAGGGCCAAGGCGAAACAGCTTGAAGCAAAGATGACAGCATCGAAGACGCTGTCCGACTGTTGCAACTCGGCCTGCACTGCATTGTCGCAGACCAGATGGTTCATTCGAGTCGTCTGATACCTCGAGGGCACGGAAGCAACTCGCATGGACACTTTCTGAAAGTCTCAATGTAGAGAACCTTAGAGGCAGCTTAAACTCGAGCTCTGCTTGCGCCAAGGCTGCTTGCAGAGGGCGATGCGCGCTCCAATCTCAGGACCCTGGGTCCCCACGTGGGTCATGTTGTAGGTGATATCCCACCTAAAACAGAGCTGCAGTCCCTTTGTTGCCGTTGCACCCAGGAGATCTTGGAAAGGCGACTGCAGACGGGATACAGCATCTGTGTGCAGGTCTCGATGCCTGCAAACATCTGCGCCAATTTCCTTGCAGAGCCCGTTCCCAGTGCCATGAAAAGCGATGCAACATGGACCTAGAACTCAGCCTCTATAAGAGCTACCCGCACACTACTACCATGCCACTGAAACCCTGTCTCAGCATCGCAGAGCGGTATCTGTAGTTGCCATGATTCTCACGGATCACTGCCTGTTCGATGAGGGGCTTTCCAAAGACCTGCATTGCATGGGACATCGGAGGGGTTCGACAGCAGCCGACAGGAGCAAGTACTGCAGGCCTTTCGCTGCATCGACCACTTGAAGGTCTCCTCTGTGGCAAAACGTGCCCGGGCGATGCTCACGGCCGTAATCATCCATCCTGGGTCACAGGCAGCATGTTGGCCTGCAATCCCGGAAAGCCAGCTGTGAAAACCTAAGCCTGAGAGCTCCTCCACCGGAAAGAGCGATGCTACTCTGAGCCTCACAGTGCTCTGAAGAAACGAAGAAAAAATGGGGGGGACAAGGGGCGCCTTTGCGAGGCGACGAAAAAAAGGCCGCCAAGCTTCGCTCATGGTTGAAGTTGGACATGATAATCTGGAAGCCCTGAAAGGGCTTCAATGGGGATATGCTTGAGGCTTAAACTCGGGGATGTCGAGAAAAAAACCCTATTACGCGGCTCCATGCACGGTGTTCTTGACCCATGGCCCAATGGCGCCTTGTCGACCCCCTTAATGATGTTCCTCTTGGGAACGATGCAGTTTTCGTAGGTCACGTAGGCGGTGCCAGCGGAGCTGGAGTACTTGGTCTTCATAACCCTGAGCCAGAGTCGCGCACCACCCCCAGACTCTACAGAGGTCCTGAGGCCCGCTATCAATAACATCATTTTCCCATTACTAATGGTACACTGCTACGAGTACCTATTGCCTGTTGCCATTAACGATAGTCTGTTATTATGTAACATATTGGGGAACGAATATTGTGTCCCCAATATATGTTTAGTGAACCCCTACTCTGGCAGTCAAAGTGTGGCGAGCGGCGTAGTCTGCACGGCGTCGGAGCGCGGGATCAGCATCATGGAGATGCCTCCGGCGCCGGCCTTGCCTGTGCGCACCGCCGTGACGAACCAGTCCGCATACATCCCGCCTGCACAAAGTTGCATGGCACACACATAACATGCGAACACGTCCCCGGAGGTGCAGAGGCACATGAGGCAGGAGTGTTCGGGCTCATGTTTCGACGACTGCGAGACTTTCGGAACACGCCGCGTGCCTGTGATCCACTTCTTGGTGCCGTTGACAATATAGTTCTCACCGGATTCATCAAGCACGGCGGTGGTGCGGAGTCCGGCCACGTCGGAGCCAGCAAAGGCCTGGATGCGAACGGAAGGACCCAAACATTGACTACAACAGCTACACCCTTGAGGGAACTGCAATGCAAAGGCCTGAGGAGCCATTAACAGAATATTGAGCCTGAGTTGTCGCAGCTTCACCACGAGACCCGCCTCAGTGATAGACAAGACGACCGTCTGTTCTCCCTTGACGATGGGGGGCACCACCTGCGAAATGGGGTGTGCCGGAGTGGCCCGAGTGGCCGGAGCACAAAAAACATCGAAACAAGACCCGAAACAGCCAACAAGTAACGGCGCTGATACGTTGAAGCCTCACCTCGACCTGGCACTTCCCACGTCGGTCTTGCCTCCTGCTTCATCCAGTCGGAGCCATACTTGAGCAGCACCTGGCTACCACGGCTACCGATACCGATCCCGTTTCACTGTGCGACAAAACTGCTACGGTATAGCTTCTGCTGCCTTCGCTGCTGTACCTCTACCTCCTAACGCCTCTGCGGATACTACCACTGCTACTACCGTCGCTGCTGGGACGAGTGATGTTTCTACGCAGCAAAGCCCCGCACGAGGTTCCACGCTGGAACGCCCCGCCCTGACACCACGAACTCCTTCAGTGTTTCTCACGCCGGGGGCGCAGGCAGCCCAATGGAAACCGCGCCATCCAGGCCATCCTGAACCGTTTCCCGTGCTGGAGGCACTGCATCCGTCAGCGCGATTTGAAAAAGGGTCCTCGTAGCCGGGGCACATGGCACGGCATCGCTCCTCTTGAACCACCTGAACGCAGGTGCAAATGCTGGTGCTGGTTATGCAGCACGGTGTGGAACGGAACCTAGCTGACATCAACTCCGGTTGTGACCAATCTCTTGTAGTCCCCTCGTCTGGTCGGACGAAGCAGACGGTCCACCGCACCCCTTTCCCCTCCAGCTGCTTTTGGCCCAACTCTCTAGCCGCTTAAGAGCATACAGCTCAACCAAGACTGCAACAAGCCCGCAAGTTCCTTAACCAAAACCTGCAGCCGGTACAGCGCCATGACGTTCCAGAACAAACTTCGCTTAAACTAACATGCAAACACGACTGTTCTTTCCGTCAGCATGTTGTGTGATCTCCAACTCCTTTTGGAACTTGAGCAGTGTCTCGTAAAGCAACATCGAGCAACTAACAAACTCATCAGACTGACAATCTCCTGCTGGCTTTCATGTTGCTGTTGTCTTGCCTTGTTCATCATCTCCTTCAACATCTATTGTAACTTCTTCGGTTGCGAGATACCAGTAGTCATGCAAGTTCGTCGATGAAGCCGATACAAAAGGTTTGAGCAGAAACGTCTTCTGGGAGAGGGAGTTCAAGGATATTGACTGTGTGTACGGTGTTGGGAGGAGGTCACTCCAAGGTCTTTGGCGGATCTAGCAGGTCTTTGGGCTTTTATTGGGAGTTGCAGTTTCGAGTTATTTGCTTGGCCTGTCTGTTGGGAAGAGCTGGGACATGACCCCCAAGGCCCAAACTCCCCAAAGTCACACTAAAGACCCCAAGAAGTCGAGGTCTTGAACAGTGCATCCCAGACGCCAGCTCGTGGAAGTAGGTGAACTCTTCCGGCTTCACGACGCCGCCGCAGAGGCTCGCGGGAATCTTCCTAGGCTCCCCCAGAAGGCTCTGGAGTCAGAGGTTCGGGGTTGGGGCTTCAAGGGGGAGCAGGGCTTCGGAGGGTTCAGGGCTTTACCCATTCCGGGTTTAGGGTGGCGGGGCTCAGGATTGGGGGTTTGAGCTGAAGCCTGCTGCTACGTTTGGTGAACCTCGGGTCAGGGACCTTGAAGCCTTCTAGTCTAAATGCAGGAGACCGGCATGGAAAACCTTGACGACAGAGATAAATGGAAGCCATGGGCTGAAAGCTCAGGTTTGCGAAAGCTAAGCTGTACCGGCCAGCAAGACCTGCGATGACCCGCAGAGCCCCGCTGGCCGAACGGTGATCCTGGCTTTTCTATGCCGGGCATCAAGTGTTCGCCGGGGCCCTGGACCATGGCAATGAGGCCCAGGTCGCCCATGCGCTTTCGCATCTCCTGCGGGCTCTAACTCTAGCGGCCATAGAAAATGGCGGCCTCTGTCTCTGAGACTGCGGAGGTCTCCCTCTCCTTGCTGGGTGGCGTCGACTTCACCTCGCACTCCAGAGCCTCCTCGCGGGCTTCGCCGCTGAAGAACTTGCGAGCTGCCAGACGCAGCTTCACGTGAGACCTGGGAAACAAAAGCCAGAAAGAACCGAAAACAGAGGTGCTCGCCAAGAGCCGCCAAGCGGCTCATCGAAGTAGGGAGACTTGAAGCCCTGCATGTAGCTGGGTTCTGCGAAGGGCACCTTGCCTCGGCTCCGAGCGAACCGTGCTGGGAATCCTTCGGGTCCAACGTGCATTGGGTCGCATGCCACTTCCCGCACGGCCCAACCCCTGGCCTCCCTCTCATGACATGCACCTCAGCTAGCATATGTACCGATTTATGACCGTCGCAGCTTTCAGTGCAATTGAAAAGACAGGAGCCGCCATGTTTTGGTTTCTTGTCCTCGTAATCCCTTACTCGGCAATGTTGCTGCTATAGAGATGATGCGCATCACCCCAGAAAAACGCCTGAGCATCTCAGGCCAGCGGCTGACTTCTGTGACGCGCTCCATCACCTGGGCATGACATTTGTCGCCCATCACGGAAAGCTCCATGCGCCCAAACGCTCGCTGTCATAGACCCCAGATCCACAAAAACTCGCTCTGACATGGCCTGCTTGGGAGGAGGGCCGGCATCCGTCAGGCGACCCTTCTTGAGGCGCGCGTACCTTGGCCCGACCGGCAATCCCCTTCAACAGCCTGTAAATATTTCCATTCAACATCCCCAACAGCGGAATGGTTGTCGTTGAAGGGCACCAGACCAGCTTGTCCATGCTCGGCCGAGCATTGAACAAAACATTTGCTGAAACTAGGGCCGAATGCGTTTAACAGGCCTCGGAAAATGCATCCGGATTTGCGAGAAGCTCCGAGAGCTCAATCAAAGCAGCGCATGGGTTGTCGCTGATGTCGCTGAATCGGGCAACTTAAAGCATGTTCGGGTGGGGATGGCATTGACCGGCAGTTTTGCTGAAAGTAGGGCCGAATGCGTTTAGCAGGCCTTGGAAAACCAATTTGGGCTTGGTCGGAGCGCCGGCAACTGATTCGAGCAGTTTCTGGGCGGCTGCATTATCGGCTGTAGGGATAGCATTGAGCTCCAGATTTGTTGAAACCAGGGCCAAATGGGCTTAGCAGGCCTTTCAAAATGCATTTGCATTGGGCTTGGTCGGTGGCTTCGAGAGCTCAACAGAAGCCTCCGGAGTGTGGAGCACTGGGAACCAAACTACAGCATTTTCGGAGCGATGTCGGCTGTAGGGATGGCATTGAGGTCCAGATTTGTTGAAACCAGAGCCACAGGCGTTGAGCAGGCCTTGGAAAATTCAATTGGGCTTGGTCGAAGGCTTCGGGAGCTCGATTTGGGTTCGGAGATTGGGGCCAGGGGCGCCAGCAAAGCTGAAACCGACCTAAATGTGTTTCCAAGCCTTGAACAATGCATTGCGGAGCCCTGGAAACTGAATCAAAGTATTTGCAGTCCGATTTTCGGGTTTGGATAACGGCATTCAGCTCCAGATTTGTTGGAACAAAACCACATGCGTTTAGCGGGTCTTGGAAATTGCATCTGGGCTTGGTCGGTGGCTTCGGAGGCTTAATTAAAGCCTCGGGAGTGTGGCCAAGGTCATCAGCCACTTAATGAGTTTGCATGTTCTAAGCCTTGAAAACGTATTTTGGAAAACCAAGCTACAGCATTTTCGAAGCGATTTTGGCTGTAGGGACAGCATTGAGTTCCAGATTTGTTGAAACCAGGGCCAAATGCGTTTGGCAGGCCTTGGAAAAGGCATTTAGTGCGTTCTGCAAGCCTTGAAAGATGTGTTGCGCAGGAGTTTAGGGCTTTGCAGCTCAGGGCTTAGGATAGCCTAGGCTAGCTTGAAATCTTGACAGCACGTGAAACCAAAGTCCCCGAGCCAGGGGACTTGTCCAAAACCTCAACGCGATGAAGTCCAAAGAAGTCCTCCGTCGCATCCTTCACACAGAACACAGTCTCCTACGAGTAACCAGGTCCGAATGGTCCAGGAAGCCTGAAGAACCTTCATCCCAGAGCTTCGACACCCAGGATCGACAAAAACCCGGGACCGAATCTTCTACTGCAAGCACACATGCATTAGCCATACATGCTGATGTTGGCTTACCTTTGTGAAAGCCGGTGCCTTGCCGGCATATTCCAAAAGGATATTGGTGCCACCGGGATGAACTCCAGCGAACTTGGTAACATCGTACCTTGCGTAATCAGTTTTGAAATGAACGAATCAACCTATGTTAGCTTTGGCATGAAATCGGGGTACCTGCTGTTGTTCTACAAGGATAAGGCCGGCAACAGCATATCTTGTCCACCAGAACTTCAAGAGGCGAGGAACACGTCGCCGTCCACAATGATCCAAGCATCATCAGCCTTGTTATGCTTCGCCACTTCCTCGCGTGTGATGCTGCCGGCCATACTGAGAACACAGTGAGACAGGCGGGCTGGGGCGTGTAATCGCTTGAGCAGAATTGCCAACAGAGATGAAATGCATCAAAGGGCATACCTGCTTAGTGGTTTCTACTGTAAGGCGTTATGGAGTCGCGTAGCAGAGAAAATACATGTCCGAACCGCTGTCAACCTGCCCAAAGCTCATCCTGACAGTAGCCAAGATTCTGCTAGTGAAAGTTTTCCCAAGGCTCAAGAATCAAAAACCACTCCACAATTCGCTAGATGTGGCCAGCGGCTAGAGCTCGAAAGAGCATGCTGTGAGTGTCCATATGACAGCTCCGAGCCCTTACCCAACTGTATGGAAGAACAAACTCAGCATCTGCTTGCGGCTGTCTGCAGGTGTCTTGTCGCGAAGCCTCGATCTGACGATGGCCGCGGGTTAGAAGCGCATGGATGTGCACGAGGACCTTGAAACAAATAGCCGGACACCAGGGGTGTGATGGAAGTTTCGCAGCCATGCACAGCTCCAGTCTACCTAAGACCGATTACAAAGGCCACGGTACACTGCTGGATGGGAGAGCAGTGTAACTTGTAACTTTATTGCGTGTCGCAGACAGAAACGAAGATGCGCATCTCGGCATAATCTAGTTAGCATAGGGCTTGCCCTCTGGTAATATGGTCTTCAGACCCATACCCCCCCTACACTTTTACACCCCTGCAGAGACAAGGTACGATGATGCTAGGTCGTAGGTAGACCAGGTAGACGCTGTCCAATGTGTACTCGTTCACACATATGTCTGCTGTGCACATGGGTCTCTCTGTATCACGTAAGGACGACACATCTCTGCATATGTGCGTGTATGCATGTTTGTTCGTATGTAGGCACATGAGCATGGGCTTGCACATTGGCGGATCTTCTTTTTCGCATGTGGAATACTATACTTCCTCGTGCAGAAACCGAGAGCATGCGCACTTAAACATGGCATCGTAATGAACAATCTCGTGCTCCAAGGCCCTCACCGTGTAAGACAGCTCAGTGCTGGCCGCAGCCATGAGTGTCAGAAGCGGGCCCTGTGCAAGAACTCTGGTAATTGACATAGGCTCGTCACTTGGACTTCGGTTTCTCATACTACTACTACTGCCACCACCACTGCCACCCACCGCTACCACCACTACTACTACTACTACTACTACTACAACTACTACTACTACTACTACTACTACTACTACTACTACTACGACTACTACTACTACTACTCCTACTACTACTACTACCACTACCACTACCACTACCACTACCACTACCACTACCACTACCACTACCACTACCACTACCACTACCACTACCACTACTACTACTACTACTACTGCTGCTGCTACTCTACTCTATTCTAATAATAGTAGAAATACTAATACTGATACAAATTACTCATACTCATACTAATACTCATACTATTACTAGCACTAATACTGGTACTAGTACTAATAGTACCAGTACTAGTACTCATACTCATACTAATACTTCCTCTTCTTCCGTATCTCCTTAGGATCTGAGGGGCAGAGTTGGCACGAGGGGCTTGAAGCCTTGCACTGCCACGACACCAAGAGGGGCTCAGTGATCTCTTGTGCTTAGGACATAACATGCGGGGTCCCCCCAAGCCGACGCGGCCTTCAGTCTCTGTAGCACATCCTGCTGGAGGTCCGGGCGATTGCTAGTGAGGTCGACGAAGATCTGCAGAGGTAGCAAGAGTGTTTGTTGGATGGCATCGCTGGTGGGAAGGAGCTCGCCACAGCAACGGAAAAGGCACTCCATCGAGAATCCACACATTTAGTGGGTCTCCAAAGCAATCCCAAGTATCCCGCTGCCGAGCCTTCGTCACGGACAAGACTACAGCGCTGCTGGACTGCTTCAACAAGCCTGGTGATTCACCACGCATCTCTTGGCATGTGCATCGTGCGGGCTGGTGTGTACACCGTGCATCCAACTGCTTGTTGGTCACCAGTGCATACTCAGTATCGAGCCATCGAGGATATTCATAATGTCGAACATCTCTGCCTCGCCAGCCACACAGTACCTCCGCCAGTGGGACCACATGCAGCACAAGTCTGGTCACCGGCCTCAAACACGGGCCTCTATAAGGTCCCAAGTCTCACTAAGGACGAAGTGACAAGGGGCACTTTGTCAGCAGCCTCAGAATGGCACATTGGCCCCACTCAGAGAAGTGCATGATGCGGTTCAGCAGGGCCGTGATCTCGGATCCAGAAAGCTAGGGGCCGTTTGACCCAGGCAAAGGAGCACGTCGAGTTCATGCCAAAGCGGGATCGACAAACTGCATCTCCAAGTTACCGGCTATTTCCTCAGTGGGGTGATAGCCGCCCTCGCTGGCTAAGACCTGCGTGAGACTTGGGTGGGCTGGTGCCTCCGCAACCATTTAATCATCCAGCCATTCCAAGAGATGGTGGCGATTCGCTTCTGTGACCAAGTCGGTTCAGGCCTCCTCCAAGGCACTGATCGTGTTGGAGACCACGTGCGCATCGCTATCACTCACAAGCCTTCGCGAAGCGTACATGCTGCTAGTCGGCAGAATGTTACTCACTCTTGTCTCGGCAGTCCGAGGCATGTGCCGCTTCAGCATGGGCAGCAGGTCAGTTTCCATGACCTTAAAAAACATCATTGTCCAAGGTCGGCCCAGCAATCGCAAATGTTCCTGCAACTGAAGGCCTGCAGTCGTCTGAAAAAATACTAGGTGAGCTCAGGCGATGAACAGAAGCATGTTTGCCGAGTGGCTACAGACGGGGAGATGTAAAAGAGCTTCACAACCTGGCAACGCAAGACCACAAAGCCTTAAGTCCTAAGGCTTCATGCGAGAGTCCCAAATCTGCAAGACAGGACAAGATATCTTCCAACTCGACGTCAGGCGCACTCCGATAACTGCCGTCTTTCGGACGTAGCCATTGACATCCTGTGTGCAGTGCGATGTCGACAGTGACAGGCAGTCACAAGCTGGGAATGCCTTCCTTTTCCAAGCTCGAGAAGCTCACACGGCGTGTGTGATCAGTTGACTTTCCCTGACCCGGTTACACGAAGACTGATCCTTTTCTTCTGCGGCTAGTTGGTATGCTCCCACAGCCACAGGACCCCCATCATGACGTCTTCAAGCTTCCGAGACTGGGAATGGTTGGAGTTCGAGTGCGTGTTGAAGAGCCGCTATCCAGAACTCGATTTGAAACCTGCTCGGTCGGACACGATGGCGTTACATGCTGCGATCATTCCCAGGAAGTGCAGCCGTAATGTACAGCCTCTTGGACGTCCGAAGATCTGGTCCTGTACCCCGATCCGATCTCAGTCTTTCGCACCTGTCTTAGTGCCGCTGGACGCCGTATCGGGCAAACAAGCCTAGCTGAAAGGTTGCCAGCAGAATTCCCAAGCCGTCCTGCAGGTAGATGTACGGGTCATTCAGCATGAAGTATGCATAGAAAAACCAAAGGACGCAGTTCAGATTCACTATGCATGTGAATCCCAGATTGAGGGCTCCAGTGTTTCGCTCTCGCACAACCGTGCGGATGGCGGCCAGCGGACCCCCGAACATGAAGAGGGTCATCATGTTCCCGGTAATGCCGAGAAGATTCATCGCCCAATCGTGTGGGAGGCCGCATGCCAAAGCCGAAAATGCCATTGTCGATGCCACCTTGACGACATGACTTACTAAAAGGTGCCCAGGATTTTGCCAGTACTTGCTATACACGTACATGTAGTACACGCCAAGGCCAGCAGCACAGAGGTTTGGTGTCCAGACCGCCGGATTCCCTAAGAGAAAGCCATAGGCCGTCCACACAACACCTTGCGAGGCCATCGCGGAGTATGGCAGCATCGGCATCTGCCGGACATCTCCGGCCTGTCTGATACGCACCATGGCCTCAAACATGGGATTCAAGAAGATCCCTAGCGATACGAGGCCAGGAAGGCCCATGCTGACGCTGCCAACGTGCACGAAGTCCTCGAAGATCCACCGGTAGGGACTCTCAGCCAGCGAACCAGCAGGCAGCAACGGTGCCAACGAGGCAGGCAGCAGAAGCCCGAACCAAGTGGAGCTTGCCGCGCACGGAGAATCAACAAGGTGCTTAGGAAACTCGGCCCTGCCACGGCCACGGCCAATTCGGTAAGGGCTGTGTGGGGTGACCCCGCAGCCGGTGCCCCAGCCAGAGCAAGGGCCTCGAGGGCTCTTCAAGCGGAGCCGCCTCAAAGGGACGGCACGCGCTCTGGCCGCGGCCATCATGGCCACAGATCGCGAGCGAAGTCACGCTCTGAAGTGAAGATCTTGTCTACCGATGGCTCGAGCTTTCTCGGCTGCAGCCGTGCTGCGCTGGGTGGCTTTGGACAAGTCTTCCGACGCTGCGAAGCTCGACAAGCCTCCAGAGCTCTCTGCACAGCAGGCTGCAGGTACCTGAAAAGTCAGACGGAATCGGGCTCGCCTGCCTTGATCTGCTGTGGAGTCTCCCCTGGACAGGGCCCATTGACAGAGGCTTTTTGGCGGGGCACTCAATCACGTTGACTAAGCTCAGGGAGCCTTCCAGAACACGTCAGCAGATCTCACTGCACATCCGACCACTTCAGATGACACGTGAAGTAGACTGGGCTCAAGACACAGTGATCGCAGGGCCAGGCCCCGGATCATGGGATCGTCATCCCGGCAGTCCTCATCCAAATCTCTTGCAAAAACTCCGGAGCTCGGCGGATCGCGGGCTTTTGAGCCGCTGGGCCTGAGCCTTGACATACGCCTTTCGTCTCAACTTCACTTCATCGGCTCCTTCTGAAGGGTGTTGATGGCCAGGATGGCCAAGTCCGAGTTGCTCTCCGCATAATTCACCAGATAAAGATACACCTCGCGAGGAAGTTACAGCTGGCTTTGAAAAACAGCATTGGCTGAAGGGGCCAAAAAATCTAGCAATGCTCAATTGATGCTTTGCCCTGCGCCTTGGAATGAAAACACGGATGGGCAGCTGTACTCAAAGGAAAGCAGGTGCACACCCTGCGCTTTCGCACTACTTTGAGTTCAACACCATCTTCTTCTGCACGAGATCCGTGGTGGCACTCGCCTCAACTTCTTGAGAGACTGGTAATGGGTATGCCCCTCGATGGAGCCCGATCGAAACTCAAAGCTTTTGCATCGCCATCTAGAATCTAGACCTCAGCATTAACTCACCTATCCAAGCTGCCAACATCAAATGTCAAATACTCTTTTACACGGGCGCAAACTTCAGAAACCCTGAGCCGCAGGTCGAGAAACACGACTCAGCAATGTAGAGAAGCTTAAACCATTCTGAGGCACTTGGCCCAAACCCAAGCCAACATCTAAGAAAAACCTCATGAGCTTTGGGAGGCCCATTGTCAAGTCGTAGCCTCGTCCCAAAAGCCTGGGACCCCCTGCCATGACCATCTCGCTGAAGAGAGGGGAGACATCGATTCCAAGGGTCATGTACGCGATGACCTGAGCTCCGACTAGTCCCTGGTTTGCCGGCTCTGCCGGTTGTTCTGGTTGAAGGCTTCATATACAACGAATCTACCCGAATGCAGGACGATGACCACAACGACTCTTCCACTTCTGCTGCTTCTCCCATGGAAGCGCATAACACTCCTAGCTGGTATTAGTTGCCAATAATCACGCCCAGGATGATGGCTTCGGTGACTACAGATCATCATGCCATTACCATTGCGCTACGTGTATTGCTAGCACTGTCTTTCTAATGTTGTGGTTCGTGCAACTACTGCCCATATTGCATGCTTTCCTCACATGATCACTAGAAACAGTATGATCACTACTGGCGGTAGTACAGCAGTCCGAAGCCTACATCAGTACTCGCTCTTGCTTGCTGCCCCTTCTGCTGTTGGCACTGTGCTGCCCAAGGCGGTTCGGGCTTCGGGCTAAGACAAAGCTCCTGAGGAACAGCGACTGGGGCAAGACATGCCGAATGAGGGATGCTGATTTCCATGTCACCGACAGTACAGATACGGTGGCTACGCAGTGAGCCTTGATGCTCGACTCTTCCAATTAGTTCCATAACAAAACCCTTCGCATTCAGATTCGCTGCTTATCTTCTTACCTCTTTCAGACTCAAAACACCCATCGTTCTTCTTATGACGGTGGCTGAATAACCGGGCTACTACCTTCAGAAGTCTTCTTCATCCCTTACACCCCTTCAAATCAACAGCAAACACCCCGACCCTGTCCAAGCCTTTTTGATGGCATCCCGCTTCTTCTGCTGGTCACGGTCCGCCGATGCGCCTGCTCGGGAAGCACAGCACAACAACGATGATCCGGCTTCATATTGCTCCATGCTGCTCGAACATGCCGCCGTCTGTGCATCTGTTGCATCTCGCAGCAATGATAGATTGCGAAACCTATCTATCTCATCGCCGTTGCGAGACTTCAGGTGCCTGAAAACACTGTCCTCTCTCTCGCTCTCTCTGCAAAGCTGAACTCGGAGTTTGCGGATGCCGTACACTCCGGACAAAGCCCCGTGAAGCGAGCTGTCACAGTTCGCTTGGCTTGGCCTTGTCCCAGCAATGCTCTTGCAGAAGCCACACTGTGCCGGCTTGCACTGTTCCGCAAACTGTGACATTCCTCCACCTTCATAGTCCCGAAATGCATTTTGACGACGAAGGTTGCGGACAAAGGGTGTTCCGCTGTCCGGTTCTTCGCACTGCGCATCACCGCTGCGCCAAGAATGCTTCAGAAAGTGACACATTCACTGCCTTAGGTTTCATCTATGCGGATGTGATGTGCAAGATGGTGCCATGCGGCGTTTCTCTGCTTTTGATTCTCACACAGTCTGTCCGGCTCAGAATCGAGAAAACGGCCCGCTGGGTCAGAGGCTTGGAACCTGCCTCGGAGCAACTGCCGTAGCTCATGAACTTCACCCTTCTTCTCGAAGTATCCTGCCGAGCGGGTTGGGAGCCCCGCCTTCTTCTTACGCAAAGCTGGTGAGGGCAGTAGTTACATACTCGGTATAACGAGAGTATCAGCAACACCCTTGTATATGAGCAATATGTACTTTAGACATGTCGATTCTTACATCATACGGGCACAGCTGCGAACATCTTTGAACCGCGGGGCTCGGGAAAAGGCCAAAGACTTCCGGACTGCTGCATCATGCCGCTGCTCCATTAACATGATCACACCACTCATCGAGTCTTCGAGTCTAACGTTCTACACGGCTCTACTACCCTAAACACTAAACCCTAAGCCCTCATTCCTATGCGATGCTGCCCCGTCTAGCCAAGGGCCAGTCCCGATGGTCTCGGAGGAGGCGGCTGCGCCATTCGCCCAGGAGTGGGGCCCTGCGTGGAGCGCCACTATACTAGTACACTAGCACTAGTAGTAGTCAACGGCGTCGACTGCTACTGCGGCTTCTGGTGGTAGAAGTAGTAACAGCAGTAGTAGTAGTGGTAGTAGTAGTAGTAGTAGTCGTCGTCGTCGTCGTCGTCGTCGTCGTAGCAATACTAGTAGTAGCAGCAGCAGCAGCAGCAGCAGTAGTAGTAGTAGTAGTAGTGGTAGCAGGAGTAGCAGTAGTAGCAGTAGCAGTAGCAGTAGCAGTAGCAGTAGCAGTAGCAGTAGTAGTAGTAGTAGTAGTCGTCGTGGTAGCAGGAGCGGTACTAGTAGCAGTGCTAGTACTAGTACTAGTACTAGTACTTGTACTAGTACTAGTACTAGACTCGTACTAGTACTAGTACTAGTACTAGTAGTAGTAGTAGTAGTAGCAGCAGTAGCAGTAGCAGTAGCAGTAGCAGTAGCAGTAGCAGTAGCAGTAGCAGTAGCAGTAGCAGTAGCAGTAGCAGGAGCAGTAGCAGGAGCAGCAGCAGCAGCAGTAGCAGTAGCAGTAGCAGTAGCAGTAGCAGTAGCAGTAGCAGTAGCAGTAGCCGTAGCAGTAGCAAACAGTAGCAGTAGTAGTAGTAGTAGTAGTAGTAGCAGCAGCAGTAGTAGTAGCAGCAGCAGTAGTAGTTCGAGGAGTAGAAGTAGGAGTGGTAGTAGTATCAGTCGTCGTAGTAGCAGTAGCCGCAGTAGTAGTCGTTGCCGTCGTCGTAGATGTAGTTGTTCTAGCTAGTACAGTCAGTGCTGGTAGGAGCGGTGGTGTTTGTGGTTGTAGTGGCGTCAGTGGCGGGAGTGGTGGCGGTAGTGACGCCAGTGGAGGTGGCCGTGATGGTGGCGATGGCGGCGGCTGCGGCGGGTGCTTACGGGCGCTGGCGGGCGCTGGCGGGCGCTGGCGGTGGCAGTCGGGCACTGGGGTGGCAGTAGTTGGAGAGATATATAGAAGTAGTTGTAGTGGCGGTGGTAGTAGGGGGGTATGGTTAGTGGGAGTGTGAGATGGGGTGGCTGTGGCAACGGCCGTGGCAACGGCAGTGGCAGCTGTAGTGATGCCGGCTACGACAGCTGTAGCTGGAAGAAAAAGAACAGAGGTAGACAGAACTTTTGAGATTCACCATATATTTGCAAGAGGGAATCTGAGAGAAGCCAGTACAAATCTAGGGCGCAGTGTCCGGATCTCTGCGGACAACCCAGATCATCTTCAGCCCCGCCCTTGTCAAGGAGGCTACACTCATTTGCTGATGGCACTGGCAGCCACATGGAGGAGTACTTTGAAAACCATAGAATCGGTCCACCAGACCAGGTCTAACAAGACACTTCTCCGCGAGAGCCTCTTTGTTCTCTTTCTTCGGACTGTTGCTGGAAGCAAGCTTCGGCTGGCGCACCTCAAGAAAATCGCTTTTCCGAGGCTGACACTGTGGGGCTTGACGGTTCAGGGTTCAAAAGGCTCCGCCCGCTGACGCTGGGTTCCCAGCACGGTTCTTCCGAATTGGCAACTTGCTGGTGTCGCCAACCGCAGCAGCCACCCCCTTTCACAGGCGGAGGATCCGAATCCTCCCCGGGCCCACACCAACTCGCCCTTCCGAGCCTCCGTCACTGCAACGGCCTCCGGCAGGAGACCTCCAGTGCCTGTCGTCTTTGGGGGGTTTTATTGAAGCTTTGCAGTCTTCTAAGCCTGCCAACCAAAAAATCCTTTAAAAGCAAACTCGTAGCCTCTGCCAAAGTCTGGGAGGGTGCACGCCTCAAGGAGGGGCTAGGCTGCTTGATCCAAAGCTGCCAGGCATGCCAGCACCCCGACGAAACGGCGAGTCTCAAGCTCTTCAGCACTTGGCTCGACAAAGCCCAAGCTTCCTCGAGCCCGTTTAGCCGTTCAGCCTTTCGTCTCGGCGCGAAGGGTATCTAGTCTGTATCGGCTGTTCAGCCAGACTTGCGCTGCCTCAGGCAGTTCGACTCATCATCCGCTGTCTGAGGGGAGAACTTGCCTTTGCAAAAAGGCTGAGGGGAGCTGTGTGGTCATGGTGCACCTTTGTACATCATGCTCTACCCAACCAGCAATTTGACCAGAGCTTCCTTTTAGCAATTTGTGCATGTCTCAGCACTGCATGTGTCTGACATTTGGCTCGTGATCTCAAATGCCGACATGGCAGCGATCTCTGGCAAATTGCCGTCTGCTCTGCTAAACTGACACCACGAGATCAAGCTTCCTTGAAACCAAGCTTCAAAAGCGAACTAGGAGTACATCCTTCTGATTCTCTTCTGCATCAACTTTCTTCAACCCCATCACTGGCCATCCACGTCGATGACGTCGTCCTTGCCCTTGGCATCGCCGGGCGGGGGCGCCCCGGCATCGCCGGCCGCTCCCTCGGGAGCGCCCTCGGGCGCTGCAGCGCCGGTGTTGGCGTAGGCCGCCTGGCCGACCTTCATCAGCTCCTCCTGGAGGTCCTTGGTCATGGTCTTCAGGAGCTCGGTGTCTGGCTCGGCCTCTGCGACCTTGTCTTTCAGGGCCTGCAGCTTGGGGTCGATGCTGGCCTTCAGATCTGCAGGCACCTTGTCTCCCAGGTCGGACAGCTGCTTTTCCGTCTGGTACACCAGGCTCTCTGCGTTGTTCTTGGTCTCCACGGCGTCCTTGCGCTTGTTATCCTCCGCAGCGTTGGCTTCTGCATCCTGCACCATCTTGTCGACGTCCGTCTTGTCCAGGGTGGAGGATCCAGCGATGGTGATGGTCTGCTCCTTGCCAGTGCCGCGGTCCTTCGCGCCGACGTTCAGGATGCCGTTGGCGTCGATGTCAAAGGTCACCTCGATCTGGGGCACGCCTCGGGGTGCCGGCGGGACGCCATCCAGGCGGAAGGTTCCCAGAATCTTGTTGTCCTTCGCGAACTGCCGCTCGCCCTGCAGCACAACAATCTCCACGGATGGCTGGGAGTCCGTGGCTGTGGAGAAGACCTGCAAGGCAAGCATCTCACCAACCCAGCACCAAGACTTGAGCAACGCCCGTTCAATTGGTTTCTACGACATGCTGCTCAAGTTTGCAGCGAACAGCCGGCCTCGGTTTTCTTGGTGGGAATGGTGGTGTTTCGAGGAATCAGCACCGTGGCCACGCCACCCAGAGTCTCGACACCCAGGGACAGGGGCGTCACATCCAGCAGGACGATGTCCTTCACATCACCTGCCAAGACGCCAGCCTGAACTGCCGCACCCACAGCCACGACCTCGTCCGGGTTCACGCTCTGGTTGGGCTTCTTGCCACCGACAAGCTCCGAGGCCAGGGACTGGATGGACGGGATTCGGGTGGAGCCGCCCACGAGCACGATCTCGTTGATCTCACTGGCACTGATCTTGGAATCCTTCAGGGCATTCTCCACTGGAGTCCTGCATGCAGCCGCTGCGCAACTCACGGATCGCATGGTTATCACATATTATCACATCCTTCGACATCTCAAGGCTGCTTCAGCCTAAAACTTTGCGAGACGATAGTGTGAGGCTTCACTGGCGTCCTGCAGCGAGCGATGAGCTTGCTGGCGAGCTGCTCGAACTTGGCACGGGACAAGCTCTGCTCGATGTGCTTGGGGCCGGTGGCATCGGCCGTGATGAAGGGCAGGGAAATCTTGGCCTCACACAGGGAACATACACCGAGAAACTGAATGGCCGTGAAGGCTGCGTGCTGCTTCTCGGCGCGCCTCCTGCACACCGGAGAGCTCGATCTTGGCCTTCTCTGCAGCCTCCGTCAGGCGCTGCAGTGCCTGCCTGTCCTTGAGGAGCTCGATGCCCTGGGCCGTCTGGGTCTCACTGAGTCCCACTGTCACTGCACCAAACTCTCCAAAGTTTTTCGTACTTAGTACTACATTGCCCCGCCTCGGTCTTCTGGAAGTCTTCCGCCAGCCAGTCCACGATGACCTTGTCGAAGTCGTCGCCGCCCAGGTGGGTGTCGCCGTTGGTGGCGAGCACCTCACAGACTCCGTCGCCGACCTCCAGCACGGAGACGTCGAAGGTTCCTCCTCCGAGATCGAAGACCAAAATTGTCTCGTTGTTCGCCTTCTCCAAGCCATATGCCAAGGAGGCAGCGGTGGGCTCGTTCACAATTCTCAGCACGTCCAGACCAGCAATCTTCCCGGCATCCTTCGTGGCCTCAACTGATGCTACTAGTGGTGATTGACATGTCAACAGCAGCCTCAACCTGCCTGAACCTGCCCTCACGTGACCTTCACAACCTATCTCAAGACACTAACCCTCTCCATCATCACTCCGTCCCGTTGCGTGTGCCTGTCGCTGCGAATCGTTGAAATAGGCAGGAACGGTCACGACGGCCTGTGAAGAAGCCAGGAAACGGACACACGAACGAGGTGCACAGGCCCTTTCCTTATACTCGGTCGTGCGAAGGCAGCCTGCCTTCTGGACGGTGGCACTCAAGTAAGTGCCGGCATCGCCGCTGAGCTTGCGCAGCACCTGTGCAGAGACCTCCTCCGGCGCGAACTTCTTGCTCAAGACCGGGCAGTCGATCTTCACCTTCTGGCCTTCAAAATCCACCTTGTAGGACACCTCCTTCAGCTCTTCACCCACCTCGTTGGGCTGGCGGCCGACGAAGCGCTTGACGGAGTAGAAGGTGTTCTCTGGGTTCACAACGGCCTGCTCCGCAGACGATTTGTTGCAGCAATATGAAACTTCAGAGCAACACCTGTGGACCCACACAACAAACAAGTGGGCCGTGCACCTGGCGCTTGGCGATCTGCCCCACCAGCAGCTCACCGCTCTTGGAATAGGCCACAACACTGGGCGTGGTCCGTGCGCCCTCCGCGTTGGGGATGATGGTGGGGGCGCCGGCCTCTAGGCAAGACTGAGCCCTTTGCCCTTGGCAGTTGCAGCTCATGCATGATCTCACGAGCTTTCAGATTGAGCGTCCTCCATGGCCGCCACTGCGGAGTTGGTGGTGCCCAGGTCGATGCCCACGACCTTCTCGCCA